TATTGAAGGTTTTTGAACTTCAAGCGGCCACTGGAGTGTTAAAGCCTCGATAGTTTTCATTTTATTTTTATTTTTGTAAGAACTCTCTAAATAAGCTGAAAAAAATAGACTTCTGGAACCATAAATGAAAAATTGGTGAGTAAAGTAGCCACTGTAGGGTTTTGAGCTTCTGGTTGTTTTTGGGGTAGGCTAGGAGGGACTTCTTTACTGAAGACTTAATTTTTTTATAGCGCTAATATTGGTCTTGAAAAAATCGATTCTTCGATTATTTAATTTTTGCAATTTTTTTGATTTTTTTTTCCGGTATCCTTTTTCAAACTGTCTAAAGGAGCGATTCATATTTATGTTCAGGATGATTTTTGTTTTCCATTTTTCCTTCTTTTAAAATTTTCTCTACTTATCTTTTTCTTGTAAAACGAGAACCTGGGAACCTCTTGAAATCTAGAAAAGGTTGCACAAAATCTCAGAATTTTGAAATCAACCGTCACGTAAATGAAAACCGTGTTGACATTCCCCAATGGCCCTCTCAAGTGACCACTTCAAAGTTTCACCTCAATTTCACAACACTTATTCCAACTCATCAGGTCCACGACGATCTTGGTTACGAAATGTTGCATAAATGAAGAAGATAAACAAAAACCTGCGCCAGGCTCCGCCCACTTTCTCACGCCGGTCACGCCCTCTCACCCTCCAAAAAAATTGGCTTATTTGTTGTTTGCAATGCATCTGCCACGCAATCTGTGGGGACCTCGCGCTATTTTTGGATCGACTCGCACGTTTTCCAGCCTATTTTTGGCGCTTTTCGTGTTTGTTCGAGGCAAAATTTGTTGTTAAATGTCACGTTTTTCCATTTTTGGATATGTTTTGTAGTGAAATTCGAGTGCGTCTGGTTTTCTTGCACCGTTTGCTTTTTTAAGGAACTGATTTTGTAGTTCCAAGATTTTTTTTTGGTTATTTTTGGAGGGAAATATGAGATTTCCGACACGGAAACATATACATTTTTTTTTATTTTTTTGTGGAGGATTGCGCTTTGCTGTTTGCATACCAGGCGTCAGATTTGACGACAGTTTTTTATTTATTTCGAAATCGCACCGAAAAGTTTCATTTTTAAACATTTAAAACCCTTGACCGCGTTTGGAATGGCTTATGATGTAAGAAAGAAATTTTGAAGCTCGCCCGACCAAAAACTACTTGCGCTTTTGAACATGTGAAAGCATAGGAACAAGCAGCAACGCTCTCAGCCATTCCAAACGCCACCAAGACTTGAAAAAATCAAAATTGACAAGAAACTACGCGATAAATTTGTTTGGAAATGACTCAGGAAAAAAATACACGTATTGAACTTTCTTCTTAACCTGTACCGCGCCCCAAACGTCAAACAGAATTTCTTTTAGTGTGGCAATTTTTCCCGTTTCATTTCCAGTTCCTTGCAGACCATGCACTCGACGTTCTTTGATCATTTCAGTGCTTTCCGGCCGTTTTTTGTCCTTTCTTTCTTGCTCTTTTATGTGTCTGATTGGGATTTTCGGGTTTTTTCAGCTGGATGAAGCTTGGAATTAAAATTAGAAGCTCCAAAAAGATCAATTTTTGAAGTTGAGCCCGTTTCTTCTCATTAAAAATCCTCGTCTTCTGGAAAAATCTCTCATTTCCCACATTATTTCACTAGTCGTTCCAGGACCCATTTTCTTGAAACATTTCCGGCGAAAAGATCCCTCCATTTTCGACTAAAAAAGCATCAACAGGCTTTTTGAATATTTCCAAAAAAACTTTCTTTTTCAATTTTTTTCAATGAAATTCCGAGTTTTTTTCCAACGTCACAACCTTATCATAAATCATTAAAGCGTTCCCGTTGAGTCACGTTTTTTTTTTCCTTGATTCACACGATTTTATTTTTATGGTTACGAAAAAAGTTGAATAAAAAGTTTTTGTGTCGAATTCACTTCCTTTGAAAATTGTTTTTGACTTCACCTACACGCGGTGCCAACGCGTACTCGCGTAGGCAGGTTTTTTGTATTTTGGAGTCGAAATTGATGAATTTGGAGTTTTGAACTGATTGGGAGATGTTATCAGGGAAGATAATAGTGGAAAGAATAGTTTGAGATTTTTTTTGTAGGAAAATTTTTCATTTAATGATTCCTGAGAGGTGTTTTTTCACAAAAAAAACCGAATCATCTTTTTATTTGAAAAAGAGTTCTTCTGGAGGTTTATTTTTCAGAAATTACACATTTGATTGATTTTTCGCTCAGATTGAAGCTTGTTAAAGTTTCTCAATTTTTTTTTTCAAAGTTAAGTTGAAAACTAGATTTCCTGACGTGTCCAAGACGCAATAAATGATGCCGCTCAGGTGTCCCATCAAATTATATCATATCCTCATTGCCCCAATCGGTAAACACTTTTCTCTGATAACACCGTGTTTCCGGCGATGATTTCATAATATATCGATCTTTTCTCTCTCTCCCTTCAGGCTACGTTTTCTGATCCGATTATCACACTTGCGCTATATTTGAGGGGTTGTTTGCGCTCTGTGGCGAAGATCACTTTTTTTCAACTTTTCTGTTTGGTTTCATCATTTTTTCTGCTTGCCGTGAACCAAGCTTCATTCTTAAGCCATTACGGGTGTGTATATTTCTTGGATTGGTTCCACGGAGCGCAATACGTCACTGAAATTGAAGGAAAATGGTTAAAATTAACTGGAAACGAGAGATAAGAGAGTTGAAGAGACGACAGAGAAAGAGGGGCATGTCTAGCTTCTCTGCCGTCTCTTCAATAGACAATATGCTTCTAAATGGGAATTTTTTTGAAAAAGTTTCAACTCTTGCCGAAAAGCTTCACCTTATCGCAGCTATAAAAAAATTGGAAGAAATTTCTCAAGTTTTGAAATTTTTCAAGAGCTAAACTAACTCTAAATTGGGCCTTTTCGAGTTTTTTTTTACTTTTTGGAAAGCTGAAATCTTATTCAGCTCTTTTTTCAAACCTCGAATATTTTTTTGATGACAAAAAATGTGCGGAAGCTGTTTAATGAAAGGCTTTCCTTGTTTTTGCCGTTTGCAAACATTGTAATCTTCTCATCAAACAAGGAAAAAGATTCCGCGGCTGTTTTTAACTCCAAACTGCGCCCCACCGATAAATAGTCATTTTTTGGTCAATCCTCACTCAAAAAGGCCTTTATGAGGCAATTACGGACTGAAATCCCCGTTCGGAAGTTCAATTTTACCGGTTTTTACCAATAAATAGATAGTAAAATTTTATTACCCCACAAACCAATTAGCAAAAAGACTTTTCTTCAAATTTTTGCCGGTCATTTGAGAAAAAATGGCAAAAAAAAACGGAAGCTCCGCCCCATTGGCCACGCCCCTTTTCGGACAAAAAACGGCTTCCCCGCACTTTTCTGTCCACTTTTTCGGGTTCTTTTCCTCGTTCTCGGCGTACTTTGCTTTTTAAGTGGCTTATCAATAATATTGTCATTTTATCAGTCGCTTTGAATGCCATTTTGCTCCCACGCGTGATTTATTCGTTTCTTTTATGGGTTTTTAGACTTTTATTATTTAATGGCCGTTGATAAAACATTTTTCTGGAGTCATCTGAGTCAATAAAAAAAGATCTATTCTTCAAATTTTTCTTCTCAGAAGGTATTTGAGAAGCTAGATTTTATAAAGCTAGGAGGTATTATTCGAGAGAATATTTAGGACTTTTAGAAGTTTTTTTAAAACCTCGTTCGTAAAGGAAGTTCACACTGTTAGCTTCTGAAGAAGATACTATTAAAAAATAACTTTTATAAAGCTCCACGTGGGAGTCTATCCGGTACTTTTTCTATAGAAAGTCCGAAAATTGGACTCTTGCAAGTTGCTAGAATGGAACCTGGGACATTCTGACAGCCAATAGAACCTAATTGGCTCCAGTGGAGCTTTCCTTATCCCCCCTTGGGAGACACTGAGGAAGTTCCACGACGAAACAATGCTTTTTGTGTGGGCGAATATCCACGCTCCATTGCGGATTTTCTTCCTTCCGTGTGTACCTTTTTAGACTAGTAGGTCCAGGAAGGTATTTTTGTTTGAAAAGCAGAAAAAATGCCCAGTTTTTGAAGAAAAATGAGTTGGAATAAGGCTGCTTCAATTTTGAATCTCCGAGTTTTGACAGGAAATTTCACGGTCTAGAAGCCTAAAAAAGCTCTAGATTCTTCCTTTTCAACTCCTCCAGGTAATTTTCGAGTTTTTGAGCTTCTCGTGACCTCGAAAAATCAACGGACTTCAATTTTGGCTTTCAGGAAGTTTTTGAAAAACTCAAGAAAAAAAATCAAGTTTGTCACTCTTATACAAGGAACGGAATGTGAGGTCCATTTTCGGTTTCCGATTGCTGTAAATCTGTGAAACGACGCCGTTCCCACGTGTTCCAAAAAAGAGGGCGTGGCTAGTCAAGGCCACGCCCCCTTCTACTGATCGCCCACCTATTTTCCGTCCGTCTCTGTTAGTTGGACCATGCGACGGTTATCTGCTCGGCCAGCTGGCTGATTTTTTGATTTTTCAAAAAAGGTCTTGATTTATTCGACTAATAATCATACTGAGGGTTCATCAAGAACACTAGTTCTGTCACAAGAATGTCTCAGTCTACTCTAAACTCTCTTCTTTTCCCCCACTATTTCTCTGAAAGTTTCGGGACGTATTCACTGATCTTCTTGGGACTTTTTCCAACTTCTTCTGAATTTCCAAAGTTTTTTATTTCCGAATTGAAACTTGATCTTACCTAAATCTTCAAGGGACAGCTTCAATTTTATATCTTCCGTTCAATTATACCATTTTTCCTATCCAAGTTCCTTTTCTCTAAAATTTTTCAATACGCATTCATTTTTTTTTCATTGTTCAATTCATTTCTTCTGTACATTTTCTATCATATTTTTCAATTTTCTTCATTCTTGGCCCTTTTTCGTCTCGTTTTTCTGTTACATTGAACTCGAAGTTGTTATAAATACTCCGAATATTTCAGAAATCATAAAATTCTTCAAAATGAGATGCGAAAAAGTTCGACGAGTTCGATGGGCCGACGAGGAGCCAGAAGAAGCGGCGACGACGGCTTCGGGCCAGACGAAAAAGTCGAAAGACGCCCTGAGGTCCTGCTTCGGAAAGTCCCGAGCGGAAAGGAACGTCAGCCCCAGTGATTACGGTAGGTTCATGGCTTCTTGATGGGCTCGAAATTTGGTTGACTTTGAGTGGTCTTTCTAGGGTTTTCAGCTTTTAGATGTCCATAAAAAGACTCGAAGGTAGTGAGAAAGAAAAAAATCCCAAGTTTAACAAAAATCCTAGCAGTCACTATAGGGGTTTGAGCTCTAAGTGGTCACACTAGAGGCTCAGGATAAGAGGTCATTTTAGGGATCCAGGTGGAAAAAGTGATTTTTTTTCTTTTTTGTTTTAGTTTCTGAACTACATTCTTCTCTATTTTCAATCCACTACTATTTTTTGTTTGAAAAATGATATAGGGCTCTCTAAATTCTCTCTTTTTGTACACTATTTCGCTGAATCAAGACCTTTTTTCTTAAAAATCACGACTTTTTTTTTTGATTTTTTTTAGATCCAGTTTTGATATAAGAATTTCTAACTTAAAAATTAGGTAAAAAAAAACCGAGCTTTACTGGGAAATTAAAATACCGTTTTTTCATCATTTCCTTTTTTCAGAACCTCGAGAGCCGAAAAAAGTGACGGTTGTGCAACCGGTGTTCGACGCGACTCTCGAGACGGTCCTCGAGGAGGAAGACGCCGAAGACAGCGGCCTGGAAACCGACGGCTGAACTATCCAAATCGATTTGGAATTCACGGCCTCCTCCCTCTATCTATACATATCTGATGCCAAAATGACGAGTCTTTCCCCCATTTTCCTTCTTTTTCGGCTCCCCCCAGTCCAGTGATATCCTACGGATACTTTTCGATGCTTTACCCGAGTCTAGAGCAATTTTAACGCTTTTTTATTCACTTATCCACTTCTTACGGATCGATCTACATATGTCATTTTCGTCATTTCATTGAATTGTATCTTGATATTTCATGGAATAAAAATATTGATTTATTTCAAAGAGCATTGAGCACTGAAACTAGTGAACTTTGGACTCTAGAACGAATATTATCAGCTGGACCTTTCTATTTTCGAGAAATTTTTGTTTTTCTGTATAACTTTAGGATTGAAAAAAAGCTAGAAATAGGCTTTAAAATAATTGTTGAAGCTTGAAAATTTGATATCCATATTTTTTTCATAAATCAAAAAAAGGCTGAAAAAAAGATTTTCTTTCTCGAAAAAAATGAACAGAAATTTCTAAAAAAATATGAAAAAAAGTGTAAGAATGTTATCGTAAGAAACATTGAATTTTTCTATACGACACTCCAGTGAACGCCTTTTTCCACCGTCACCTTTTCACATGATTATCAAGACGAAAAAAAATTATCATCCTTGGAAAAATTCATTTCTGTACGTTGCTCCAGTTGACACACAAAGAAGGCAACACTGAACATGTGAGATTTTTTTAAAATCAGAGCACTTTTTGATGCACTCGGTAATGATCCTGAAAGCTTCAAACTTCAAAATTCTTCAAAATTTATTTAAAAGCTATGTAATGCTGAACTTTCCGTGATTTGATCCAATACATAAAGAAGTTTTTTTCGTACAAATTACAACTTTAAACTGCGCTCTAGCGAACATTTCGACTTGAATTTTATCATTATCTGAGTAAAAAAATAAATTTAAGATATCTGTAAGAAAAAGGGCTTCATCATTTACAACGTTCCAGTTTACGCAAACTGAAAAAAACTCAGAAAGAAAATAGAATATTGGAATGGACTCTCGTTGATTAAATTTATCGATAGGGTCAGAATTCATCCTAAATTTTGAATTTCATCAATATTTTTTTTGAATCAATTGCTGATCATTCAAAAAATTGTATATTGATCAAAATAATTGTAAAAAAAGAAAAAAGAAAATTGAAATGGAAATTGACTATTTTGAATTTTTTTTTTCTACAGTGCTGGAGTCTTCCTTGAGCTTGAACCTTTTTTTTTTCGAAAAAACCTTTTTTTCCTTTTTTGTCATCTCAAATTCTACCTGATTATCAGAAAAAAATGCCCGATTTCTCCTCAAACCGCTTATTTTTCGGGCAGACGACGTCGATTCCTCTTGATCTTTCTTGTTTTAGACACTGCCCGACGCACGTCATCGTTCTTTACCTTCTTCTTCCAAAAATATCGATTTTCTAGCAACCTTATCGTTTCTCTTCTTGTGATGGCAATTTGCAGAAATGATTAAAGAGGGCAGTGAAAAATATAAAAAAATGTTTTATTTTTAGGTAACAACATTTTTCTTTGCTCTGGGGATTTCAAATATCTGATTGAGTCTCACAAAAAAATATTTATTTTTTTGAGAAAAATTACCAAAAAACTCTCAAAAAAATCAGAGCTTCAAATAATGATAATATCGCTGCATAGGGTAAAAAAATAAATAGTTAAAATGATACAAGACTGAAGTGCATTAGAATAACCGGCAAGTCGAATTCGTATTTTTAATCCCGTGTGTTTTTTAGGCTGTTAGGGTGTCTCGCAAAAAGCGGGAAAACGCGAGTTTAGGAAGAAATAAATGACCCGACGTTTCATAAACATTCAAGTAAACATTCGGAAACACAACACAAAGTACTATAATCGAATGTCAATACCCTGAAGGCAATTTTTACTGCTTATGATTTCATAGGGATTCAAGGCATATATGGGCAAGCTGCGAACGTGATCAGTCGGCTGGATCCTGGAGAAAAAAGTTGGACGTTAAGAGACTTTCTAACTTGTTTTAAAATCAGGGGTCAGTGTCCTCAATAAAAAAAGTACTAGTAAGTTTAGCAAGGAGAGGAGAGAATTTTGATAGATCTCATTTTTTAGTTTTGAGAGCGAAAAATGGTCAGAAAAAATACAAAATTCACTATCAACTTCTAGAAAAAAGGCCCATATTTTTCTAAAATATGAAGATGAAATTAAGGTTCACTAATTTTTTAAATCAGTGGAAAGAGGCTCAATAAAATGTTCCGTTCAGGGTGACAAAGGCTCCTTTTTTGCTGCTGTTTTGTGCCATTTCATCGGCTCTTATGCACCATCTTTGCTCTCTCTCCCTTTTTCCACCATTTCTTGAGCTTTTAAAAACCCAGAAAAAATGGAAAGCTCGATAAAAGGACTCATTTTACTGCCTTTCTTGAGCCTCTCCCTTTTAGAGGCCATTGTCCACCATTGCGACTTTGCCCGGGTTATTGTTAAAACTTATGAATTCTTGGATGGCAATTCACAGCAGAAAACGTGCGCCAATGCGCTTTCGAGGAGATATATCTCTCAAAATGGAGTGTTTATGGATTTTCTCTCCCAAGGGTGAACATAAGAGTTTATACTTTCCCGAAATCCAGGAGAACTACCTTTTCAAATCTTTCAAAGTAATAAATTGGAAACTTTCAAAAAACCTTCTTGTTATTTGTTGTTGTTTAGAAACGCCCTAATTTATTTCCTCTCCTGATGATGATATCAATTATATCAACTGTCGAAATTTCTACAATAAATCAATGTTCAAATAAACCCGTTTTACTAACGATAACTCACAATAACACGTAACGGTTCTAGATAAAAATGGGACGGCTTTTTTCTTTTCTCTGTTCTAAAAGTCAGCCCACGTGTTGGCGATATAATAAACAAACATTTCTATTGACTTCTACTGGGGTTTGTCCGAAGCTTTTCCTCTCTCAAACTTGTAGATTTTTGAGATTTCCCCCCATTTTATTTCATTTTGAGGAACTGATAAAAATTTTCACGTGATGGTGTAATACGTGAAACCTTTTACTTTCTCTCGACTTGCCACCGATTTTACCTTTTTTTTTTCCTTCGGTACCTTGACTTTTATTTTATTTCATATTCCCAAGCTGGATGTGTCCCGGAAAATTCTGAGCAGTTCTAGGGGTCACTTGAGAGTGTTAAAGCCGCTAAAGGGATCACTAGAAATGCTCAAAACGTCCAGTTTCCCTTACTAAGGTCCGAGTTCTGCTTGGTTTTTTAAAGGAGCATGGAGTAATTAAGATAAGGTCTCAAGGCGAAGAGCCGTTTTTTGTGTTATTTTGGGGCTCATGCGCCTTTAAACAGCCCGCCAAGACACTTTGAACAGAAAATTGATGCTGGTTAAAATTTTAAAAAGATTTTTTGAAATAGTTTTTGGGGGAAGCGTTTTTGAAAAAAAAAATCTTTATTTTTTACTACTTTATATTTGAAACCTGGTCTTAATTTTTAAGAAAAAAGCCAATTTTGAATTTCCGATCCTCCATAACAAACCCAAGCCCTTGAAAAGCGCAAAAAATTATTTTTTGACTTATTTTCAAAATTCTCGTGTTCTGAATTATGCTGGAAAAATCTGTAATAGTCTATAAATATTATAATCTCCGAACTTTCCAGTTAAACTCTTCCAATCACAAAAAAAAACCCATAAACAACAACAAAACCAAGAAAAGTTGCAGAAAGAAGATGGACGAAAACAACACTTACGACGGCCAGCTGTTCCAGCTCGTCCGACATTCTGCAGCTCATTTGTAAGTTTTTGCTTTTTCCTCCTCATTATCAAATCATTTGCCCACTTTCTTGATGAAAAAAACCGCTTGAAATTGATATTTTTCTCGAGATCAAACTTTTTAAATCGAGCCGACCTCGAAAAATGGTCAGGACGCTTTTCAGACTCTTTTAAGGTTCATAGGTAGAAATTATAAACGTCTCTCGGTATTCATTGATTTTGTGTAGCTTCAAAAGCGTTTTTAAACAAACAGAATAGCTAAAAATAAAAAAAAAAAGAGGAAAATTGCTCGGAAAAGAATATTTGTTACGAAGCTCCAAATTACGTTCGATAGGGCGCATTTTCGAGACATCGGGTTTTTTTGCGAAAAAAAGTTTTGACTGTTTTTTTCTATTCTTTTCTCTACTTCAGTATGAATTAGCGATCATCAGGTTGCAAAAAAAGGAAATAAAAAAAGTTTATAGATCATTTTTTTTGTATGTATAGTAAGTCAATGTTTGCAAAAAAACGAAAGAATTTTTTTCTGTTTGAATGAATAAATTATTTATTTTTTTCACAATTCATTTAAAGAAAAATCCCATTTCAATTATTATTTTCAAACTTTTTCACCAGTAGAAATAACCAACACGACAGAGCACTTGTACGTATTTTGCATAATCTTCAACCTCTTTCTCCTTCTTTTTTTTGAACAGTTGTCATAGATTTTTAGGTTTCCAGTTATGAAAATTAAACTCAAACAGCCTTTGAGCACTATAACTTGTAAAAAATTATGTTTTTTGAAGAAGAAAACTTAGAAAAGGTCAGTTTTTCAGAGGATCACGTGCGGCCGTGTTGTGTATTGTGGACGGGCCACGGCAACTCGTCGTTCAATTTATTTCAAGTTGGTATTGTTTTGATACCTTTTTCATCATTTTGGTGGGTTTCATGACACAAAACTTTTATTGTATTCTTGTAGCCGATTCACGGCTAGCTCGGGTTTGGCCTGTCTGCGCTCTCCACTAACCATGCACTAGAGTTCTCAAAAAGTAAATGTTTGAACGAACGTTCAACCAAACATTTTCTGAACGTTTGATGAATTCGACCAATTAGTTAAATTTCACATGAACTGTTTGTTAAAAAACTTCATTTTGGTTAAATTTCATAACTGAGCATTTAAAAAAAATGAACAATTACTTATTTTTCGAAAAAAATTTTGGTCAAAAAAGTAAACATTTAAAATTCATTTCGGAAATTTTGGTCAAAAAAATGAACATTTAAATTTCACTTTCGGAAATTTTGGTCAAAAAAATGAACATTTAAATTTCACTTTTGAAAAATTTTGGTCAGAAAAAGTAAACATTTAAAGTTCACTTTGAAAAATTTTGGTCAAAAATGAACATTTAAATTTCACTTTCGGAAATTTTGGTCAAAAAAATGAACATTCAAAAATTCATTTTAGAAATTTTGGTCAAAAAAATGAACATTTAAAATTCATTTTTAAAAAATTTTTTTCAAAAAAAGGTAAACATTTATTCATTACTATTACGGTACTTGGCAGTATCTGTGTCGGAGTCAATTCTATCTCAGTCTTCTCCAAATGAAATCTTGAATCGATTACTTCGAAATTCAAACTAATTTCTGGTTAAAAATTAATAAATCTGTTGGAAAACAGTGATCTGGATGGTCAAGGGCAAAGCTAAAAGCCGGTTAAGGACGAGAAAAATTATATGGAACCGGTCAAAAATGAGCAGACCGGAAGAAAGGTGCTATCTGGAGAATTAATTGAATGAGGAAAAAGAAAAAGTATTATTTGGATTTTTAGTTCGGAAAAATCCAGGTTCGAAAAGTTATCGGCCGAAAAAAATAAACATTTAATTAATTTTCACAGTTGAAAAATTTTTTTACGAAAAAGTAAACATTTAAAAATTCATTTTGGAAATTTTGGTCAAAAAGTAAACATTTAAAGTTCACTTTGAAAATTTTGGTCAAAAAAAGTAAACATTTAAAGTTCACTTTGAAAAATTTTGGTCAAAAAAAGTAAACATTTAAAGTTCACTCTTGAAAATTTTTGGTCAAAAAAAGTAAACATTTAAAGTTCACTTTGAAAAATTTTTGGTCAAAAAAAGTAAACATTTAAAGTTCACTTTGAAAATTTTGGTCAAAAAAAGTAAACATTTAAAGTTCACTCTTGAAAATTTTGGTCAAAAAGTAAACATTTAAAGTTCACTCTTGAAAAATTTTTGGTCAAAAAGTAAACATTTAAAAGTTCACTCTTGAAAATTTTTGGTCAAAAAGTAAACATTTAAAGTTCACTCTTGAAAAATTTTGGTCAAAAAAAGTAAACATTTAAAATTCATTTTGGAAATTTTGGTCAAAAAAGTAAACATTTAAAGTTCACTCTTGAAAAATTTTGGTCAAAAAAAGTAAACATTTAAAGTTCACTCTTGAAAATTTTGGTCAAAAAGTAAACATTTAAAGTTCACTCTTGAAAAATTTTTGGTCAAAAAGTAAACATTTAAAGTTCACTCTTTGAAAATTTTGGTCAAAAAAAGTAAACATTTAAAATTCATTTTGAAAATTTTGGTCAAAAAAAGTAAACATTTAAAGTTCATTTTGAAAATTTTGGTCAAAAAAAGTAAACATTTAAAGTTCACTCTTGAAAATTTTTGGTCAAAAAAGTAAACATTTAAAGTTCACTCTTGAAAATTTTGGTCAAAAAAAGTAAACATTTAAAAATTCATTTTGGAAAATTTTGGTCAAAAAGTAAACATTTAAAGTTCACTTTGAAAAATTTTGGTCAAAAAAAGTAAACATTTAAAAATTCATTTTGGAAATTTTGGTCAAAAAAAGTAAACATTTAAAGTTCACTCTTTGAAAAATTTTAGTCAAAAAGTAAACATTTAAAGTTCACTCTTGAAAATTTTGGTCAAAAAGTAAACATTTAAAAATTCATTTTTGGAAAATTTTAGTCAAAAAAAGTAAACATTTAAAGTTCACTTTGAAAAATTTTGGTCAAAAAGTAAACATTTAAAATTCATTTTGGAAATTTTGGTCAAAAAAAGTAAACATTTAAAGTTCACTCTTGAAAAATTTTGGTCAAAAAAAGTAAACATTTAAAAGTTCACTCTTGAAAAATTTTGGTCAAAAAGTAAACATTTAAAGTTCACTCTTGAAAATTTTAGTCAAAAAGTAAACATTTAAAAGTTCACTCTTGAAAATTTTGGTCAAAAAAGTAAACATTTAAAAGTTCACTCTTGAAAAATTTTTGGTCAAAAAAGTAAACATTTAAAATTCATTTTGAAAATTTTGGTCAAAAAGTAAACATTTAAAGTTCACTCTTGAAAAATTTTGGTCAAAAAGTAAACATTTAAAAGTTCACTCTTGAAAAATTTTTGGTCAAAAAAAGTAAACATTTAAAAATTCATTTTGAAAATTTTGGTCAAAAAGTAAACATTTAAAAGTTCACTTTGAAAATTTTGGTCAAAAAAAGTAAACATTTAAAATTCATTTTGGAAAATTTTGGTCAAAAAGTAAACATTTAAAAGTTCACTCTTGAAAAATTTTGGTCAAAAAGTAAACATTTAAAAGTTCACTTTTGAAAATTTTTGGTCAAAAAGTAAACATTTAAAATTCATTTTGGAAAATTTTGGTCAAAAAGTAAACATTTAAAGTTCACTCTTGAAAAATTTTGGTCAAAAAGTAAACATTTAAAAGTTCACTCTTGAAAATTTTGGTCAAAAAGTAAACATTTAAAGTTCACTCTTTGAAAATTTTTGGTCAAAAAGTAAACATTTAAAAGTTCACTTTTGAAAATTTTGGTCAAAAAAAGTAAACATTTAAAAGTTCACTCTTGAAAATTTTGGTCAAAAAAGTAAACATTTAAAAGTTCACTTTTGAAAAATTTTGGTCAAAAAAGTAAACATTTAAAGTTCACTCTTGAAAAATTTTGGTCAAAAAGTAAACATTTAAAAGTTCACTCTTGAAAAATTTTGGTCAAAAAAAGTAAACATTTAAAAGTTCATTTTTGAAAATTTTGGTCAAAAAAAGTAAACATTTAAAAGTTCACTTTTGAAAATTTTGGTCAAAAAAAGTAAACATTTAAAAGTTCACTTTTGAAAATTTTGGTCAAAAAAGTAAACATTTAAAGTTCACTCTTGAAAAATTTTTGGTCAAAAAAAGTAAACATTTAAAATTCACTTTTGAAAATTTTGGTCAAAAAGTAAACATTTAAAAGTTCACTCTTGAAAAATTTTGGTCAAAAAGTAAACATTTAAAAGTTCATTTTGAAAAATTTTGGTCAAAAAAGTAAACATTTAAAAGTTCACTTTTGAAAATTTTGGTCAAAAAAGTAAACATTTAAAAGTTCACTCTTGAAAATTTTGGTCAAAAAGTAAACATTTAAAAGTTCACTCTTGAAAATTTTGGTCAAAAAGTAAACATTTAAAATTCATTTTGAAAATTTTTGGTCAAAAAGTAAACATTTAAAAGTTCACTTTGAAAAATTTTGGTCAAAAAGTAAACATTTAAAAATTCATTTTGGAAAATTTTGGTCAAAAAAAGTAAACATTTAAAGTTCACTCTTGAAAAATTTTGGTCAAAAAGTAAACATTTAAAAGTTCACTTTTTGAAAAATTTTGGTCAAAAAAGTAAACATTTAAAATTCATTTTGAAAATTTTGGTCAAAAAAAGTAAACATTTAAAGTTCACTCTTGAAAAATTTTTGGTCAAAAAAAGTAAACATTTAAAAGTTCACTCTTGAAAAATTTTGGTCAAAAAGTAAACATTTAAAAGTTCACTTTTGAAAAATTTTGGTCAAAAAGTAAACATTTAAAGTTCACTCTTGAAAATTTTTGGTCAAAAAAAGTAAACATTTAAAAGTTCACTCTTGAAAATTTTTGGTCAAAAAAAGTAAACATTTAAAAGTTCACTCTTGAAAATTTTGGTCAAAAAGTAAACATTTAAAGTTCACTCTTGAAAAATTTTGGTCAAAAAAAGTAAACATTTAAAATTCATTTTGGAAAATTTTGGTCAAAAAAAGTAAACATTTAAAGTTCACTCTTGAAAAATTTTGGTCAAAAAGTAAACATTTAAAAGTTCACTCTTGAAAAATTTTGGTCAAAAAAAGTAAACATTTAAAAGTTCACTCTTGAAAATTTTGGTCAAAAAAAGTAAACATTTAAAGTTCACTCTTGAAAATTTTGGTCAAAAAAAGTAAACATTTAAAATTCATTTTTGAAAATTTTGGTCAAAAAAAGTAAACATTTAAAGTTCACTCTTGAAAAATTTTGGTCAAAAAAAGTAAACATTTAAAAGTTCACTCTTGAAAATTTTTGGTCAAAAAAAGTAAACATTTAAAAGTTCACTCTTGAAAATTTTGGTCAAAAAAAGTAAACATTTAAAAGTTCACTCTTGAAAATTTTGGTCAAAAAAGTAAACATTTAAAATTCATTTTGGAAAATTTTGGTCAAAAAAAGTAAACATTTAAAAGTTCACTCTTGAAAATTTTGGTCAAAAAAAGTAAACATTTAAAAGTTCACTCTTGAAAATTTTGGTCAAAAAGTAAACATTTAAAAGTTCACTCTTGAAAATTTTTGGTCAAAAAGTAAACATTTAAAAGTTCACTCTTGAAAATTTTGGTCAAAAAAAGTAAACATTTAAAAGTTCACTCTTGAAAAATTTTGGTCAAAAAAAGTAAACATTTAAAATTCATTTTGGAAAATTTTGGTCAAAAAAGTAAACATTTAAAAGTTCACTCTTGAAAATTTTGGTCAAAAAAAGTAAACATTTAAAAATTCATTTTGGAAAATTTTGGTCAAAAAAAGTAAACATTTAAAGTTCACTCTTGAAAAATTTTTGGTCAAAAAAAGTAAACATTTAAAGTTCACTCTTGAAAAATTTTTGGTCAAAAAAGTAAACATTTAAAGTTCACTCTTGAAAAATTTTTGGTCAAAAAAGTAAACATTTAAAGTTCACTCTTGAAAATTTTGGTCAAAAAAGTAAACATTTAAAGTTCACTTTGAAAATTTTGGTCAAAAAAGTAAACATTTAAAGTTCACTCTTGAAAATTTTGGTCAAAAAAGTAAACATTTAAAGTTCACTCTTGAAAATTTTGGTCAAAAAAGTAAACATTTAAAGTTCACTCTTGAAAATTTTGGTCAAAAAAGTAAACATTTAAAGTTCACTCTTGAAAATTTTTGGTCAAAAAAAGTAAACATTTAAAGTTCACTCTTGAAAATTTTTGGTCAAAAAAAGTAAACATTTAAAGTTCACTTTTGAAAATTTTTGGTCAAAAAAAGTAAACATTTAAAGTTCACTCTTGAAAAATTTTTGGTCAAAAAAGTAAACATTTAAAATTCATTTTGGAAAATTTTGGTCAAAAAAAGTAAACATTTAAAAGTTCACTCTTGAAAAATTTTGGTCAAAAAAAGTAAACATTTAAAGTTCACTCTTGAAAAATTTTTGGTCAAAAAAAGTAAACATTTAAAAATTCATTTTGGAAAATTTTGGTCAAAAAAAGTAAACATTTAAAGTTCACTCTTGAAAATTTTGGTCAAAAAAAGTAAACATTTAAAAATTCATTTTGGAAATTTTGGTCAAAAAGTAAACATTTAAAGTTCACTCTTGAAAAATTTTGGTCAAAAAAAGTAAACATTTAAAAGTTCACTCTTGAAAATTTTGGTCAAAAAAGTAAACATTTAAAGTTCACTTTGAAAATTTTTGGTCAAAAAGTAAACATTTAAAGTTCACTTTGAAAAATTTTTGGTCAAAAAAAGTAAACATTTAAAATTCATTTTGGAAAATTTTGGTCAAAAAAGTAAACATTTAAAGTTCACTTTGAAAAATTTTTGGTCAAAAAAAGTAAACATTTAAAGTTCACTCTTTGAAAAATTTTGGTCAAAAAAAGTGACCATTTACTTTTCACTTTGAAAAAAATTTGGTCATTAGGACGAACATTTATTTACTAGTCAGAATATGATTGTTTAGAAAATGACCATTTATTTTTTTCAGTCATTATTTGAAAAAGTCACAAAATGAAAAAGAATGAAAGTGATCAATTTTGGTTGATCTTTCAAAAAACGACATTCGTTTGAAATGTCAAAAAGAAAATTTTTTTCGTTTTTTTGAAAAAAATATCATTTTTTTCAATTGGTCATTTTGAGAACTCTACCATGCACTATCTCTTTTTTTTTTCGTGTCAGGACCCTTTTTCTTAGATGTCTCAAGCCAGCCGTGGCTCAGCTAATGTACTTTTCGAAAAAATTTTGAAAAACGGAAACTAAAATTTAAAATTTTCAAAATTGCATCTCAAAAATCAAAAACCACCATTTCTGTACATGATGAAAGTCTTAGTGTTTTTGATTTCTTCCCTTTTTCAAAGATTTTCGAATTATTTTCCAAGTTCCTTGAGAAACTGTAAGACTCAGTCCCGATTATAGGTCTTTCCCGTTCTTCGACCCCATTGATAACACTATCATTACCTCGTTTCTTCTCATTTGCGACCTTTTCTTTGCATTTTTTCTTGGATTTGATTTTCAAGCTTTCTTTTAGGTTTCTTGTTCAATAACCGTAGCTTTTATATCAATTTTTTGAAGAAGTTCGAAAGTACTTGAATTTTCATAATCGAGAAATAAATCTCAAAAAGTCTTCGCTTGGAATTAAATAATTCATTTTAAGAGGTCTCACAACGAAGAGTCGTTTTCCGAGTTTTTTAGGCCATGATCATTCCAGAAACTTTCTTTGAACTTTTCAGATTCCCAAAATTTGCATAACATTACGAACTTTCCTAATTTCCTTGATAAAAATTGATGAAAAGCTCATCCTGCTCATTTACAGTAATAATGAAGACGCTACTGGTCTTGGCTGGAATCCTGTTGTGGCCTCTGGGTCCCCTGGAAGCGGAAAAACTCCGACCTCTAACGTCTACTCGATCGCCAGGATTCCCTTTCGACGACGCCGACGATATTGGCGACGTCAACGACGTCATGGAGATGTTCTTCTACAGGGAGAACACCCTGACCGAAGAAAAATGGCTCAAAATGCTGCCGGTCCAGGAGGAGATCAACGAGATGCGAAAGGTGATCAGAAGGGAAAATCGGGTCCCATGAAACTGTCTGACCTGCCTGTGCTCTCTTTTCTCTCGCCTATCACCAGCGAGGTCATGGAAAAAGGAAAATAGCACGTAAACAAGAGAGAAAAGAAGGTGCAGAAAAGTAGGACTAAATGAGTTCTCAACTTTTAAAAAGGCCCTCATTTTCCACGGCGTTTTTGTTAGTGGAAAAAATGCGGAACCGAAAATGAAGGGGGCGGAGCCAAAACTCCGCTGTTATTATGTGAATCGATTTCTCATTTTAGTAGACGCTACTTTTCTATTGCCGTGTTCGAAGTGATTCTGCGAAGTTCGAAATAGCCGCCAGAAAGTAAAAAACATATAACTGAGTTTCGGAAATTTAGAGATAATTTTTCGCGGAAATTAATTTAAACACGGCATGTGCAAGAGCGCCGCAGTGTATGCACACGACACACTACATTTTACGAAAAAAGCCGTAACATACACTAAGAATAACTGCCGAGATAAACGCGAGACACTGGCGGTACATTGACGAGCTCGCAAACATCTCGCTTTTTTTTCTCGCGCCGGTCTCGCATTTTTCTGGGCGCCAGCTCGCATTTCTCTCGCAATTTGAAAATTTCCGAAATGCAAGATAAAAGCGATATGGCGCCGAGAAAAATGCGAGGTCGCGCCGAGATAAATGCGGGATCGCGCCTAGAAAAAAGCGACATTTTTGCGAGTTAGTCAATGTACCGCCACCGAGCTCGCGTTTATCTCGTCAGTTATTCTTAGTGTAATTTTTTCTGGATTTTTTCCATGGTTTAGACCAAAAATGATAACTTCAATTTTTCATTTTCAATCCATAGATTTGAAGAAATTCTTTCAGTTACTCGCGACCCTGTACAGTGGTGAGGTCGACTTAAGCAACATTTTGACGAATTTGCCGGCTCTTCAGCCGTATATCGATGTCACTTTGTTCACTGTTAGTTTCGACAAAAATGATAACAGAACATTGAATATTTTTAGGACAACTTCTACATTGTCCACGAGAAATTTCCGCCGACCAAAAATGAGTTATTCGCTCGCGGGTGGGGCTACGCGGTGATTGCCAGGAAATCAGCGAGTTTGAGGTGATTTGAAAATTGTGAAAATTCTATCAAATAACGTTGAAATCAACATTGAAATCCAAAATTTGTCATAACTTTTACCTAAAACTATTAAAATTGATTCACTTCTTTGAGATTTTTTTATCTGCATAAATGGGTCATTTTGGCTCATTCACACGTTTTTCCTTGTTTTTTTTTTCAATGGCGTGTTCAATTTGATTCCGCGAAATGCAAAATGATCTCTGACTCTCCAAAAATTAGTGATCTTTTCCTTTCTCAAACGGGTATTTTGCATTTCGCGGAAACAAATTGAACACAGCATTAAATTTTCATCTCAGTTTTTCACTAAAAAGCTTCTTGGTTTCAAAAAATGTTTAAACTCGATCAACTAGGAAAAAAAGGTGACGTTTTCAGTAAAACACCTACCGAAATCCAGTGAGAGAGCGGAGCCTCACAGTAACTACTCTAAAAGTTTAGGCACTATCTCTAGTTACTGTGACAGTAATATCGACCTGCAAAACGGAACTTGAAATTCAAGACTTTTCCTCGATTTGTATCTTTCGTTTTTTTAAATGTTGTGTCTCTAGTTTATTTCCGCGTACATTTGTGAAATTAAAGTACCTTTTGCGACGATGATTTTTCCATAGGGCTGAATTTTTTTGATGATCTAACAACTAGAAAAAAAGTCAAAAACATGCAGTATATTGAAATTAACAGACTATAAAAGTAGTAATTCCTTCAGAAATCTTCACCATTCGGCGGCTCATTTCGAATCGGATGGAGCTGTGTGTGCCCAGGCGGCCAATCTTTTCGACTCCTCCAAGGGACGATCTTTAGTCGTCGCGGGTGCCAGCCGATACGCCATCAAAGGGTCTGTTTTCTGTATAATTATCAATGAAATTTCCACCGTTTTCTTCGAATTGATGTGAAATCGATACCTTGGTTTGATTAGCAGAAGCGATCAAAAGCCATGATTTTTTGTCACAACCTGGCGGTGATTGAACTATATTTCTTGACTGATTTATTGATTTATTGATCGCTTTTTCTCGTTTTTTGATGAAGTTCGCTTCAGAAACTCTTCGACAACATGCCAACCAATGTACACACTGACCGACGCCGCCCACGCCAAGGAAACCATGTTTAATGTTTGTTTTTTTCTTAATTTTTTTAGCGAGTTAAAAATAGTGAATTAGTGAAAATCCGACAAACAATTTTTTTCAGTCTACTTTTTTTCATAGGAAGTTAGATTTTTTTACGTGAATTTGATAATCCTGGGATTTTTTTAAAAAAATAATTTTTCAATCAAGTAAAACCAAAAATTCTTCGATTTCTCACACAAATTCCGTCGTATCTTTATGAAATTAAGGTGGTATGAAAAAAACACCAGCGAAAATTCAAACGGCGACATTTTCCGATTTTTTCATATCGCTAGGGAACTTTCCGACGGCCACCTTTCCGACGAAATTTTTTCCGACTTTTTTCCCTTATATTTTTCTGTTTATAAGACATCTATTTAAATTTTTTTCCTATTTCTTTGTGTTTTAATCATCAACCAACTATCTACTTCATATAGGAAGATTTAAAACGAAGATTTTATCGAGAAAAAAAGTCGGAAAAAGATTCGTCGGAAAGGTAGCCGTCGGAAAGTTCCCTAGCGATTTGAAAAAATCGGAAAAGTCGCCGTTTGAATTTTCGCTGGTGTTCTTTTAATACCACCGAAATTAAGGCCGATTTTTCTCCGAATCAAAGCTCTTGACGAAGAATAGGTATGATTCGTTGTAGAAGATTCGGATTTCGATTCTCAAGATATACCTAAATAAGAAAGGAACCAAAAAAGTAGTTCAAACTGACCATCAATAAACGGAGGGTCGACAGTTCGGCAAAGAATCGGCCGAATTAAGAGGAAAAAAAAAAGAAAGATTAAAGAAAAAAGTTGAACCAACCAAAGTTAATAATAACAGTTGATAAAAATATTTTTAAGTTTGGAACGTATCTGATCGATGAATCTCCACAAATGCAAAGAACTTTCGCAGTTCTAAAACGAAGATTGAAGCTCGGAAGAAAGAAATCCTTGAAATTCAGCTAAGACGAACTTTAGAGCGTTCTGATTAAAACCTAAAAAGTTTCATCTTTTTTCACATGTAAGTTGATTTCATTTAAGCTCAAAAATGACAGAAATCCTCATTTTTTTCCACAATTTTCGCGCTTCTCTTTTAGAAATTTAGGCCTATCTATTGAATATTATCTTTCGAAAACAGTGAACTTACAGCAAATGAACGTGATGCTGAAGTTCCTGAGCGAAAAGGAAGCGAAAAACGAGAATCGCGTCAGCGACGACGTCTTCATCCAATGGCATGGAATGGCCGAAACAAGGCATTTTCCTGAAAATTTTCGGATTGATGTACTTTTTCTCCAGTTGCCTCTCCTCGGCAGTCTTCATATCGGCTGGCCTGCCCAACAATTCGATTTATGACAGTGATATCCCGGCCACCAGGGTATTTTTATTTAATCGATCAATTTTTGTCAGATTCTTCTAGTAGATCAGAGTAGTTTATTTAGATAAAAACGGGGAAAATTTTTTTTTACTCGCAATTTATGTCGAAAAATTGACCATAATTGGCTGAAAAAGGTCCTATTTTAAAGAAATTTCCAAGAAAATTTTTTTTATAGTGTTACCAATTTAGTGTTGTTATGTTTAAAAAATGGAGACTTTGTTTTTTTTTTCTCAAAGTTTTTTACTCCAATTTGAAAAAGCCAGAGAAAGCGACATGGATCGAAAAATGAGTATCATGGTGGGATTTTAGTATACTATCAATCAGTTGAAAAACTAAAAAGATTCCATCCCTTCAAAAACATTTCTCCAGCTGATGAAGACGTTCAACGACCTGGCGACGACGATGAAGGCGTCGACGCCACGACAAGACCACGACTGTCGCCTCACGGCCGGCTCCAACGTCTTCGGCCGCTACGTCAACGGCGTCGCCTTCAACCAGACCTGCCACACGGCTGCGCGACCTGAGGTTGGAGGAATATGGTGAACTCCGCGCGGACTTGTCATGTTTAAAAAAATATTAGAAAAACCTACAGTATACATAGATTTTCGCTGTAAGACCATTCGTTCGTCTAATGTTCATTCAGTCGTCATAGAAAATTCTCTACTGAATCATGGAATAATTGAAGAATGTCTGTCGGTTCGGGGAACTGTAGTTGACCAAGGACGACGCGTAGATCATGACGCCCTCTTTTGAAATTAGTAGACGAGTTTTGAGCGTTCCGATGATCAGCTGCGTCTCCATGTGGGAGCAGTACGGCTTGTCCAGGGCTGGTCGGATCAAATCTCAGGCGAGAGTGGAGATTAATACCTAGCGCTAAGGAGATAGAAATGAGATGATTCATCTGAAAATATACGGTACTTTGGCCCAAAAAAAAACGTGACAAGTTGGAGCGGAATAGGCTATAAAACCTCCCCACCAGAATCAAAAAGTAGTTTCAGGACGTCGTCGGCCAGTTCGTGCACATCGAGCAGAAGAGAGCCGCCCGCGACGACGTCTCCCTCTGGAGCGAAATCGTCAACGCGGCTTTCCCACCGAAAAAGACGAATTTTAAAAAACGCCAATTTTCGAAGCGACCCACGTTTTGATCGTCCTCATCGGCATTCTACTCATATCGGGTCTCTAAAATGGCTTTATATTGAACTTACGGATATAACTAACGGAAAAGGCGGCTTTACTAACAATAATTATTCCACGTTGAAATAAAGATTGATCATTTTCGACATTTTAGTCGGCCAGAAGTGGTCGGCAATGGAATATGTTCATGTGCTGCGGAATCAAGAGGTTTTTTGGACTTTTAGAGGTCTCCGGATCCGTTCTTTTCGAAGAAAGAGGTGGTTCGAAGACTTGAGTTTTGAGTGAATACTGGAGGGGTCTAGTGATCGCTCTAGTGGTTTTGGCAACTCCTAAATGAATCCTTGGAGCCGTATCGTTCCTTAGAAGAGTCTTCATAAAAAGGGGCCAAAATCACTAAACTGACTACTGAGAATTGAAGATTACAATTCCAGCAAAGAAATTCATTTTTTTCTTTTGAGTAATTTCAGTGAAAAAGCTGATGTATGACAATAATTCTTAAAAAAAGATAGAAATTAATAATTTTGATTAAAATAGTAGTAGCAATGACTTTACAGTTCCCTGAGGTTCATTATGATTCAAGGTCCCTATTTTTCCGATAGTTTTCGTAAAAGAACACTAAAAGACTTGAAATCCACTTGTCTAGCCTTGAAAAGTTTCCTCCAGCAGGTCACAGCTCTTATTGGTTTGTTTTTACTTAAACTCGCCAGAAATGGGCGTGTCCAACCAATCAGGGACGTAGTTTGCTAGAGAGGACTTTGAAAGCAAGAGAAGTAGAAGTTTGATTGCATGGGGAATGGCTCAACGCTCGGCGGTAACTTTTAAGGTGCGACCGACCTCAAATGACTTTTCTGCTTCTTGAACCGCAGCGCGACCGCTACGCGTTGAGTCATTCTGCATGCGGCCATATAGATGATTCACGGCTGGCTTGATCCATCGAAAAAGGGTCCTGACAAGATAATACAAGAGATAGTCCCTGGCTCGTGGAGAGCGCAGACAGGTCACGCCCCTTAAGGGTCCCAAGCTAGCCGTGAATCGACTATAATTTTTCACTTTGAAAGGTCCAAAAGGTCAATTATAGGAAGTTCGGTCAATGGTCTTGGGTGGCGTGAAAAGGTTCTGCAAGAGCTACGGCGACTCGTATCTCTCGATCGACGTCGGATTTCAGAAGACCATTGGAATTGAACAGGTCCACGACAAGTGAGAATCTATTTTTCGATTCAAAGGAAGCAATGATTTTTCAGTTGCGCCGTTTCCACGCTCACCCTCGTCAAACCAGATGACTACGTTTCATCGAAACCGTCCAAAGCAAAATCCAAAAAAGTATTTCTCGAAAATATTCACGCTTTCAACGAATATTTTCCAGGATAAAATCGAGAATAGTTTTAACAAAACGGCCAAAGGAGGTGAGTTTTGAATGGAAGAAAATCATGGTAATAATTGAATTAGAAAATGTTTCATAGCTAAAAATATGTATTGAGAAAGCTAGGACTGCTTTTAAATGAAAAAAATGAGAGAGTATTTTTTTAAACTCTTGAAAGTTTCTCACTGAAAAAAACAGTTTCTAAATTTTTCTATTCTTGAGCATCCTATGAAAGATGAAAGAAGCTTGTAAAATTTTAATTTTCCTGAATTTTTCTTTCCGAGTAGAAGTAGCTTCAAAAATATCTTTTTCTGACTTAGAAAACTTCTCAAAAATCTCAAAAATTTGGTGGGAACAAAATTAAAATGAGGCTCTCATCTTGCAAAAACTCAACTGAATTTTTCTGAAAAAGTTCAAAAAAATGTTTTTTTCTGTTTAAGGTCCTCTTTTTTTCAAAATTATAAAGTTTTTTTGTTTTGAACAAAAAAATCATTTTCTAAGCAATTTCTAGAAAACCACGATATAGTAAACGTTTCCCGACTTGGAAGGCGAGGGAGGCGGGGCAAGGGGCAGGGGCGCGTAGCGTGTGCGTACGCGGTTTTTGGCACGAGTTGAATCTAAGCGCACCGACTATTCAAAAAGCTCGGTTTCTTTTTTTCTATTCCACTATTTTTTTAATGCGCACATGAAAATAAGCAATAATTAATTTTAAACGAAATGAAAAGAGCGATAAACGAGCTCTCCAAATAGTTGCTGGCAGTTGAATTGAACTCGTGCCAAGAACCGCGTACGCACACGCTACGCCCCCCGCCCCCGCCCCCGCCTCCATCGCCTTCAAGTCGGGAAACATTGAATATATTGGAAATTATTATTAAAACGCCTAGTTTTTCAATTGCGACTTTCAGTTGCAGCAGCCGATGGCAAGAACCCTGAAAAATGTTGCGAAAAAAAGAAATGAAGGTTCCAAATCCAGAACCTGTTTTGCAAAAGGCGGAACGCAAGGTAGAATTTCAAACCTTATTGATTAAAATTGAAAATTTTTAGGAGCTACCATCGGGCGAATTTTACGCAGTTCGTGACGTTCAAGAAGTTCCGGGCAGTAGGAATAAGCGAGTATCGAAGTCTCTCGCAAAACCAACCGAAGAGTGTCTGACGGTATGCTTTTTTTGTAGAGCAACTGGGGTCTTTAACGGCGCATGGAGAAAATTTTGATTTGGTCTTGAAGGGAAGAGCCTCTTTGAGCTCTTCCGTGTCTTTAAAGACTTCTAGGCAGTAAAAAGGAAGTTTTGAAGCTTTTATAGGTTCTTATAGAGCTTCTTATTATAATCCGAACGATCATCGTGAAGTTGTACAGAAGTCCCTACTTTAAAAAAAAAGTGCGCAGAGTGCATTTTGCAGCATCATTGCTCTATGGATAAAACTCATCTTCATTTTTTGTTTCACTCTTAGACATTGGTAACGTGTCCAGGCGTGTCGGAGCCTCTAAAGTGACCCCTTCAGCGGCGTCAGAACTCTTAAGTGATCCCTAGCATAGCTCAGAAAATTCAGGGGTACTCTCGGATTCCTGGTTTATGTTCTCGCGTTTTTTTCATATTTTGAAAAGTCAAAATCCATTTTTATTGCCCATATGCCTTTAAACGACTTTTAAATGAACTATGAGACCAACCAGTCCAAAATACACCTTTCAAAAATTTTAAGGCCCGAGAAATAGCGACACGAGAGCCTGGACAGAAGTCCGACCCAACCGATCGCGATGCCGAATCTCTTCGATCAGGCAAATCGGTAATTTTACTCGTCGGGAACTTTTAATTTTCCCCTTACAGCCTTGCGCTTCGGATAATGAAATCCCAAGCAACAGTGAATTTAAACCACGGCCTAAGAGGTACCGACGACAGTCTCTCCGGAAGAATTCCGAATTTGAAAAGGTGAATCCGCCGATAGAAGTCAAGCAAGAGGTGAGAAAAGCATCGGAGTTCAGAAAAAAGAATGAGAAGAGGTTTAAGGTCAAGCCTCTAGTTGAACTGAAAGAAGCGCCCAAGCCAAAAAGTCCTCCTTCCGACGTGAATACCGCCGTAGAACTCAAAGAAGAAGTACCCAAAATCGATGAGAAGCTTCAAATGGAGCCGAAGCAAGAAGAAGCGCCGAAAGTTGAAGTCCAGCCGGAAGCTCCGCCTCCTGAAGTGAAACAAGAAGAAGCGCGAGTCCAGCCGGAAGCTCCACCTCCTGAAGTGAAGCCGGCAGAAGAACCAAAAGTCGAGGTGAAACAGGCGATCGAAGTCAAAGAAGTAGCTGAACCGAAGACCGAACCTCAGCCTCCACCTGAGCTGAATCCAGAAGAAGCTCGGAAAGTTGAAGTCCAAACAGAAAGTACAGCCTTATACCTGACACCAGTACCAGAACCACAGAAGGAAGTGGGAGGCAAATCGGAGTATCTTCCAGTGCAGCCACCGACGGAGCTGAAGCAAGGAGAAGCACCGAAAATGGAACCCAAACTAGAAGAGATCAAAAAAGAAGAACCGATGGTTGAAGCCAAGCCAGTGACTGAGATTAAAATAGTTGAAGAGAAGAAGGTTTGAAAAAATAAAGGAAGGAAATAATAAATGATGAATATTCAGGTTGAAGCCACGCCGGAGAATCCACCTGAAGTGAAGGCGGTAGAAGAGATCAAGAAAGAAGAACCGAAGGTCGAAGTTCAACCTGTGACAGAGCTCAAACCGGAACCTGAGACCAAACAAGAAGAAGCTCAAAAAGTTGAAGCCGCACTAGCACCTGAACTCAAGCAGAAAGATGCTCAAGAAGTCAAGACTGAGAGTGTAGTTCTCTATCTGAAGCCGCCAACCGAGCCGAAACAAGAAGTTGGAGGCAAATCTGAATATCTTCAAGTCCTCCCACCGACTGAGGTCAAAGAAGAGGCTAAACCTCCGACCGAGCCCAAACCAGAAGTCTTCGAAGTCAAGCCTGAGCCCAAACAAGAAGAAGCGCCGAAAACCGAATACAAGGCGGAAAGTGTGGTTCTATACTTGAAGCCGCCAACCGAGCCCAAAAAAGAAGTTGGAGGCAAGTCGGAGTATCTTCCAGTCCAGCCACCGACTGAGATCAGAACAGAAGAACCGAAGGTCGAAGCTGCGCCTCCCATCGAACTCAAACCAGCACCTGAAGCAAAGCCAGAAGAAGCACCAAAAGTAGAAGAAGCGCCGAAGATTGAAGCAAATCCGCCAGTCGAGCCTAAACAAGAAGAAGCGCCGAAAGTTGAACCCACTCCAGTGTCTGAACCCAAGCCGGAAGAAGCGCCAAAAGTGGAAGCTCAGCCAGAAGTCCCAGTTTCCGAAGTAAAGGCCGAAGAGATCAAACCTGAAGAAACACCAAAAGTTGAAGTGATACCACCAGCAGAACCCAAGCAAGAAGAAGCACCTAAAGTTGAACCTGCTCCAGTTTCGGAACGCAAACCGGAAGAACCGCCGAAAGTTGAACCCAAACCAGAAGAGCCACCGAAGGTTGAACCTGCTCCAGCTTCGGAACCCAAACCGGAAGAACCACCAAAAGTTGAACCTGCTCCAGTTTCGGAACGCAAACCGGAAGAACCGCCGAAAGTTGAACCCAAACCAGAAGAGCCACCGAAGGTTGAACCTGCTCCAGCTTCGGAACCCAAACCGGAAGAACCGCCGATAGCTGAAGTCAAGCCAGAAGAACCACCAAAAGCTGAACCCAAACCCGAAGAAGCGCCGAAGGTTGAACCTGCTCCAGTGTCGGAACCCAAACCAGAAGAAGCTCCGGTAGCAGAACTCAAGGCAGAAGAACCGCCGAAAGCTGAACCCATATCAGAAGAAGCGCCAAAAGTCGAACCTGCTCCAGTGTCTGAACCGAAACCAGAGGAACCGCCAAAAGCTGAACCCAAACCCGAAGAAGCGCCGAAGGTTGAACCTGCTCCAGTGCTTGAACCCAAACCAGAAGAACCGCCAAAAGCTGATCCCAAACCCGAAGAACCACCGAAGGTTGAACCCAAACCAGAAGAACCGCTAAAAGCTGAACCTAAGCCCGAAGAAGAGCCGAAAGCTGAAGCCAAGCGGGAAAGCCCAACTCCCGACGTGAAGACAGCAGAAGAGATCAAGGAAGAAGGAAGAAAACCAACAGCTCCAGCAGCCGTCGTCGAACTAAAATCCGACCGTACGCAACCGAACTCTCCTCCGACAACTTCAGCGAGAACTGAGCCGACAACTTCAACCAGTACGACGAGTCTGATCAGCAGCCCGACGCCACGCACCTGGGCCAAGGCCACTCAGGTACGGATAATTTTGGAAATTGAGCTATTCAAACTTAGAGAAGATGAAAAACTTTTTCATGCGTTGAATTTTTGAGCAAAGAAAGCCTGAATACTTGCTAACATTTTTGCAAAAAAAAAAACAACTTTCAAAAGGAAGACAGAAATCCTTTTAAAGGCGCATAGCTCAGATTTCACTGTTGTAGAACCATTTATTTGGTAGAAGCTCTAAATGAAAAAACTGCGCTAATCAAAACAGAACAGAGGTACCGTAGCGAATCAAGAGATACTGTAGCTTAGCTATGCGCCTTTAAACTTGAAAAATTTCTAAATTTCTGAAAATCGACATAAGTACAATAACTGCTTGTCAATGATACTTCGAGAATCGTTTGAACTTTTAAAGAATTTTCTCGTCAAACTTTTAGATTTTTTAAATGTCCCTTCAGTCTAAATTGAACTTCAGCTGACTAGAAAAAAAGTTTAGACGGAATTCGCCAAGCCATACAGCGGCTCGTTCGACGTGATAAGCGTCGTCGATGAAACTGTCACAGTCAACATTTCATGTACATGACACCCACCGAGTTATTTTTTTTTTTTTGCTTCATCGTGTTTCGAATGAACATTCATCAGATGCCACTATCACTATTTATCTTAGGTGATGAAAAAATCGGTACAAAATCTACACGTGTGTTAATCACCGGTTATTCTACACAGGAAATTAAGTTAAAACGGGTCAGAGCTATAAGAGAACAGGAATGCGTTAGGAAAGTGAATACGTAAGATCTAAGCTTTGGTTGCGATGTAGGAGATGAGGTCGACGACGCGGTTCGAGTAGCCGAACTCGTTGTCGTACCAGGAGATGAGCTTGACGAAGTTGGGGTTGAGCGAAATGCAAGCGCCAGCGTCGAAGATGGACGAGTGTGTGTCGGAGACGAAGTCCGTCGAGACGACCTGATCCTCGGTGTAGCCAAGGATTCCCTTGAGCGGTCCCTCGGCCGCCTCCTTGATCACCTGTAAAAGGAAGGTGGAGGTCTCTTTTTCTAACTTATCTCCTTGTTAGACATTTTTCGTATACTTGATTGTTTTAAAAATAAGAAGCTTTCAAATTCAGACAAAATTCTTCAGATATTCACCTTCTTGATGGCATCCATGGTGGCCGGCTTCTCCAGACGAGCCGTCAGATCGACGACAGAAACATCGGGAGTTGGCACGCGGAAGGCCATTCCAGTCAGCTTGCCGTTGAGCTCAGGAATGACCTTGCCGACGGCCTTGGCGGCCCCAGTCGCGGCGGGGATGATGTTCTGGCCGGCGCCGCGGCCGTCGCGCCACAGCTTTCCGGAAGGTCCGTCGACGGTCTTCTGCGTGGCGGTGACGGCGTGGACCGTCGTCATCAGGCCTTCGATGATGCCGAAGTTGTCGTTGATCACCTTGGCCAGCGGCGCCAGACAGTTGGTGGTGCACGAGGCGTTGCTGATGACGTGGTCGTTGGCGACGTCGTACTTCTCGTGATTGACGCCCATCACGAACATGGGGGCGTCGGCGGATGGGGCCGAGATGATGACCTGGAAAATTGAGTGATTTTTCCTCTTCTTAAGCAAATCCCATCCAGAAGGTTATTCAAAATAGGAAGATCTTGAAGTTTTCCGGAAAGTGCGAAAAAAAAGTGCTTCTGTCAAGATTTAGAATGTACTCAGACATTGGTAACGCGAAAGGAGGTTCTCCGTATGTTTCTGAGAAATTCTAGGGATCCCTCGAGAGTTCTGACACCGCTAAAGGGGTCAGTAGAAATGCCGCGACACGAGAATTGATATTTTTCAATTTTCCAGTCAGGCGTTTAAAGACTAACTCGAAGCGTTCAGTGAATACTCAAAAACCGGGAAAACTGCTAAATTGATTACTAAATGGCTACATTTTTCTCATGGTCAATCTGTGCTGCGAAAATATATTTTTTTACAATTGCACTTTTTTTAACCAACCTTCTTGGCACCACCCTTCAAATGGAGCGAAGCCTTCTCAATGGTGGTGAAGACGCCGGTCGATTCAACAACATAATCGGCGCCAGATTCTCCCCATTTAATCTCGGCGGGGTCCTTGCTGTTGAAGACCTACAAATGAACATGAATTTAAAGGCCCTTTCCAGTGAAAACCTTGATCTTGTGAGTGGATTTGCCGTCCTTGGCGACGATCAAGGTGTTGCCCTCGTGGGAGACGGTTCCCTTGAAGCGGCCATGGGTGGAGTCGTATTGGAAGAGGTAGACCATGTAGTCGATGTCGATGAACGGATCGTTCACCGCCACGACCTCTACCGAGTCTTTCTCGACGGCCGCCCGCAGGACGAGACGTCCGATGCGGCCGAAACCGTTGATTCCAACGCGAGCCTTGGTCATCCTTAATTTTCATTTTTCTTTAGATATTTCGAAAAAAATATTGCATCGTAGAAGCCATCATCCTGGCGCCAGATAGCAGCATTGCGTTGGCGATGGTGGGTACGACAAAATCTAAAAATCAGCACTTATTTAAGAAGCTTTTTTCTTAAAACTCTAAAATTTGAACAAAATTAATAGCGCGGTAAAAATTTAGAAATATCAAGGGTTCATTTGCCCTAAAGTGATCACTTGACCTGATATTTCGTTTTTGACAACGTATATGAAAAAATTAAGGTCGAGTTCAAAGTGACCTTCTGGCAAAAAAAATATATCGAGTTAAAGGCTCCTTTAAAAAGTTTGAAGTAGCCTTAAGTGATCACTCGACTTTAGAAGTTTTTATACTCGAAAATATTATACGAGCTTCAAGCTACATTTTAAACGCTACGGCCGCATGTGGAATGGCTTACAACGCCGCGACCAGCCAAAATATTTCGAAGCTTGCAACTCAACCCATTCCACATGCGACCTTCAGCTTCTTACACAACTGGTTCCTAGATTTCGTCGTACCACCACCAAATCTGAAAAATAGAAAAATTAAGATAACAATTCGCAGAGGACGAACATCTACAATAAAAAATAATAAATAAAAAGAAAAATAGTTTATTTTAGTAGTACCGGCGAAATGATTAGGAAAAAAGGATCACTGAAAAAGACGCACGCACAATAAGTTATATACACAACAGTAACTTTAACCTAATTTTTTCAACTAACGTGCGCAAAACGAGTTTTTTTTTTCTTAATGAAATTAAGGAATTTATTCCTTTCCGAGGGAACGCTCTTCGGCCTCAATCTCGGAGATGCGCTTCTGGTGACGCTCGAGGGCCTAAAATTATCATATTATTGACTTTTTTATTTTGGTTAAGGTGAGGCGGAGTCAGGGTAGAAAAACATCGACTGGGATGCTCTCTAGTAAATCTGTTAAACCAAGTCCTATCATTTTTTCGAAGTTTTTTTTTTCCAGGCTCTCGTTTTCTCTATTTTCGCTTATCCTGGACCTTCTTGTGGTTCTCCAGCTGCTGGGCGTGGTGGTCGACCTCCTCCTGGATGTGGCCGCGGAGCTTCTGGAGCTGCTCCTTCTGCTTCTTGTAGAAGTACTCGTCCTCGCGAGCGGCCTCCATCTTGCCGAAAGCGCCTCCAGCGTCACGGATGCTACCTCCGGAGCCGCCACCACGGCCGGAGCCTTCTCCGGGTCCGCCGGACAGAGCGCGGACGGCGGTTCTAAATTATTTGATTCACCCTCTCGATTTTATATCATTTTGATGAATATAATATACCTCGCGACCACAGGAAGCTGGTTTACAACGCGTAGCATGATCTGCAAACGAAAAATGAGTTACGGACGTCATTTTCAAAAAAAGTCACCGACGAAAATGGTAGCACGAAAACAGTGATAAGATTTTTTTTTTTTTATTTCGAAGATTTTCCAATTTTATTTAGGATAATGCAGAACTTTGGTGCCTTTGAAATTCTCAGTCAGAATTTTTTCAGTAGACCAATCATGATAAAAAAAAAGAGCTTTTAAATTTTAACAAGAACAGTTTTTGAAAGCGTCAATGAGATAGTTTCCTGGAGAAAATCGTTACAGCTTATAGAAAAAGCTCTTTTTGACTTCACCCGCACACTCAAAAACTTCTCAAATTCACCTAAACGTTCAAAATTTTAGACCTAGAGATCGAAAAGAACCGAAATGATGACAAAGTCTCATTATCAGTATTAAAGCACTCTAATGAAGAAAATTGATACCATATAAAAATATTGACCTTTGCTGCGCTTTTCCTGCTTTTTCAACGACCTAGAGCACTCGAAATTAACTTGAAAAAATGGGAAGTTCAACTGAAAAGGAAAACAACAAAAGATGCGCGCTGCTTATCGAACCTCGTTGGCGCGCGCGTGCAATGCGTACATTACGGCAGATCACACGCCTCAGAAGTAATAAACAAAGTTTAGAAGATCGAAAAGCGTTTTTTTTTTCAATAGGGATGCAATTTCAAACATTTTATTCGTGAAAATTGAGAAAAGAGAAAAAAAATTGCACGAAATCTTCAAAATCCCCTCGAAAAATTCATGAATAATTTTGAAAAAATCTGATTTTTTTTTCAAGGAGACGGTATTCAAGATCACAGTAGATCAAACAAATACAGAAAGCTCGAATTTAATTTTTTTTTTGAATTTTTTTGTTTCTTTTCAACTACTTATACAAATAAAGTTGCCTCATGCGAAATGGCACTTTTTTTCTTGGTTTTCATACTTTTTGGCTTGTAATTTGCTGGGGTCCTATTGGAAAAAATCATATTTCACATTAAAAGTAATGAAATTGAAAAAATGAAGATGCCAGTAATATTTTAAAGGCGCAAAGCGTCGGAAAAGTTATATGGTGTGCGTCTACGGTAAACATGTGATCTTTTCCGCTTTCTCCCCTCATTTGCGTTTTCGCGCATACTCCTAACCCGGATTCGGTCTCAATTTCTCTTCGTTCCCTTGTTTCTAGTTCAGTTTTTTTTGTCCCAAATAATGAAATAGTCCCGAATCATATGAATCGTCGTTTCATAGAGCTTTAATTCATGTATCTCTCGAGTAGTTATTTTTTTTATGCTTTTATTTGCTTCGTCGCTCTTTTGAAAGGTTTTTTTTTCGCTTTCAAGTAATTTCCATAGTTTTTTTCAATATAAATTTTTCAGACGAAGGTCACGAAACCGTTCCATCTTCAAGATGGGAAGACAGTTTGCCGGTAATTACGGTAACATTTTATTTGTATTCATTTATTTTCCTAATTTGAGAATTCAGGCGGAATCGGGACCGTTTACAGCTGTAAAAAGTGTGATACATATTTAACGTGTCACGGAGAGCTCACCAGCGCCAATTTCACCGGTAAATTTTGGTTTTTGACACGTTTTGATGGTTGATTTTGCAGGTAGTACTGGTCCTGCGTGTCTTTTCAAGCGCGTTTGGAACATTTTAGAAGAAGAGGCCATTGAAAGGAAAATGCTGACCGGAATGCACGTGGTTCGCGACGTCAAATGCCTCGTTTGTGAGGTCATTTTCTGAAAAACTCAATAATATTTTTCAGCATTTTTAGATAAAATTTCAGGGCTTTCTTCCGACTTTATTAACGGGTTAAAAAAGTTTTTTTTTTCAATGAAAAGTGCTTTAAAAAAACTTTCTAGTCTGAGAAAAAGTCCATGGGGGGCTTTAAAGGAGCACAAACAGGTTTTGAAATGAAATATTAAACGAAAAGATTGTTTTTAGTTATTTAAAGCTTTTGTACGTTTCGAATTCAGTAGTGCTTGTTCTCTCTATTAAAAAAAATCGAAAACAAGGAAAACTTGCAAGTTTTTATAGGCAAAAGTCGGCTGGATGTACGAGTTTGCCTACAGCGATGACCAAACTTACAAAGAAGGGCAGGTTATTCTGGAGTTGGCGTTGATCCGACAATCAGAACCGCTTGACGATCCCCTTGGAGAAGATAAAGTCGCTTTGATGTTAGTAGCTTGAAAAGTCAAGAAAAAAATTCGGAAAAATGAAAAGAAAACGAAAATTTTAAAGTGAGGGAGCTCTGGAGCGTCCTCGCCGTCAGCGCCGTCGCAACAGAAGCTCAGCTTCGAGTTATGCGAGTTCCCGGAGTTCTCGTTCTATTTAAAAATAAAAATATTGGAAAACTCAGGGTTCGGCTGTGAAGTTTCCAATTGAAAAAATTTTTTAACCGGATAAAATTAATTTGATGAAGCTGTGGCTATTTGGGAGGGTGGAAATACGTTCATTCGCCATTTTCTGTTTGCAAAATACACTTTTCAGTGTTTGGCATTCTTATTTCGAGCAGTTTTTGAATAACAAACCCTTGAAAAGTCAATAATTCTCTGCCAATTAGGCATATCTTCTCATGTGTCTTAATTTATCTCATTAAAAGAACTAATATCGCTTTCAGCAATTAAAAACTGCTCAAGAATAGTGTCATTTGCGCTATTTTTTGCAAGTTCGAAGCCAAAAGTTTGATTTTTATTTTTTAATTGCTTCATTAACACCGGAAAAACACGCCGAACCCTGATTTATACCTTCTCCTACTCTCATTATCTTTGAATTTCTTTAAAAATTGTAGTTATTGCTTTCCTAAAAATGTACATACCTGCATATCATTGTATAAAGTATAAATTTCTATGTCTCTTTCCAATTATCTATTCAATTTCCTCTCATAGGTCATTCAATCCAATCCACGTCGTCATAGAGTTTTTTTGATAACTTTTTTCCTCTGATATAAATTTTTCAAGTTGGTACATAATAATCGCTGGTAGATACTTATGAGGTCTTATTCAAGGAAGTTTACGGTCCGTGAAAAAAAGCTAAAAAAAGGAAGGCCTATTTTAAATGAAATATACACAAAAAAATGAATATAAAGGTCCTATTTGAAAACAAATTTCTTTTTCAAACTTAACGGACCCTAAACTTCCTTAATTCTGCCTCTGAGCTGTAATTTTTCTCTGTATTTATGTACATTTTCTTCTTTTTCTACTTCTTCCTCCTAATCAAATTAATCACTCGCGTTTATCATCTTTTGTATATTTTCTCTTCAGGGAACTAACTTTTTCTCTAAAAAGTGCTTCTTATTTGACTTTTCAATGGTTCTCTTGTCTCGGTAGATTTTCTATATATTGAAAAAAGTGCTTCTTATTATTTTTCATCGTCTCTTGGAATTTCCAGGTCCCGGTTTTTCTCAAAATCACAGCGAATTGTCGTCTTTTTTATTCCACCGGTAGTCTTATCTACCTGTGCATTTTTCTGCGACCTAAATTCGCTTACTGCCATTTAGGCAATGTGAATTTGTTTTTTTTTTTTTTGTAATAAATAGTTTCATTTTTTGTTCAAATTGATTTCAGGTCTAATGTTTTATCTTTGAAAATACCTGTTTTAATCAAATGTCTGACTGTATTCATCTTTTTTTCCGGTCCGTAAAGAGGTATGGGACTGAAGTTCCTAGAGAATTGGGGTGGTCGAGCAGTTTATTCATGTGAAAAGTGCGGCAATTATTTAAGCAATGGCAGCGAGGTTCTGTCCACCAATTTCACAGGTTTGAGAAGAGAATTTTTGAAAAAAAGGTTTGTTTCAAAACGTTTTAGGCGTTACGGGCCAAGCTTATTTGTTTCGACGCGTCGCGAATCTTCGCCTGGGAGAGATTGATGTTCGCGAAATGATCACTGGAAAGCATCATGTGTGTTTTTGAAGCAAAATTCGAACTTTTAGTCATAAAGAATCTGGAAAGAGACGGAAAATACTTTGAATGCTCCTAAAAAGTACAAAAGCTTCTTTTCCAATAGCAAAGACATTCTACTGCGTTCCGCCACTCTGCTATAACTATTTCAATATATTTTTATCATTATTTTGAACTTTTTGAAAACCCAATTAAGACATTTCTTACGAAATTTCTTCGAAAAAAAATAGGAACTTATTTGCAAAAGCTATTTTGCAATATGATCGTTTCAAGGACGTTTTGGATTATTTTTTCTGATTTGTAAGTATTTTATAATAGCAATTTATGACTGTTTCGAAATACTTGAATATTTCTTCGATTTTGGTTGTCTTTTAAGATCCTCTTGAGCTTTTACAGTCATTTTGAAATAAAATTTATCAAGTTTCAGTTGAACATTTTTGTAGGTTCGCGATGCATTTTGTGTATGTTGCGAGGCGAAACTCGGATGGATGTACGAATTTGCTTGGAATGATTCCGAGCGCTATAAAGAAGGTTACTATGGAAACCTTTGCATGTCAAGAAAAAGTTATTTTCCCTAAAAATTTATGGAAAATGGCTTGTGGTTCGTTATTTTTAGGAGATTTCAAGAAAAAGCGACCTTTTGAAATCATTAGAACTTTAAGTGAATAAAGGGTTCCATTATATTTTTCTTTTTGAAGCTCTTAAACTGGATTAAATCTTCGAAAAAAATCGATTATTTTTTTCTTAACACATTTTTTTAAAGTCTATCGTGCTTTTTAGGATTTTAATCAGGCCCGGAAGACTTAAAAGGTCAAAAAGTTGAATGAAAGAAATATACTTTAATTTAAAATCTCGGTGTTTTATAGTTTGGCTTTTAGACGTTTTTAAAAAAAACGTCAGAATTTTTCGGCTCTACGAGTGATTTTTGGCATTGAAGTAATACAAAAAAACCAGGTAGATGTAAAAATTTGGAATTTTTCAAGGCGCGATCACCCTCGAGCGGAAGCTGATCAGCAAAAGCGACGGCCTGAAAGACGATCCACAGAAGCCGTTTAACAGCGGAAACCCCGACAATATTCGTCGTCCCGAGAACTCGGAAGTCGCCGAGGAAGACCTGGAGGAGGACGACGTCGAGCAACCAAACTTCGTCCGTTATTTTCTGCCCCCGGCGGAGAATCAATTAGAAGACGGCCAGATGAATGCTCAGTTGGAGCCGGCTCGGCATGAAGCTGTACGTTGGAAATGAAAGATAATTTTCGGGGACTTTCTCACTTTTTTTGGTCTTAAAACTACTAGAACTTTTGCTGATTCCAAAAAAAACCTAACACGCCAGTCCTATTCTCATTTTGACCTGAAAAGTCTGTTCGAAAACCCCGGCTTCTTAAGTCTCGCCGGCAGATAAAGCATATCGAAATATTTTCAAAACGTCTCGAACATTAGTAACGCGAAACAGACCCGAATCGGAAGTGTTGGGACAATTTTAGTAACCCCTTTAGCGGAGTCAGAACTCTTAAGTGATCCCAAAAATTGTCCAGAAATGTCCGTTTCGCATTACCAATGTCCAAGGTCAAACCTTAAGGTCTCGAAAAATTCTAGGTTTTCCGTTAATTTTAAAAATACCTGCCAATCATTATTGCCATTTTGACCTGAAAAAATAGGTTCGAAGAACTTTTTTCCTAAGTTATGCGGTCTAACGTCTTATTGGAATTTTCGATTTTTTTTTTTTGGGATCCATAAATTTATTTTTAAGTGTATGCTTGAATTAGGTATTATTCAGTTTATCAAAAAAACTCGATAAATACAAAAAAATCTGAAAAAAAAACATAAATATTTTTATTGTTTCTAAAAAAATTTTTGCAAGAAACGGTTGAATTTTTTTGCTCCGCTTGAAAAATCTTGTCTGAATTTCTTTAAAGTTTAAAAAAATAAAGGAAAAAAAGGCTCATTTCCTCGAATTACATAAAAATTAATAACTTCATAAAAAAATCCTTAGAAAAAAATTGAATTTTTTTCATGTTTTTAGATGTTGGATAACATCAGACGGGCGGCTGAGATGGAGATCCGAAACGTGATCGATCTCTGGGGACTCGAAGAAGAGAATCAGCAGGCGATTCTGCTCCCTGGCGAGTATAATCGAGTGGGTTTTGACTAAATTTTCTTTAAGATAAGGTTTAAAGAAAAAAAGAATTTTTCAAGATTTCTTTCTTCTAGAATGTATGTGAAGCTGGCCTACAGTTTATCGCTTCGTCTATCGCTTTGTCATCGTTTTTTTGAAATAAGCAAAACTTTAAAGTACCCTAAAGATCGTATCTGGTATTTCGCTTCTTCATGGCTTCAAATAATATTTTGATCACCCACCACGATTTGAGGCATTCTAACATGTCTGCGCTCTCTTCTCTCTTACCTAAGAAGTCATGAAAACATGAAAAAAGTACGAAGAAGAAAAGATTGCATAGACTTCAGAGTGTTCCAGCTCGAGAAAAGACCAATTCGATTCCAGAGAGCCCAAAGAATGCGGGTCCGTCGGCTCCGGCCGCGGAACAACGCCTTGCCGCAGGCGCCACAACCGCCCGCCCGAGGCCAACCCCTCGACCTGGTCGCCGAACGTGACGATCACGACTATATGCCGCCGATGGAGCCGGTCTACCCGCCCCCGGTGCCCATCGTCGAGGCACGTCTCCGTGCCGCCGGCTACAACCCTCGCCGGAGAGGCCCGGCGATCGTCCTCGAAGACGACGTGCTGCCGCCCGAGCTCGAACGGCAGGAACCCGGCGAAGGATTCGCCCGACTTCTTTTCAGAAGACCCCGAAGAAGTGGCGATGAATGAAGGGATACCCCATATCTTAAAGTCCTATAGTCTGTTCAGATTTTAAGTGTTAATTTCAAACTCCGCCCCTAATAACACGATAAATCAATCAGAGAACGAGCAGAGCGTCTTCGAATGACGTCATTGCACTTGAAAATCAAAATTTTAACGGACTATCTAAAAGAGATTTTTAGTAGTTTGCTCTCGGCAATCGTTCTCTGTGTAGTTGGTGCATGTGACGGTTGGCTTTTTTTCGATAGATATCCCTTTCTTTTTTTAGGAATAATTTACTGGAAAGAACGTTATTTTTGTGACTGAAGTTTCTGAATAAGATTTTTGTTCTAAAAATCGATTCTTTCAGTTCTCCTAGACTAAAAAAACTAGGTTCCTAAAAAAATTGGCGAAAATGAATCTTTTGGTAGTTTCTGGAGTTTATCAGAACTCCTATCAAAAAAATTTTTTTAATTTCGAAAAGTTTGAATTTGTTAGTATCAGGTCATTTTTCGCCTAAATCGAACGGTCTTCTAGAAGATTCTCTTCAAAAAAGTTCATTTTATCCGAAAAAAAAACACCTTGAGCAGTTCCTATCATAAAAAAGTCCCCAATTTCCTTATTTTCTTCTTCTTTTTTTTACAACCTCTTTGTGAATAAAATAAGAAAGAAGTGAAGAATTGAACATAGATCTCACAGAGTTTCTTAACGATATATATGAATATATATTGTGTATAATCCCCGGTTTGTTGAAAATTGTGATAGAAGCCTTGTATATGCTTTTTGATCCGTTTTGCAGTCAGAGTAGGGGAAAAATTGCTTTTTTTTTTCACAACAAATGTGTATAGCTTTTTTTTTGTTTCGTACAGCAAATTGATTTTCTTTTCTTTTTTCCTGTGCTTCGATTTCGCAATTCTTCATATTTTGTAACTTTCCGGTTTTACTTAATTCTTGTTGATTTGTTATTGGTGACACTTCAAATCGTAGTACAAACGGTTGGATCGTTGGATTTTTTCAGACTTGTTGTCTCACATAAATTATTTATGCATGAATTTGATGGCTTTATCTTTGATTTCTTGTATTATTGTTACTTTCGTGTGAATATTCTCCCACCGTTTTTTGGAAGCTGTCGAGACATTTATAAACTTTTTTAAAAGGGCTTTTCAATCGTGTCGAACCGTTGAGAACGGTTTCGTTATTTGAAATTTTTGTCGGGAAATGAGTTTTTGTGCTTTTTTGGCCATGAAAAAGCCGGGTTTTTGTGTATTTCTTGCTATTTTACGCTTTGAACTTTGAATTTAAGAGTGGAGCTTGTATCAAATTTGTATCAAATCCTAAATTTTTTTCGTTTTTGAAGCATTCCCTTTAATTTTTCCCTTGATCCTTTGACATTCCATGTTTTAAAAAAATATGATTTCTGTTTTAAAAAAAGAAAAACCCTTTTTTTATTTTTTTTAAAAAGGAAATTTTCTTTAGAAATGACGATTTTACCGCCGTTCAAGAAAAAAAGCACATCCGTGACCGTTCGGATGCCCGTCAAAAATAATTCTGGATCGTGAGTTTTTTTCTCTTTTTTTTGTGAACTTTTTTTAGAGCGAAGAAGCTCAATTTAGTTCTGAAAGAATTCTTCAGATTTCATTTACTTTTTTTTATTTCACGCATTTTTTTGAAAAAAACCTTGTAAGAATATCCGAATAAAGTGAGGTCTTCTAAAAAAATCGCTCTTTTCCAGTAGCTTCGAAAAAAATTCTTTTTCTTATTTCCCTATGTGCAGTGAACAGTTTTTAGTTGAAAAAAATGAATAATTTTATAATTATCAATCTTTTTCAAGCGATTTGCGGAATTCGACGGGGAACCTCCAACTTCAACCCTGTGGACCGCAAGGAAATGCTCGGCGAATGAAAAACTCGCCAAGACCTAGCGATCTCCGTAGCCAGCCGCCAGCGAAAAGAAGTTCGTTCCAGAAAGAAATCGAAGGATAAAAACGTCAAAAAAAAATCATTAGCTGTTTTAATTGCTTCAAAACCCTCTTCCTTTGAGAAAATCTATTGATAGGCAAAGTCGGGAAGGGTTTAAAAAAAGGCTTATTGGAAATGATCCTTTTAGGGTGAGAAAGGCTCCTTTTTTGCTGCCCTTTTGCGCCATTTCTTCGACTTTTATGCATTAATTTTGCTGCCTTTTTCCTATTCCTGAGCCTTAAAAACCAGAAAAAATAGGAGGCTCGATAAAGGGACTCTTTTTGCTGCCTTTCTGTGGCCTTTTTTGAGCCTCAACCTTTTTATTTACCATTCCGACTTTGCCCGACCAAGAAAGAAAAGAATTTTCAGTGCTGAAAAAAATATTTCCACTTCATTTTATGGTATTCAGCGATGTATCAACCTCCGTCGAGCCTCACCAGCCCGTTGGGATCTCCGCGCGGCTCTTCTTCGGTCCATTCTCTGGACGATCATCACCAACTCCATTCCAACGCTGGAGATTCCGCCACTCAAGGAATTCCTCAGAAGAACAATTTATCGTCGGGAACCTTGAACAACAATTCGGATGATGAATATGAGCTGGAATATGCGCGGGATGAACAGGTCATTTCATAAAATTCAGTTGGACTTTTGAGTCAAAACATTGAAAAGATATTTATTCATATTTTTGCAATCTCAAAGATATTCCAGGTTGAAAAAGAGTTTGCCGATCGTCTACAAGCCCGGGGATTGACGATCAAAGAGATGGAAGGCGACGGCGCCTGCATGTTTCGCGCCATAGGTTTGTTTTTACTTTTTTTTTTGTTTTTCAATACTTTAAACATGCATGATCATGACAGGATGGCGAGAAATGGGCTATCGTCTCTGGTTTTTCAAAAAATTTTCTTCATTTATTCCAAAAAGTCGCTCAAGGGCTGTTGTAGTTTGAGATTTGGTGGTATGAAAAAAAAAACCAGCGAAAATTCGAATGGCGGCTTTTCCGATTTTTTTATATCGCTAAGGAACTTTTCGACGAAGAAGTTTCCGCCGACTTTTTCCGACTTTTTCCGACTTTTTTCCCTTATTTTTTCGGTTTATAAAACATCTATAGACATTTTTTTTCCTATTTTTTTGTGTTTTAATCATGAATCTACTTTATATAGGGAGATTCAAAACGAAGAATTTATCGAGAAAAAAAAATCGAAGAAAGATAGGTCGGAAAGGTGGCCGTCGGAAAATTCCCTAGCGATATGAAAAAATCGGAAAAGTCGCCGTTCGAATTTCCGCTGGTCTTTTTTTCATACCACCTAAAATTTTGCACTAGATTTGTAAAAAATCAATCATTCTATCAGCCAACAACACGAAAAAATTCCTTCCAGTTTCGAAAATAATATTTCAATCATTTCCAGCTGAACAAGTCTACGGAGACCAGGAAATGCACGGCCAAATCCGAGACCTTTGCATGAATTATATGGTAATAATCAAAATTTTTAGGATCAGAAAAATATTTGAACTACTCAGGAAAACAACCGCGACTATTACCGTGACTTTATCGTCGAAGATTTCGATCAATATATTGCTCGGAAACGTCTGAGTAACGTCCACGGGAACCATGTTGAACTTCAGGTTTCCTAGAATGTTTTAATTGAAGTTTTAGAGGTTTTTTTTATTTTTAGGCCATTTCGGAGATGTTTGCAAGGCCGGTGGAGGTTTATCAGTATAGTGATGGTTGGTTTTTTTTTTAAATTTTTTTGTTTGTATAAGCCTCATAGCAAAGATACGGGGTAAATCAACTGAACTTCGTAGGGGCAAAAAAAAAATTTTCGAGCTTTTTTCCAGTTTACTTGGTGCCTTTTTTATTGGCGAAAGTTTCTGGACGATATTTTAAGTCAAATTTTCAAATCTTCTCGAATATGAGGCTCTTTTTCATTGAAAATTGAGTGAAAGGCGGATTTTTTAAAGGAAGTTTCGAAAAGAAGAAGTTTTGGAGTTCTCAATGAAATTACAATATTAGATAACCTTTTTTCGATAAAATGAAAATAAGGGCAAAAAATAGGTGATTTTTTTCAAACTTTCAATCGTTTACATTTTGTAAAGAATCGAATCTGAATTTTATTAGTTTTTCAAAAAGAAAAAATCTTAGTTAGTTTTTTTTTTCAAGAATGAGAGGCAGTTTGACTGTCAAAGATTACAGAAATGCTGAAGCTTTTTTTGGATTTTTTGAGCCCTTTTTTCAACCTACTTTCATAGCTTTTTCACGGCTGGCTTGAGTCATGGAAAAAGGGTCCCGACATGATTTAAAAAAAGACAATTTCTGATTGGTGATAACCACAGACAAGCCACGCCCCTTCCCTGAATCGGCTATAGCACAATTTTGAGGGTTCTCGCGAATTTTCCATAGTTACTAATTGCAAAAGGGAAAACGCGGATTTCTGTACGATCACCGAGGAATCCTTGTTTCAGAGCCAATCAACATCTTGCTGCCTCGTAACATGGAAGCTTCTGGCGAACGTCCCGCCACAGAACCGGCTCAACAAAATGCCCCCCTTCGACTGAGTTATCACGGCGCTGTTCATTATAACGCCAGTTAGAAGCCTCTTTTCGTGATTCATTCTCACAATTCATTCTTTCAAGTCGTTGATCCGCACGCGGCGACCATCGGCGTGGGCCTGGGGCTTCCTGGAATGGTGCCCGGCGCCGCGGAGGCTTCTCTTCTGGCCGACGCCATGATCGACAGCGAGAGGAACCATTTGGAGGAAACGATGCTCCAGGACAAACTCAAGATGACCGACTGGCAGAGGACCCAGGTCGACATGGAGGAACAGGTGGGATGAAAATAAATAGGTCGCATTTGGAATGGCTAACGGAGTGGGCTTGGGACTTTCTGTGGCCAGAAGCATAGCTTGGGACTTCCGATGGTCAAACCCTTAGCGGCTCTTGAAAGATGCGTCCGACCTGAAACTACTCTAGCGCGCTTCCATAGGAGTATAAGAATAAGATGTCAAGATTTTAGTTCCCTGTAAGCTAGCATACATCCGCAACGCGACCGCCACCCTTTGAGCCATTCCAAGTGCGGTCAAGACCTGAAAAGTTGATTTTAATGCGTTTCTAGCCAGTCTGTCCACCTGTGAGATTTCTTCAACCGTTTCAAATTTTCAGTTTATTAATTTTCAATCATGAAGAAGCAGGGGTAGAAATAAAAACAAAAATTGAAAATTAGCCAGTTTTTTAAACGAAGAAAAGGGAAGGGAAAAGAAAAAAGACCCAAAAAATGCCTTTCTAGGACCCTTTTTGTAATTTTTTCCTTGTGAAAGGTGGACGAAAAAGTGAATTTTGACTATATTTTGTTCTTTTGTTGATGAAACTAGCAAAGCAGAGAGCAAAATCAGATGAGAAAAACCTTTCTCCATTTTCATGATATCGATTGAAGATCGCCCGCGAATCGTACCTCGACTACGTTCGAAGCGTCGACCAACGAAAGCCCAAGATGTCGCCCCAAAGATCCCCGCACTCGAAATCGCCAATCTCCTCTCCCAAGCCGAAAAAAGCCAACAGTGGCATCAAATGTAATGCAATCCATGCCGAACTCTTCTTTTATCTTTATCTATAGCCCCATCGCCGAAAAATCAGCAAGCTGACGTCCCTGCGGACAAACCTTCGACCAGTCGGGCTGGATTATACGAAGAGCTTCTCGCCGCTCAATCTCTTGGTAAATTTTTAATTTTCAAGAAAAAACTGTACGATTTGATTCAGACTGGGAAACGTATGACGAAGACGTGGCGACGGCCGAAGCGATGCTCCTCAGCCGCCAGGATTTCATGGCCAAACTGGAAGACAAATCCGGCAACAGTAGCAAAAACGATAGCTAAAATCCCTCCGCCCTGTACCATTTTGTACATAGCCCTGTAAATTCTCTTCTCGCATTCGACATTTTGGTGCTTCTCCCATTGAATTTCCCCCGCTTTTTGAGCTTTTCTTCATAGTCAAATGCTGCATTGAGATTTTTGCCTTCCGTACCTGTCTAGGTGTTTTAAGAGTGCCTTTTGCTTTTTTTTTTCTTTTTAGAGTTGGAGGACGATTTTTTTTCTTGAAAGTTTGAATTTTGAAACGTTTTTCTGCCCGCATCTGGGCTCAAAACGATCCTTTGATGGTTTAAAATTGGGTTTTGATCGCGTTTTTTTTCTTAATTTTTGTCATAGCTAATCTTTTTTTCTCCTTTTTTGGTAGAAAAAGTCGAGTTCAGGGATAGAAATCGAGTCTCATGTTCAAAATTTGGCTGGAAATATGTCTAGTCAATAGATTTCGTAATGGTTCTTGCGATATTTCATGAAAATTATGACGAATTTCGTTTCAAAAATAAGAAAATCGAAGAAAACAACTTTGTTTCAGGAGAAAAAAAAGAATCGCCCTTCAAATTTCATTTTTTTAGTCCTTGTTTTACTTACCTTGGTGAGAATGGAGTCATAGAATAGAGCCTTTTTCTGAATTTTTCTCGTTTTTTTCTCCTTTGTGGATTTTTTCGCTTAAGATCTTCTCTATCCCACGATATCTACTTGGTGTGTCTCAGGATGCTTTTTTTTCTAGGTTTCTTGCGGTTCATCTACTTTTTGCCAAATGTTCTATTACCAATTGTGTTAAACTGTTCTTTGGTCTTTTTTCTAGCGCTTTCGCCAATATTCATGCTTCTTGTGTCGTCCATGGTCTGCATTTCAGTTCGCTCTCGTCTGTAATCAATTTTTATTATATCGTTCGCATTAATAAAGTTTGCATTGACAAAAACAGATTTTTCTTGAGTTTTGAGCCGAAAATTTGTTACGGTGTGTGAATTCTGAAGATCACAATCGAGTTTAATCCATATCTTCAAGATGAATTTTTCTATTTTTCTATTTTTCCTTCAAAAGATGAACACAGAAATGTTTGGCAGAGTTTTTAAGAAAGTGCGCGCCAGCGAATCACTTGGAGAAAATCTCCAAAAATTTGTTGAAAAGCTGTCGTTTTGTTCTGTTTATATTTAATGCATCTGATCGTTTAGCTTTGAACGCGATTCGTCATAACATTAACGAAACGATATTTCAGTTCCGCGTTGCGCTCGGCTTGAAAGTGTAACCGTTGAAGAAACGGCCTTTGCTGAAAATGGTCGGTTTTTCCTTGTTCTGAGTGAAATATATTCGAATTTGAGGCCGCTTTATTCGGTTTCGGCCAATCGGCAGAGATTGCCATCAGTCTGGACAATGCCGAGAACAGAAAAGTTTGATTTTTATAATTTATTGTGTGAGTAAAGGTTGGTAGGTGAATTATTAAAGTATATGTTATTATGCTGGCGAATGTTCGTATAATTCATGAATTTACGAAATAAGAAACTACAGCCAAAATAAATAAAGAAATGCTTTAAAAACTAGAATTTTCATTTTTGAAGCACTATTCTTCATTTTTAGGCGTTGCCTGTTCTTTTTAATATAAAACCTTTAGATCACTTGGAAAAATTTTTTTAAGGATGTTTTCATCTTAATATGCGTTGAATTCAAAGCAAAAATTGTCCGAAAAATCGAAAAATTGTGATAAAAAAATTTTTTTCTTCTATCTTTTGCTTTTTTTGAGTGACTCTTTGATACCAGTTTCAGTACTATTTAAGTTAGATACTTATTTATCGAAAAATTGCTAATATCATCTTTACCTATAAAGCATGTTTCGAAGCAAATTTTAATGCTTTTTCTTTGAAATACCTTCATTTCCAAACATTTTTTATCAAAAAGCTTTTTAATAATGTAATTTATATCACTAGATTCTCTCTTATTTGTTTTTCTTAAGGTTTTGAAAACGCGTGGCGACGAAGTAAACGCTGAAACTTGCTATTTATTCTACGACGGCGAGACGATCTCGGGTACCGTCAACGTGACGCTCAAAAAAGCCAATCAAAAGTTGGAACATCAAGGGATTCGCATCGAATTCATTGGGCAAATCGGTTGGCTTTTCGTCGTTTTCTTTTTTTTTATTTGATGTTGTAGTGAACTTGTTGACACTTTTTTTTCACGAAAGTTCTCGTATAAAAAGCGATTTTTGCGCTTCCGCTTTGAGACCTGTGAACTAAATTTATACAATTTTAAGCGCAGAAAAAAAGTGTGAAAAATTGTAGAAAACTACCTATATACTTTTATTCTACTCGCAGTTCGAAAATCAAGGGTTTTTCAATAATTCTACTTAAGACAAAAGTGTTTTATATTTTATCAATCAAGCACATAAAGTTTCTAATTTTTCCGAGTTCTTCAGCGACCCTTTTTCACGATTCATTTGAAAATATTCTCGATTATCGGATAGCCAATTTTTTTTTCGATTCTAGAACTTCTCTACAGCTTCAACTTTTCCAGAAGTTTACTATGACCGGGGCAATCAGCAAGATTTCATCTCATTGGTCAAAGATTTGGCGCGTCCTGGGGAACTCACACAGAACGTCGCGTTTCGATTCGAGTTCAACAACGTTGAAAAACCCTACGAGACCTACCTGGGCACGAATGTCAAGCTGAGGTGACTTTTTAAAATTGAGATTGATGATAACATTTATTACATTTTTTTACGTTTTTACGCGCTTGAAAAAATTCATATCTTTGTCTCATCTAGCAGAATGGGAAAGTTCCCCTTAAATTTTGGCTTTTTGGCTTTTTTTTGTCTATTTACAGGGTGTTCCAGGAGATAGCTTGAAAAGTTTCAGTAAACAATTTCAAAACACCTCCCTTCTTTTCGAAAAATTCTACCAAAGCTCAAAAAATGATTAGTTAACAAGAACATAGCAGAACAAACTTTTACCAATCTCAAGATAATTGTCGTGCATTGTGAAGCGGCCGTAATACAAAAAGAAAGATCTGTAGATTTTTTTTTCTCAGTCGGATTTTCTTTTAATTTTCATTGACCAGTTCGTGATGACCAGAGTTTAGCCAAAAATCGTGTAGTTTTTTTTTTATCTTTAATGACCATCTATGCTTCTTAAATTTGCCCTTTCACGTGAAGTTTGAGCTTTCCAAAAACAGAAATTTTTTTTTTCGCTGTATAGCTGATTCACAGCTGGCTTGAGCCATCGAAAAAAGGGTCCTGACACGATAGTGCACGAGATAGCGCCTAGCTCGTGGAGAGCGCAGACAGGACACGCCCCCTTAGCGTCCCAAGATGGCCGTGATCAGCTATTTAGTTTTCGCGACTTGACAGTTTTCGCGTTTTGACGTCTCTATTTTCCCTCAGAGATACTTGGAAGTAGCACGTAAACATGAGAGAGACGTCGACAGATAAGGAGGGCGCAGAGAAGTCCTGCTCTTCCAACTCGCGAAAAACGGGTTATAAATCTATAACTTTTTTTTTGTAGGTACTTCCTGCGGGTGACGATCGTCCGCCGCCTGACGGACATTACCCGAGAAATGGACCTTCTGGTCCACGCCCTGAGTAGCTATCCCGACGCCGACAACAATATCAAAATGGAAGTCGGCATCGAAGATTGCCTCCACATCGAGTTCGAATACAACAAAAATCGGTTTTCCATAGTTCTCAAAAAAATTTTCGAAAGTTTTATTATAGGTACCATCTGCGTGACGTCATCGTGGGGAAGATCTATTTCCTTTTGGTCCGCATCAAAATCAAATACATGGAAATCGCGATCCTGAAGATGGAGGTCGTTGGCTCCGGGCCGAATACCTTCAAGGAGAGCGAGACGGTCGCCAAATTTGAGATTATGGATGGAGCTCCTGTGAGAGGTCTGCTGCGTTTTTATTTACAAAAAAAATGAGCTAATCTTGAGCTTTTAATTATAATAAGTCGTAGAAATTTGAAAAACGGGAAGAAAGGTCAATATTCCCATTTTCAATTTATTGCAGGATTCTTGGTAGAGATGTAGTAGCTGTACGAGCCTTATGAAAAAATGACTTATTAGACGTTTGATTAGCATATTTTCGAAGCTAAAAGTCCTCAGAGAAGCTCGCTAGTTCAAGGGATTACTTAAGAAAGGCTAATACCACTAAAGGGATCACTTATTTTTTCTTAAATTACAAGCTTCTCCAAAAAGTCGCCACTCGAAAAATCAATTTCGAAAAAATAAATGCGTTGATTTTTTTCCCTTGAAAAAATCTGTAGGCTGAACTCACTTTACAAAGGAATAGTTAGTTTTCAAATTTTTAAGTAATTTATGAGCATTTTTCGAAGCTAAAAGTCCTCAGAGATTCTCACTAGTTCAAGGGAATACTTTAGTGAGGCTAGTACCACTAAAGTGATCACTCAATGGCTCTAGTCCAGTCTGTGCCTTGTTTCTTTGCATTCGCCTGAGTTTATCGATGATCCACAATTTACTTTTTTCAAGATTTTCCAGAAACTCGCTACTCAAAAAAATGAACCTTTTTGTGAATTTTATCAATTCCTTTGTAAGCTTTCCTCAGCCCGGTAAGAATAGTCCTGAAATTATTTCTTTAAAAACTAATTTGAAAGCTTTTATTCAGTATTCATCATATTTCTGTAATTATTCAAGATGGTTCCCTGGGTTCAACTTCCCAAATTTGCTAAGAAACCTTCGAAATTCAAAATAATGGCTTTTCAACTTTTTTAACCTATACGATTATATGAACCATTTTACTGTTTTTGAAGCTGATTTTTATTTTTAAAGGCGAATCAATCCCGATTCGATTATTCTTGGGCGGCTACGATTTGGCGCCAACGATGCGGGACGTCGGCAAGAAGTTCTCAGTTAAATATCTCCTGAATCTTGTTTTTGATCGATGAGGAGGATCGACGCTACTTCAAACAGCAGGTTAATAATTTTTTTTTTCAGAAATTCGATCCTAAAAGAATTATCAAAATATGGAGATTGTTTTAATTTTTGCATTTTTGGCAATAAAATTGGGTTCTCTGAAAGTAGGGCTCTTTTTGAGAGAATTCCTCGATTTTTGAGAAATTATTGCTGCTCTCGAAAATAGTGTCAAGGGTCCCCTCCAAGGCTGCTAAAAGTTCTTAGGGATTTCTTCAACTAATTCTTCGTTTTTTCTAGAATTTATCGAAGTAGCTTTAAACGCGGACTAATCTGAAGACAAAATTATTTCTGACTCTCCGAAATTTAGTTATCTTTATCCTTTTACGACGTCTGTTTTAAATTTCACGTAGTCCCTTTGAAAACGCGGCGTAAAGTGCGAAAAAGGGAAATTTGAATTTTTCGAAGCCCTTATTGTGTTTTTCAAGGAAGTGACCCTTTGGCGGCGCGCCGAAAAGCCGGTGAGACGCGCCCTCGACGCCGGAGACGTCGAGGAAAAGCCCGAGGTCCAGAATCCCGGCACGCAGAAGTACGTCAGCGCGACGCCCCATCCGATTCCGGCGGAAGAAGACGTCGAACCGACGAAGGAGACGTCGACGGTCGTCAACGAGAAGAGCCGCTCCTCGACGCCAAGTTCTAACGATAGCTATTGATTTTCTTTCTCGGAAGAATTTAGTGATTGTAAAAGTGTAACTTGTGACTTTCCCAGTGGCATTATCATCATAGTCGTCAGAACCAAGAAGTCTAATTGATCAATTTTTGACAGATTGAAGAGAAAATTGGATATTTTTTTATAAGAACAGCGCTTCACTAATTTTTTTATTCGAAATTTGCGTCTTTTAAAGTTTCAAAAAGTTCTGGTTTTTTTGAAAAAAAGTTTTAGGGCTCGATTTTTTTCAGAAACTAAAAACAAAAATCGCACTCGTTGGTTTCAAATTATAGTTACAGAAAGCTTACAAGCTTCTCTGAATTTTTTTATTATTGGAAAAATCCAATTTTTATTCAATTTTTAGAAGAGTCGAGAGATTGATTAACTGATTTTCTTGGTTTTGACGACTTTTCCTCTTATTTATTGTTTATGAAAAAAAGAAACGTGTGATTCTATCGGCATTCTCTATAGGGAGAGTTTGGGCCTTTCTTTTCAAAATTGAAAATTTGCGGTCCGTAAATCTGAATATTTTAAAATTTATTAAAACTTTTAGAAAAAAAAATCGACTATTTCCGTTTCAAAATTCGTTTACGAGTCGTAAATACTCAATTTTGAAGCCCAAACCTCTCAAAAACCCATGATTGTGATGCTTTTTCTTTCCTCTTTGTCTCGAAATTTTCGGTTTTATCTAAAAGTTGGTTCCACCTTGCCAATGATCTGCGAGTCTGGTATATTTTATCCCCTTTCTAACCTTTTTCTTCACTTTTTTCTCCCTCTAGTTGTCCTCCTCGTTTTACCTGTGCCTCTTCAAAAAAAAAGAACCCGATTTGAAACAAACAAATAATTGTGGTGCATATATATTCAACAAAAAAGGAAATACTCGGCTGATTCACCTGTGATTTTGAAATACGTATGTTTTTGTAATAAGTTGCTATCCCCGAAACAGATTTCTTTTCTTTTCCCCAACGATTTGATTCCTTGTCAAATAAACTATTCACTATGACCGAACGTTTTTTCCGGAGAAAGTTCGTCGCAACGATTTTGAAGTATTTTTTCGCATAAAAAATGATAAAAATGACCTTTTTTTCAAGTGAAAAAAAAATGACAAATCGGGAGCCCCACGATTTTCGGGACCACAAGGCTCATATGCAATGGACGGTCAGTTTTTTTTATTTATTTTATTCTTATTGACCTTATAAAAAAACAAAATACCTTTTTAAAAAGACTTTTTATTGTACAATTTATTGATTTTTCCAGAAAAAGAAGAAAAAGTTTGTTTTCTCTTCAAAATTTCCATCTTAGTTGGTATATCCTGGTTTTAGGCTTTTTTTGATATCTTTTTTTATTTTATGAATGCTAAATTTGAAAAACAATGTCAATTTAAAATTTGTTGGAAGGTTATGAAAATCTGTTATTTTGAAAAGCTTTGAGGAAATAATGGTTTTTCAATTTGAAACAATTGATCAATTGGTTTTTGAGGATCTTTGCTTATATTTTTTTTTCAGGTAGAAAGAGACGCCGTCAAGGCGAATGTCCCGTTGATCCCATCGGATATGTCGGGTTCGTTTTTTTATTTTTTTCTGAAAGGCTTTTTATTCAATTTTTTTGGACCCTTCCGTTAATTTTATTACATTTATTAGTCAAGAAATGGAGAAAATTTATCATGAAGAATGGCTTATTTTCAAGCTTTTCCTGTCAAGAAACTTTAACGAAATTTTCAGAAGGATCAAGAGCGGTCTCAAATGCTTCATCGGGACTTTCAAAACTTTTGGAAAATCCGCTGATTCCTATCGGCATGGGCGCCACGGTCGGATGTCTCATTGGTTTGTTAATTTTGTCCTTTTCTCAAATAATTGTGAATAAAAAAATAATAGTTATTCCGCTTTTTTAGTCTTTTAACTTTTTTTTTGTCGTATTTTGTAATTTGAAATTCAAATTCTAGACTCCAAATGATTCACTTTTTTTTCTGTAATTTTTTAAAAATTTCTGAACAAATTTCGAGATACATTAGACAGATCTGCATTTCCTACGTTCACAAAAACATTTTTGAAGCTTTTCCAAGAAGTTAACAATGTCATACCAGAAAAAAATCACTCTCAAAGGAATTTTCTTATCCCCAAAGTTGCTCAAGAAAAAAATTCAAATTCATCAAGAAATGAAATTTTTTTCAGGTTTCTTTAATAATTATCTCTAGTTACTTTTTGTTACAAATTCATATTGAGATCTATTTTTTCAGGGATGCTGGTGGCTACCTTGAGAAGAAGTACAAAAGACGCTCAGTTGTTCATGAGAGGAAGAGTCATAGCCCAAGGGCTCACTGTAGGGGCCATCGTCGGCGGCGCAGCACTTTTTGGTTCGTTTCTTGTATATTTTTCTTGTTGTTGTTAGCTTGGGCAGTAATTTTTAAGATCAGAACATGATTTTTTTCACTAGCTTCAGTTTTGGGTTTTTGGGTATAAATCTAACTGAAAAGCTCAAAGTAAATGATATTTTCAAATTGTAAGTGTCGAAATTCATCTTGTAGCGGAAAAATTTTAATTTTTTTATAAAAAAATTTGCAAGCCATTCAAAAACGTTTCAATGAAGGTTCTCGGAGAACAAACCCGCTTGATTTTTCGAAAATTAAATTTCAAAAAAATTTCATCTCCAAAAAAAGTGTAAAGCTAATAATTCCATTTCAAGCGGTTTATAATCAAGGTTGTAGTTTTGTGAAATAAAAAATCAAATATTTCTCAGGAATTGGAGCCCCAGCAAACTCAATGAAACGACAAACTCCACCGGCCCATTTGATGCCCGGATCGACGCCGAAAATCTCCCAATAAGTTTGAAATCGTTTAATTTAGCCATGGTCTGAAATTTTCCATTTTTTTTTCACTCCAAAATTTGATTTTTATGCTCTATCTCTGTAGACTACGAATGTACGTGTAGGATTTCCAAAAATTGATTTTTCAATGACTTTTTTTTAGTTAGGCTCTTTTTCCACTGTTTTTTCTTGTTTTTATCGTTAATTTTATATTTTAAACTGTATATAATTATGTAAAATTGCGCCTTTTTTCTTATAAATTTTTTTTAAATTTAGTTTTTCGTGAAGGTTTGAAATTCCTAGTCTTTTTCTGCAGTGTACTTCATTTGAAATCCCGCTTTTTTCTTTTAATTTTTCATTCTTTCTTTAAAGTTCATGGTCGCACTTGGAATGACTCAAAATTTCCTTGCGGATAAAAAAAAACTCTGCAAAAAACATCAGCGCGAAGCCGTTGTTGGTCGGCTGCAGGCAAGAACGACTGCTACGCGTTTTGAGCCATTCCAAGTGCGACCACAGACTTTCAAATTATAGGATTCTAAGCATTAAATCAAAATGATCGAATTGAAAAATAGCTGATTTCTCTGCTCTCTTTTCTCTCTCTGTTTACGTGCTATTTTCTTGTTTATCTGACCTCTTCGGTTAGAGACAAGAGAGCGCAGACGGGTTAGACTGTCTCAAGTCGTAGAGAATTCAAAAAAAAAAATTGTGTGATTAAATTTTTTTTTTTATGAAATAGGATTCTTGGCCTTTTCTCAGAAATAATTTGACTAGTAGCCTTTTTTTTCTATTTTCAGAAGAGCTAGACTAATTTCGAAGGAAAGCTAATTTTTTCCAAAATCCTCATTAAAAATCTAATTACTCATATCCCTCAATTCAATCCTATTATAAATGGACTTCAAACAAATGTTTGAATAAATGAACGGCGCGCCCTAATTAGACCCGGGTCCATTCTATTCTTTTCACGAGGGAGTGAAATTGGAAAGGGGGCCGGAGAAGTCGAATCTGACCTTCGGACCTCATTTTTTCTCCCCCTTTTTTGCCGGCCTCGCCTCGCCTTCACGCCTTTTAGCCCGACTAAAACGATTCGTTCCGCTCCCATTGTTTCAAAAAAGCATTTTTTTCGGTTTTTTTGAAGTGTCCTACGAGTTTTTTTTCCGAGAAAAATGGGACCAGAAATCAGTTAAAGACGCGAAAGACCTTTCGAAGAACTTGGTTTATTTTGTCACCTGGAATTTTGTGAAAAGTGGTCTGGATACCCCTTGATGTACCTAATGACTATTAAAAAAGTTTCAACTTTCAAAAATTTCTCGTTTTTGATGAATTAGAGCTCAAAATCTCGAAATAGCTCATTTTTACGGACTCCGGCTTCAAGTTGTCTTTTCTGAAATTTTAGGAAATTTTCCAGAGACTTTCATGGTTACTACCTGGTGAATGAAACAGCTTTTTTGCCAATTTTTTGAAATTCAGAAGAAAAAAAATAATTAAGGTTTTTTGTAGGGGATCGAAGATCGTTTTTCGCCAATTTTCAGTTTTTTTTAACGCCGTGTCCAAAGTGATTCCGCGAAGTCCAAAATAGCCTTCAGAGAAAGAACAAGATAACTAAATTTTAGAGAGTCAGAGATCATTTTGCACTTGGCGGGAATTACTTCGAACAAGGCATAAACTTTGGAGGAAGTTGGACGGAAATTCTTCGATTTTTCGCGGATTTATAGACCATTTGGAGGCTTCGAAAAAATAAAAACTTGAGAAGCCTTTTTAGTATTATTCTGCTGATAACTCCTCCTCCTCCTCATGCCAACTGTCAATTAATTTTTCTCTCCTTTGAATATCGAAGGAAGGCTGTTGGCCTTGAAGAAGCTAAAGCCTTCCGAGAGAACGTCTGGCAACATTTCTCACCAGACCCCGGGAAGGAAACGAATGCCTGGCCCGTTCCTCTAAACAAACATTCCGTTCAATTTTCCGTTTCATTCAACAAAAACGAAGGTTCTCCTGGGCTTGATGTAGGTTTTTTTATTATTCTCCAAATTTTTGGAATATTTTGATTCTCCAGCTTCCTCTTACTCGGTTTTTTCTCTGTGAACTCGCAAAAAATATCTTGAATATAAGATTTTATGAGCGATTCTTGTTATCACGTTTTGAAGCAGTCTGACCTGTCTGCGCTCTCTTTTCTCTCACCAAGGAGGTCAGACAAACGTGAAAATAGCTTTTAAAATAAGAGAGTACTAGAGAGCAGAGAAATCGAACTTTTATGGTGAATGATCGATAGTAGGATCTTCAAGATCATTTTAACTCGATTTTCCACGATTTTAAATTTCTCGGTAAAGCGAAACGCGTCGCGGTCGCGAAGCGGTCATTTGAAAAGTGCGCCCGACTAAAAACGGCTTGCGCGCAATGATATTCTTCAAGCGCTTGTGAGAAGAAAAGTTAAAGTTTTGATAGCCTCTGACTATTTATTTTAGGGAGTTCTTATGGGGGAAGTCAGATAAAGTCCGGCGCAGAATTTTGGGACTTTCAGAACAGGGGAAAGTCAATTAAAGCCCGGAGTTCGTATAGAATAATTAGCGTATACGAAAACTATCTTTACCTCATCAACTAGACTTTTTGAGCCATTCGATAGCGTTTCGCGGAAAAAAGCGCCCGACTACAAGCGACTTGCGCTCGGTAGCGTTCTCCAGCGAGAGGATGTAAAGGTTTCAACTAACTTTTTGAACTGGGCAACCGCGACGTTTTGAGCCATTTCATGGCGTTTCGCGGAAAATGGAGCATAGTAAAAAGGCGAATGATGACGCTTGGGATTAATCCAATCCCCCCTCCTTGCTTCCCCGGAATTCGTTCCTTCCTGCCGGCATGAATGGACGATTCCAGAAAAGGGCTTCCAAGTCAGGACAAGTGCCTGTGTTTGTGCTTCAGTTCAACCGCGCAGCAAAGGCCTTTTCCCGTGTGTTGCTTCTTTGTTCTTTGCCCGTCGGCTCCTCTCCTTCTGTGTTTGCCTTTTGTACGAACCTCGCCGCTTAATGTGCCGTTGGAATTCTCGTTTCGCTTCAAGTCTGACCACTGTTATCTATCGTGGAATATTCCCGATTTTTTTAAGGAAAAAAAATTAGTTATTCATAACCTAGTGCGCTCTAGTTTTCTTCTTTATAAATGAAAAATGATTAATTCATTCACTTGGACCTTGGTAACGTGAACCAAGCGATTCTACTCTGACTTGAGGCGCCAAAAGATCGCCACAACTCTTTCTCTGACCTATTTCGTCGTTTTCTCGCAGCTAGATAGTGTATGTCAGAGAAAGAGTTGTGGCCCGCCATGTCAGAGTAGTGACCACTTTAGCGATGTTAGCACTCTTAAGTGATCCCTAGAATTGCTCATAGACGTCCGGTCCCCTTCCTGAGGTCCGAACCTTCTGGCAGTGAATATTAGGAGATTTGAAATATTTTGAATAATTTCTGAATTTTATGAAAAATCTCGTATTTTATAATGTCTGGTAAGCAGATAGCTTTTTTTTTTAATTTCCGAAAGTTTTCTCTATTAACTGAACGTTTTTTTTTTTTTTCGAAACTGGAACCATTCCATAGCCTTTTTCTATAAATTGGGCTTAGTTCTTTCATGAATCGCGTATTTTTTTGGGGAACTAGGGAGCATTTTCGTGACTCCTCCAGATTCTCCTAGTCAGAGAAAGTTTCTCACGTTTTTCCTAATTTTTTTTTTTGAGAAAATAAAAACAATTTATTATTTATCAACTTGCGTCAAGGCTTCGGTATAACATCCTAGACAGTGCTGATAAAAAATAGAACCTCTTAGATTAATTTTTATATTTATCTCTTATCGATAAGACGAAAATCAAAGTAGAAACTCATTCTCTCACGCTCATTTCCAAAGAAACCTGGCAAAAAGCCTCTCTTTGTGCCTATTCCTCTGACGTAGAAACGCCAGGAAAAGGATCCGTCTACGGGTCGCAGATTAATGGGATTATAATGCAGAAAAAGGCGTGTTCGATTCCAAAAATATATACATGAAAAGGGATTTTTTCTTTGCTAAGTTCACTGCACTCCTATATTTGAGCCGTGAACCCTTACAAGCAAATGTCACCGCCTTTTCAGAGCACTTTTTTCTTAATACCACGTTTTTGCACTTATATTTAGACGGTCATGAGCTTTCATATCCTTTTTATCGCGCTTTTCCTCCAGGAAAAGCTTTCAAAAAATTTTTAGTTACTGTAGCGCAAACTTACGCAATATCGGTGCATGATTGCGTACTAAGCGCTATATACTACGACAGCTGAAGTCATTTTATTCAATTTTTTTTCTTTTTTTTCTTCTTTTCAAACTGTTTCAATAGATTTCATTTGTGGGGATAGGGATAAGTTAAGGTGAATATGAATTTCGGAAAGTCTGAGATTAATTAAATAAAAGTAAGATTGATTCCGCGAAATGGCGGAATTTGAAATAGTTCCGCTTTTTTCTTCCTTTTTCCTTATTTCTTCCTTTCTCTTTTTTAATGTGTTATTTTTCTTTGATTTGCGATCGGAATAATTTATTTTTTCAGCATTTTCCAAATATTTCTGGTCAAAGGTACTGGTAAATTTCAAAAAATAAACAAAACGCCGCAAGTTTTTTCTTCATTTTTCTCGGATAATGGGAGCAAGTTTCAAAATGACAGCTATAAGAGAAACGCGTGAAAACGCGGAAAGAGAGATCTTCAGTTGGTTCCGAAACGTCACATAATCCATCTCCTGGCACACGTTTTGTTAAACTTTTTTCCACTAGTTAGTGATGGAAATTCGCTCTTTTTTCCCTGAAAAATGAAGTGAAATGCGGTAATATGTAGTAATTATTCAAATTAAATTAGAGTGGCCATTTTTACCCATTTTTTTTTCAATTTAGAAAATTACCTTTCTGGACGGCTGTTTTTAGTGCAATTTTTGTTTTGCTTTTCTTTGGCATGCACTTTTTAATAATCCTTTTGGACTTTTTCGGTTTTCAAGACACCTCGCAAAGTTGGAAATACGGTCTTTTTTTGAATTACAGTTGTAACTTTTCAGTATTTTTCGATAGAAGTTGCAAATTTTTTAAGGCTGAGACCCGGTTAAGATCCCTTAAAAAGTATAAAAATTAAGCGATTAATTTGAAGTTTCAGGACCAAAAAGTTTGTATTCCACAATCTGTAAATAGTTCAAAACGTTAGCGTTTTGGTGCCCGTTTTTTTTTCTAATATTTCAATTCTCAATAATTTTTGAGGTGTAAAGATGTCCGCCGCTTGAAGAATTAGTAAGCTGGAGATGTAGAAAATGCTGAAATGTCAAATAAAACAAATATAAAACCGTAAAAATTTGCCAGATTCCGAAAAAAAAAATAGCCCTCCACGCTTGTTGTAACGTGCGCTCCAACGCACAGCCACCGCTGTCGCTTTCTTTTTTTTTTTTTAAGAATTCCTTTCAAATGTTTTGCATCGCGGTTTTTCTCGCTCCATTTTGTTTCGCTTTAATCGTTTTGAGAGCTTTATGAACAAATATAAGGCGGAAAGCTCAGTTGTGTTGGAAGGTCGCTTTTGGTGTCGCGTTGGAGGTTTTCTTTTTTTTATTTCCTTCGGAAAGTTTTCGACTTGATATTGGGAGTTTTTTGAGATTTTCTAACTTGATTCCGTGCTCCCAAGTACAGTTTTATATACACTTTTTTATTCGATTTTTTTTTTCATAACTTTCATATGAATATGAATAAAGATACGAAACTTGACTTTCGTTTTTTTTTTTCTCCATTGTTTTAGTAAGAAGTTGGAGTTATAAAGGAACTGCTACGTGAATCATAGGCAGTCATTTTTTCTTGCTTTTCGATAAAGAAAAACAGATCGATAACACTGTGACTCATGGCCGTATGATGACTGTGCGCATTGTTTTTCACTTTTCCTTTTTTTCACTGATAAACCGAACTATCAAGAGCTCCGAAATTCTTATTTTGGCGATTTTTTAACCTCACTTTCACTAGTCTTATTTGAAAAAAAAAATACAAAGTTAACTTGAATTAAAAAATGCTTTATGATGAGTTCAAAAACCTTTTATAGGTGTTCCAATTGGATCTCCATTGAGTTATTTTTCATCTTTGATGCTTCCAAATTTTTCTTGCTGAAAAAAGCCGCTACAGAGCAACATTTGCCTGAAGAGACGCCAGAGGTGAAGAAACATCCTGCTTCTCTGGCGTCTCTTTGGGGATCTTTGATCTCTGGTCTCCTATTTCAAAAGCCTTTGATGCTCTTAGTTTTTTAGATATTTGTAGAATGAAGCGTCTTATGATAAAAGTAACCGATAGTTTCAAAAAAAGAATCTTAGGAAAGGTTCAACAGGTTTTAAGTTCTCAATACTTTCCCAAAGGCCTCCTCGAAGTTTATAAATTCAATAAGATCAACCTCAGAACCTGTAGTTTCAAAAAAAAAAGTTCAGTCGGAGAGGTAATTAAGCCCAGGTAAACGAGTGGTTTGGGTGAGTCATATGTATGAATTGGAAGATTTTTTTGGTTTTTCCAAAGTCTGTAGGAAATCTTCAGAAGAGAGGAACACCTCGAAACTGTAAATTCATCATAATTTTTACCTTCTAACCTCTGCTTAAAGTTTGCCCGCGGGCGTCCTTAAACCCACTGTGATCCATCTAAGAACCTGTAGTTTCAAAGAACAAGTCCAGTCGGAAAGGTCACCGAGGCAGGTAATTAGGCCTAGGTAAACGTGTGGTTCGACTGGGGGGATATATGTATGAGTTAGAGGGGAATGATTTGCGTGGCCTCGGCCGGCCGCCCCATTGTGCCGCCAAACGTACGTAACCAGTCCAGTCGGGTCGGTGTGGTCCTCGGAAAATCAATAACCGATGCCTCCTCCGCTCTTTTATATCCCGACGTCGCCGGCGACGATTTTTCCTCGTCGCCGTCGCCACCACGTACTCGACTTTTTTTTTCTCTCTATTTTTATGAGCCACTTGTCTATTCATGCGTCTCGTTTCGTGTCCGGTGTGTCGGCCTGTGTGCCGGACTTTTCACGGCTTTTCCCCTTGATTTTTAGCCTTCCTATTCAAAATATTCTTTCAAGAATATTGAGAGTCTAGTTGATTTTTCACGGTCATTAAATGAATGAAAAATTGATCCTTTTCTTTGAAAAAGGAGCGAAACTTTTTTATAAACCTACTTGTCAATTCATGCGTTCGTGTGTCGATGTATGCCGGACTTTTCACGGCTTTTCCTTTGAGATTTTCGATTTTTAAGCTTTTTTTTTAACTTGCTCAATAAAATTTAGAATTTAGTTAATTTTCTCAAGGTCAAAAATGGAACCAAAAGTGATCCTTTCTCATCGATTTTTTTCTTGGAGAAATAAGCTGAAAAAAACTTTGATACACCTTTTTTTTGGACTTCTTGTTCATTTATAGAGCCTCTTTTTCTATTCATTTTTTTTCATGTCCAATGTGGCTGGACTTCTCCCGGCCTTTCCCTCGAGAATCACGATTTTTAACCTTTTTTATTCTTCAATCTTATCAAGGAAATTGAAAGTTTAGTTAATTTTTTTTGTCTGACGTTCAAAAATTCAATGAAAATTGATTATTTTCGATCGATTTTTTTCTAAGAAATAAGCTAAACTTTTGTTTGATACACCTTTTACACCTTTTCTTTCTGCTTTTTCTACATTTTAAGAGCCTCTTGTCAATTCATGCGTTCGCGTGTCGATGTATGCCGGATCTTTCAAGGCTTTTCTTTAGAAAATTTTGATCTTTAGCCTTGCTCGTTTCTTTTTCTGTTACGAATCATGTTGATCTGTAATTGATCCTTTGAGAACTTTAAAAAAATGTGTTTAAATTGAATTTTTTTGTTGATCTCTTTTTGAGGTAGAAAGGTCAAATAAAAATACTTTGAATTTCAAACACTCTATGAAGAAATACGTTTCACGCGATTTTTCAAAAGTTAGTTTATGAATTGACTTCTCTAATTTTTCTGAAACTCCTAGAAAATCATTCCGTTGAATCGATTAATAAACTTTAATATCCATGACGCACAACCAAGATTTGTACAAAACCACGACCCTATTTCTCGACTCTCAAAATTAATAAAGAAAAATTTTTCGTAGAAAAATGTGGTTTTTAAGGTTTCGGATGGGTACCCATTGCGGTAGTTTTCGCAGCAGTAAAGACAGATGTGTGCCGTTTTTTATTACTACTTTAGCCGGATCTTCGAATTTTTGTCTTTTGATCGGAGAATTTTTTTCGTTTTTTTGAACTCAAAAAAATTGATCTTTGAAAAGTAAATCCAAAAACTACACAAAACGTATTATTTTATGCATTTATCGATTACTTGAAAATTACATTTTTTTGGTATAATTTTATGAAGTTTCGTTTTTTTCTAACGTAGAGAAAAAAAGTTTTTTTGAGTATCCACGAAAATTTAAGCTTTTCTACCCTTTTTTTCACTAACTCACGTCATCAGTTTTGAGAAAAAATAAGGCTAGAATTTTCAAAGAAGCATTTTCGTATTTCGAGAAAGATCTCATTGAAAAAAACCGTTTTTAGTGTTTCTGGCCTTTGAAAGCGTTATGAATGGACTCTGATACGAAATTTTTTCGAAAAGTAATTTTTTTTTCGATTTTTTGCATATATTTTCCCTTCATAAGAACTTTCGGTTCAACGAAACTTTCCCCGAAAGTTTCCGGGTTTTTGCGTGGGTCCTGTGTCATAATCACAGAGGATTAGTATTGTATCAAATAAATAAGAGAAAAAAAAAACCTAGATGTTTGTTTTTTTTTTCTCTCCCGAAATCCCTCCACACAAAAGCAATTAATCTGAATGAATTAACCAATATTTCATAAGCCGGGACCGGATTAAATTATTCCTCCTGTTGTTCGGAATCCCTATCCCTTTGGAAAAATCGAATGTTTGTTTGTGGAGATTAGTTGATTATGTAGAAATGTTGTTTTGTTATCTCTTGGTCTTGTGAATCACATTGGCTTTTTCGCCTTTTCTTCGAGTTTCTATTCGGTACAAAGATCGCTTTTTCGAATTACAATTCGATTTGGTGTGGGAAAGCGCTTCCAGAACTTTCAGAAGCATTATGAAAGTTGAAAAAAAATTTTCAAGCAAACAAAATGAAGCAAAATACATATTTTTCCGTGAAACTTGGATTTTTCGGCCCTTTTCGAGTTCTTGAAACCTTACCAAGACTTATTCAAGAAAATGTGCCTTCCTGTGATAATTTCACAGGAAATAACTCTAGTGGTCACTTAAGAGGCTCCTCAAGGACTACTTGGAGAGATCACTAAAGTGGCCACTAAAACCACCTATTTTGCATGGCCACCACAATAGTTTTCAGCGGTCCAGAAATATAACTGACACTTCTAAAACTTCTAAAAAGAATTTGAACCCCTCGAGTGGCCGCTAATTCGACTTCTATAGAGGCACTAAATGGTAAAAACCCCTAAAGTGGCCACTAGAATTTTCCTTATTGTTAGTTCATTATCGTACAGAAAAAACTAGTATCGATGGGCAATAAAATGTACAAAAAATTGATATTTTTCATCATAGGTGAGTCACCTAATTCGATTTTTTTCCGTGTGAAAAAGCTCTTTCCGCCACCTCAAATTTTTTTCAGGATCATAGAAAAAAATGTGAAATTTCATAAAAAAATCGGACTTTTTGGCTGTTTTCTGTCCAAGTTGCTCAGAGAAAAAAACTGCAAAAATATTTTTTTCCAAAATTTCTAAAAACTCTAGTCATTTCAAAGCTACCAGAAACGTGAGAAAACTCCCTGTTTTCCTTATAAAAGTCGAACTTTAGGACAATTTTTTGTTTTCTAAGTTTTGAACTCTAGTAAATGTTATATTATAATCCATTTTTTGTGAAGTTGTACTCAAATTCCCCAGTAACTCAAGTTCCATACGGCCTTTGTTGCCTGAAAGTAATTTTTGAGCGGAAATCAGTTCCCAGGGCAATGGCCTGACGGAAATAGTGATTCCATAGTAATCTCCGCACGTTTTTTCATAACTTTTTGTCTTGTGAGAAAATATTTGTATAATTTTGAAGGATCATAGCTCAGAAAAGCGAAAGAATGAGGATTTCTTCATGATTTTTAAAAATATTCAAAATTTCAAGCATTTTTTCCTAAATAATAAAAAATTAACAATTTTTCATTTTAATGACCTAAAAGTGTACACTAAAGGCCTCTTATAAATTTTGGCGGTTAGAAAAAGGATTTTTGACCTCGTGAGGCAAATCCGCCCTCTTATCTCATAATTCTCTTCTTTTTTTTTTCCCTCTCTCTGCTTAATTTCCTCTCCTTCACATCATAAACTGGATTTGCCGTGTCAGCGGCCCCGGATTACGTATATCATAATCATATCTTCGCATATAATTTGCCCTGGCCGGATTTTGTCCTCTAGGAAGTTGAATTTTTTTGCCTTCCTCTTTTTCATTTTTTTATTTTTTTCGACAAAAATTCTTCTAGATTGGGTTTAATATTTTTTTGATTGATGTCCTGTCTAGATACTTTGGAAGAAAGTTCAAGTCTCTTTTTTTAATTTGGGCGGGGGGAGTCTTTTTTTCTGTTCAAAAAAATGTGGTTTTTAAAAAGTTTTTCTATTCAATAGTTTCAAATAAAATTATGTTTCTGAGCTTATTTGCCATTAAAATGAGGTTGAATAGCTCAAAAAAAGTCTTCGAGGGAAAAAAAGCTTCGAAAAAAATCCAGAGAAAAAAATATAGTTCATTCATATCAACCTTTTGAAATTTTAAAATGCTCTGGAGATTTTTTTGAAACTTGAGAAAGTCGTGTCAATCAATTTTGCATTTTTTTCAAAGTTTTTTTCAAAAAAAGTTTTAGTTGAAAAAAATTCTAAATTTCTTCCGTCTTAAATTACCAAATAGGTAAAAATAATATTTTTTTAGGCTCTGTAAATCAGGAAATCAGGAAATCTTCTTAGAATTTTGACAGGAATCTTTTTTCTCTTGTATTTTTCATCCTCTGGCTCACAGTTTTCTCTTTTCCGCGATTTTTCACTATTTTATAATTTCGCTTGCTCTTGTTGTGTTGATTTTTTATTTTATAATTTTTCCAGACCTTCCCAGATCGACTTCGAACCGAAAAACCACATCAGTCGTCCTGGTTTTTTGGTAGAAACAGTTCAATATTTATTAGTTCGGTGGACAAAAGGGCCTCGGAAAAGAAAGCGATGCGTGAGTACAAGATTGTGGTCCTCGGCTCCGGTGGCGTCGGAAAATCGGCTTTGGTTAGTTTTTTGTCGAATATTCTGAAAAAAAGAGGAAAATTTAAAGCTTTTTCAGTAGCCAGTTCAGTAGTTTCTGTGTTTATTTTGAAAAATATGGAATCATTTTTGAAAAATGCAATTATCGAGGGATTTGTCTGTAGTTTGAAAGGGAAATGTGAAGGGATTCAGGAAATTTACCGATTTTTGGCTTCCAGTTTAAAAAAGGCTATTTCTACCTTGAGTAGGAAATGAGAGAATTCTAATTTTTTCAGGAAATATACGAATTTTTTTGACTATAAGGTCTGAATTTTCTCTAGAAAAATTGAATTTTTAGGTGAAAAAAATCGTACCTCGGACTTCAAAATAACCGTCAAAGAGTGAAAAAAAGATAACTGAATTTTTGGAGATTTAGAGATAATTGTGAAATTTACGGCATAAGTTTTGAAAAAAAGAAGTGAGAATATTCAGGAAAAATTGAAAGGAAATGAGAAAAATTCTGTTATTTTTCAAAAATATATTGCTAGTTTTGGCTTTCAATTTTTTTCTATAGATTTGCCCCCAGAAGATCAATTTTTTTCATTAGGGAAACGGATTTGAGATAAAAAAATTTTTTTTTGATTGAAGATACAGTGTTATAAGTTGTTGGGGATTTCAAAACTGGCGCGTTATTCGTTTGAAATGATTCCGCGAAAAAATTCCGGAAGCCGTTGAGAAAAAAATAATTGGGTCCCACAACGATACATCGCGATATGTGCATTTTTACGGTGGCTTTTACGCGCGAACTTTGAAATTTCGGTTAAAACTACCCAAAAAATATTTTTTTTAAATCTTCGAATACGACGTTTCAAACACCCGAAAATACGTTTCACGCGATTTTCAAAAAGTCAGTTTATACATTGACTTCTCTAATTTTTTTTCGAAGTTACCAGAAAAATAATTTTTTTGAAGACTTTTCAAAAATCCACTGTTTAAATTAATAAACATTAAAATGCCTGACGGATAACCGAGACTTTATACGTTTCACTGATTTCTCGAATTGGTTAATTTGAGAAAGCTTTGATTCGAAGATCATTGCCCTATCCCAACAACTTTTTATTTTTTCGAAAGAAGCCGCAGTTTTTCGAGTTTTCTTTGCCAAACCCTTTTTTTCCGATTTCGCAAGAAAATCCCTAATTTTTGAAGACTCGGAATACGTTAAAACCTCACGGGTTTCAAAATTTTCGCTTCTGAGAGTTAAAAATCCTAATGAAAAGCTCTGAATTTTTCCGAAACTTTTTTCTGATCAAAATCCTTTTTTTTTACCATAAAATCATCCAATTGTCGAGGTTAGAAGTTTCTTAAATTTTAGAAAATTTGGTTTTTGGGGTGAAAACACTTTCAAAACTGGCAATTAACATTGTTTTTTATGCAAATTCCCAGTTTTTTTGAGAATTTTTCGCTCCTGGAATTTCCTTGTTGAACTTTATTTGACTTTGAAATAGCTCTAACCAAATATTTATAATAATAATTTTTTTCCAGACGGTCCAATTCGTCCAAGGAATCTTCGTTGAGAAGTACGACCCGACGATCGAAGACAGCTATAGAAAGGTTCAAAAATATTATTTTATGCCTTTGAATGAATTTTTTCCAGCAAGTGGAAGTCGACGGGCAGCAATGTATGTTGGAGATCTTGGACACGGCCGGAACCGTATGTTAATTTTTTTATAAAAACATTTCAGTTTCTGAACCAACTTTTAAAGACATTTCTCACCGTTTAAATAATTTTTTCCCGTAGGGACTACTTCACGAAGAAAATTTATTTTCAGCAAAATATTTTGAAATTGTCGCGCATTTATACTTAAAAAATAGGATTTTAGTCAAGCGTTTTTCGATTTTATATAAATTTTTAGAGCTCAAGTTTCGATATCAAGAATAAGAGCTATAACTTCTGAATTTTGACAAATTTGGCTATTTTTTTCTGAACTGTTTCAATGGTGTGCTTCACAGTTTCATAGGAAAAAAAGGTCTTTTCATTTTGCGGTTGGATTTCCTGAAAATCGGTCAAAACGCTCCTTGATGCACCAGAAGAAGATTCTGAAAGTCTCAACCTGCAAAACTCTCTAATTTTCAAGAAATAAGGGCTCAAAGTCAGAGGAAACCCTAAAAATCCACAAAATAGGCTATTTTTTGGCTTTGAGACTTTATTTCTTGATAACTAGGAAGTTGTGCAGGTTGAGACTTTCAGATTCTTCTTCGGGAACATCAAAAAGTGTTCTGGCCAATTTTCAAAAAATTCCCAAATGCAAAGTAAGATGACCTCCCCTGTCAGCAGAAAAATTTTCAAGATTCACGAGATTTTAACGGATCTTCAAAAATGAGATTCTTGTCGTGAAATTGAAAAAAAAAATAAAATTTTGAGAAAGCTTTTTTGAAAAACTGTGGCTTCTTTTGAAATAAGAATAACTTTTAGGAGATATTTTATGTCAATCGAAGTTTTCTTGAATTCAATAATTTGAAAAACCGAGTGAAACGTATAGAATCTTGGTTATTCGTCACGGATTTCGGAATTTATTAATCGATTTCTTTCAATAAAATGATTTTTTTTAGGTGCTTCAGAAAAAAATTAGAGAAAAAAATTTATAAACTAACTTTTTGAAACTTGCGTGAAACGTGTTTTTCCAATGGAGTGATTGAATTTCAAAGCAATTTCGGAGTATTTTTTTTGAAAAAATCGAGTTATTGAGCTTAGAATGTCGAACAAAAGAGAAAAAAAGAGTTTTTGATGTACCTACACTTGAAACCGTAACCTGAAGGAAAGAACTGAATTTTTAAAAAAAGAAACGACTTCAGGAGCAATTCACGGCGATGCGCGATTTGTACATGAAGAACGGACAAGGCTTCGTCCTGGTCTACTCGATCACGGCCCAGTCGACGTTCAACGACCTGATGGACCTCCGGGACCAGATCCTTCGTGTCAAGGACACCGATGAGGTGCTTATCGAACGCAAAAATGACGATTGAAAATTTTGGGAACGTTTTGGAAAAGTTGAAGATGCTTTATAATGGACAGAAGGATCATTTTTAAACCCTTTTCACGTAATTTCCTGAGAAATACGTTTTCTTAGTACTAAAGGCATGAAAAAATCAAGTTTTAATGCGTTTTTCATCGCTAAACCAATGTGGAAGATTTAAAAAAATGAAAGTTTTTGAAAGCGTTTCAGATGATTTTTAATGAACAAAAGGATCGTTTTGAAACCTTTTTCATGTTCTTTCTTATTAAATACATCTTCTTACTACTAAAGACATGAGAAAAATCGAATTTGAGAGAAAATTTCATAACTAATACACTGTAAAAAGTGATTTATCAGTCGAAAAATTGTTGGAACAAGCTTGAAAACTTTTGAGCTGCTCTTAAATGAACAGAAGGATCTTTTTGCAACCCTTTTAAAAGCATTTTTACATAAAGTTTCAGTGCGATTTTCATAACTGATTCAATTGGAAGGGTACCGAGAAATAATTTTTTTGAAATTTTAAAAGATTTGAATAGAATTTGAATGTAAAAATTGAGTGTTTCGCATCGTTTTTTCGCTTTTTTCATTTTTTTTTTCCCGCAGGTGCCAATGATTCTGGTGGGCAACAAGTGCGACCTGGAAGACGAACGAGTCGTTGGCAAGGACCAGGGCCAAAATCTGGCTCGTCAGTTCGGATCGGCTTTCCTGGAAACCTCGGCCAAGGCCAAGATCAACGTCAATGAGGTGAGGATTTTTTTTTTATTATCGAAAAACTGTTTTCTTTTCTAAAAAAATGAAATAAAATCACTCAATATTTCAAATGACCTCATAAATAAGGATTATAATTATTTTATAGCTCAAGAAAGTTCAAGTGGTCACTTAAGAATGATTCCCTGAGAAGGAATTTTGAGGAAAAGGGTCTTGAACGGAATTCAAATTCAAAGGCACATGGGCATTGAGCCGATAAATTTCTTGAGCCATATTAAGTTTTGCGCACATTTTGTCAATATTCAGCTATAATCCGAAGGAAAAGAAGTTTCCTTTTTCACATTTTAGGTAAAAGGGGTATTTTTTCGCTTTGAATGTTTTAGGAGTCATTTTGAGACTGAAATGAATATTTCAAGGAGTTTTTCTCAGAGAAAAAAATTATTTTTTTATAACTTTTATGGGAATTTTGCCATTATATCCTTGCTGAAGTTTGTGAAGAAGTAGAAATTGATTGAAAAATAGTTCTTTGGATATAATTGTAATTTTGAATCTTATAACTGGTTTTTAAGAGGATGTGCAAAAATAAAAAGCTGAAAAATATCAACGAAAAGTGGATTTACAGGTGTTCTACGACCTGGTGCGGCAGATCAACCGCAGGTATCCGGAATCTGGCCGCCGTCCGGGCCATTCCAACAAGAAATGTTGCTCTTGCATCGTCATGTGAGCCGCCCTCCATCCACATAATATATATTCTCCTTTTCCTATTCTATTTAATCATTTTCCTAATAACAATCACTCATAATTCCCCTCCTCTTCCACTATATTCTGTGGTTTTCTCTCTCGGTGTTCCCCCTCCTTTCTCTTGACACTTTGTATCAATTTGACAATAACTTATTATTTTTATCATTATTTCTTCGTCCTTTTTGATCTTCTTAGACAAGTTTGCAATACGGTGGTTGTTTGGCAAGTGGAGCGCACTTGCGCCCCGAAAACACCACCGGAAATCTTTTCCTTTTGTAGAGAAAGTACGTGTGTCCTTCCTACGTTGACCGTGACCGATCCCCTTTTCCCAATTTCTTAATCTTTAATAAGAATTGCTTCGTTTTCCCCACACAGCTTTTTCATGTCAAGAATCATCGTTCGTGACCAAAGCTTTCCCCGTTTTCCGCTCTCGCGCTGAAATTCTTTCCGGGCTATCCAAAAAAAATTTTGAGAAACTACTCTATCATATCACCTTCGACCATTGAATCAATCAAGCAATCATAATTTCGAGAAAAAAAAAGTTTGCAGCGGACTTCTTTTTTTTGTTCTGTGCCTTTTTTGTTTGTGTGTAACCAAATTTTTTCTTCTTTTGACATATCCACTTCTCCGTTTAATCCAAAAGTGATGTGGTGATTCTATTTTTCTTCAGAAAAGACGAAAAAAATTGCTTCTTCTCAACCTTCCTTTTTTCGAATAAATGTGAAAAAAAAGTATTTTTATGTATCAAAGAAAGTTGGAAACGGCGAATAATATGGCCTAAATTGCTTCACAAAGTATAACTGATAAATTTTTCAAGCCAAAAAAAAAGTAATTTTTTAAATTTAAATTTTGGCTTATTGTATCGATTGCTACTGCAAGCACAACCTGCGGCGGATGCATTTCATCTTACGAGCATTACTGATTTTCTTTTTAAATCACGGTGTTTTTTTTATTACGCTAGGTCAAGACTTTTCGTAAATAATGATGCTTAGAGTGTAAGAACACCGAGACGCCCTATCGCATACTCAAAATACTTTTTTTCAATTTTAGAATTTGCGATTTCAGGACAATAGCTCCTGAAATGTTCGAAATTTGTCATTTTGAAGAATATGATGTGAAAAAAACATTCACTTACGTTAAAAAAACATTTAGGAACGATTTCGAAAAGGGAAAAACTCTAAATTACTGATTACAAAAATAAAAAAACAAAAAAATATTATGAAAATGAATCAGCTCCCATTGAATAAGCATTTATAAATACGAAAAAAATATTGAAATGAGGAAAAATTCGAGGAGCAAATGAAAAACATTTTATATACCTCGAAAACCTAGTTTCAGAAAAAAACATATAATGGATAGAAAGCAGAAATTTTAGAAAAGAAAAACCTCGTATGGCGGAAAATTTTTTTGTTTTAAATCCGAAAAAAACCATCAAAAAAACTAGAAAAAATATATAAATTTAGATGATGCATATATCAAAATCATTAAACTGCATCAGCAAATTCAATTTGGCTCTAATTTACGCGAAACCGGTTTTAAACTACGTCAAAGGAACTAGATAATAACTTTTTATTATTAACTGATTAAATTAAAAACTATAGTTTCCGAAATAGAGTGATTATTTTCATGTCGCGAAACAGATTTCAAAATTTTGAAAAATTAGGACTTTTAGAAAAATCTTCAGCTCTTTTGAGAAAAAAGTTAAAGATCTGAAACCGGTTTAGAAAAATGCGCAATTTAAAGCTCCACAAGATGTACCCATAGAGAGGCGGATCACATAAATGCAAGAAATAGAAAAAAAGTAAAAAAACCAATGAAAAAAAGTGAAGAAATTCAATTTTTTTGCATCAGAAACGATGAGAAGGGCGCAATAATGCGCCACGGATAATATGCCGCTGGGACCCAAAAATTTCGCATTTTTTTCATTGCGCGGAACACCGTGAAATCGTGTTTTTACATATAATTATTTCCAAAGAAGTTTTGTTTTTTTGAATTGTAATCTTATTAATAACTTGTTCAACGGATATTAAGTTATATTAGATTAGCAGTTTCGACAAGAAAGACAGTCATTTTTTTGCAAAAAAATGTTCAGAGGTTTTTTTGTATATTTCTTTTTTTATAGTTATTTTATAATTTTTTTTCAGACTTCAAATCATTTCGAAAAAGGAAAAATTACACTAATAATTAAAAAGAGTCTGATATGGTTAAAAAGTTTTGACCTGAGGTGTCCTATGAATGAGATAAAAATAATTTTTTTAATTTTTTTAAATGTTGTTTCAAAGATTTTATAGATTTCTATTCAAAAGCGGAGTATAATATCAAGGAAGAAGAAAATCTGACAAAAATGATTGAAAATGGCGAGTCTGTTATGGTCAAAAGTTTTGACCTGACGTCGGGAGGTCAACGTGGCAGAGTTTCGAGAAGAATTTCCAGGATGGCGCGAAAGACTCGGCGTCCTAAAATCAACGTCATTCTTTCTTTTTTCGTTCGTGCTGGGAGGTGTGTTGCTGTTTTTTGTAATCTTTTGTCGTTTTCCATCATTTTTAAGGATAATTTAGCTTTGTTGAATGTGGAACTCCGATACAATTGAAATTTATCGAGCCCTATGCGTTTTGATTCATTTTTTCGCAAAATTGTTGGACTTCTACGATCAATTATTTGAAATACCGTTTTAATAATTGCATTTTTTGATGTTTACTAGAAGTTTTTGACAACCGATTTTCGCATTAAAGTTTAAATGATCTTATTTTTCTCCAACATGGCGTAGATTCCTAAACTTATTCGTTTTCATGTACGCTGTTATTAATTTTCCTTAGTTTTTGTTATGTTTTCAGACGAGTTCCAAGATTCTGAAGGAGGGTTGGCCAGTCGACGCCCTGTTCAGAACTTCTTGCTGGGATGTTTGAAGTCCCAGAGATTTTGCATCAAAAACGAATCTTCGCATACATGAAATCAACTCATGCGCCTTTAAACAGCCCAGCAAGGAAATTGGAACATTCTGCATCGCTTTTTTTTAAGGGTGTGTGAAATGTCTTTGTTTCTTGATCTAATCATGGTATTTTCCAGAAAATCGGTGGTGTTCTCTTGCGCGTTCGGTGTTCCTTGCGAGGGTGTTTAAAGGCGCAGAAAGCTCACATTGTTTGAAAAGAAGAGCCTTCGCTGTGAGACTTTACAAAATTAACTCATGCGCCTTCAAATACCCTGGCCAGGAAGTTTGAACAGACGCAAGGTCGATCGGGACTTTTCATGAGGTAATTTTCGGAATATTTCTCTGTGATGGAAAATAATAATTTTATTCAAGATGTCGCCGTCATCAAGCGGTCGGAGGGCAGCTGGATTCCTGAGAGAAGATGCGGCTTCGACAGTAATTTCAAGGAATCGATTTTTTTAACGGTATAAAATCAATTTTCATTGTCTTTTTGCGTTGGGAATCGTTTGAAAGGATTTTTAAAAATTTTTTTCAAAAATATATTGTTTTTTTCCAGATTATCCATCTAATGACCTTTTACTGATGACGTTTCCCAACGTAAATAAATGTCCTGTCTTCAAAAATTCGATTTTTTTTTTCTTTTCGAAAGTTCAACCGAAATCTCTTTAATAAATACTTTCAGATTTTTTCACTTTTTTTCTTCTGGATTATGTCGCATGAAGCTCGAAGGATTCATCGCAGTCTATTAGAAGCAACGCGGTCGCGTCGCGGTCACCCAGCACTATTTTTTTTTTCGAAATTTACGCTTTCCCTTGTCGCTTTTTGTAATGTAATTTTTTTGTACTTTCATTTCAACCGTTGAAAAAAACACATATGTTAGAGTCAACTTGTCAAGTCTTTAGCTATATTTTTCTATCAAGCAATTTTTTTCAGAATTTATTCTAGCTCGAATTTTTTTTTCATTTAAAAGCCATTTATCTTTGATCTGAACCTTAAAAAAATTCTTTTGAATTTTGAAGCTTTCGGCTTGGCATTTTGGTCTTACCTTATAGGAATTACGAAAGCGTCGTAAATAACAATTTAAAGTTTATTAGAACCGCTACGCGACCGCGTTGGACACCATTTCAACATTATTTTCAGTTTCTTTGAGTTTTCTTTCCAATCAGTTTATAACTTGGTTAATTTAGGTCTATTAATGATGCCGTGTTCAAAGTAATTTCCGCGAAATGCAAAATGGTCTCTGACCCTCCAAAATTTAGTTATCTTTCTCTTTCTCTGACGGCTATTTTGAATTTCGCGGAATCACTTTGAACACGGCATAACATTAGTAATGAATCATCTTTCATTTTTTTTTCTTGTTTTCCAGTTTACGGTTCAATCAGCTTCATGCGACCGAATCCAAGAGTTTTTGTTTAATAAAAATTGTTGTTAACTTTCGAAAGGAAAAATATTTTCTATGTCCTTGTCGGTATTTGTTGTCCGTGGGGTGAATGTTGCCGGCGTCTTTGGTCGGTGGCGGCGCAGAGAAAAAGGCGACTGTATCCCTCGGCTTCTTCCGGTCGGAGAGAGCATCAAAAAAGCGGAGGGCCGTAGTCTGGCATCTCCGCAATCCTCGTGCTTTCTCGCCGGTCTCAACCGAGCATATATGCGCCTTTTGTTCTGCGGGGCGAGGCTCTTTTTTCCCTTCCGAGCTCGTTAATTCGAAGGTGGCGTATAGTAGATTGGGTTGTGTACGAATAAACCTTGCCTTTTTTTCAAAGTTAATTAGGCTGGCAAAGGATTAAAGCGGGTCAAGAATTTTTTTTTTCGGTTCAGTCTTTGAAAGTTGATCAAAAATGGGTAAAAGTTTCAGTGTTTTCTCAGTTCAGTCTCAAAAGTTCTGGACTTCTTTCGAATTTTGGATTTCTTTTTATGAACTTTGAAAAATAGCTTTTTTTATGAATTAGTTTAGAAAAAAAGATATAGATCCATCAAAGTCGAAAAATTTCGCTTATGAACGTAGACTTTTAAAAAAATAACTATAAACCCGTTGGTCTTTGAAAAAAATTCTTCAAAAATTTTTCAATTTTTTTAACTATTCAATAAACAGCAAATTCGAAGGAGGGATTTTTTTAGACATTTACAGTGGTTCTATAATCGTTTCGATATATTTTATAAAGTAGATTTTTTCTTGTAGCCGAAAGCTAGAGGTCCATTATCCATTAATGGGTTCAGCAACTTGAATGCTAAAAGTTTTCAATCTTACTTCATAACTTCAGCAAGAACTTCAAAAAATAAATTTTGTAAACTTTCGAGCCCATTTTTGGACTTTAAATTCTCATAAATACGGTTTCTGGATAAAAGGTTCTTATGATTTTAGCTTTTAGTTTTTTATCAATAAAAGGCAGGGTTTCTTTGTCCACAACCTGATATCATCCCCAAGTTCATGTAAAGATATTCAAAGGGCTGGTTGGCTTAGTAGTTCAGAAAAAAACGCGTTTGGAAATCTTGAGAAGAAGGTTCGAATATTTTTTTGATGATCAAGTTTTTTTTTCCTTTTAGATTTTCTAGGATTTTTTTCAGTCGAGTTTTCGTAGCAGAAAAAAATTACTTTCAGTTCAAAAGAGAAATTTTTTTCCAAATTTTTTTCTAAATTCTTTTTACCTTTTTTTCGAGTTTTTCAACTTACAAAAATTCCAAACTTTGATAAATTTTTTTAGTTAAATTCGGTCGCAACAGATTTATGGTTCCCAGAATTGGTCGCTTCACGGAACATTTCATTCTAAAAAAACGTTTCATTCTTTGACTTTTTTTCGATCTTAAATCAGCTGAAAGTTTGAAAATGGTCTTTCAAGATTTTAACTTTTTTTCAAAAAAATTTAGACTGAGCTTTACTAAAAAAAAAAAACAAATCCACGAAGTGTACCGTTTTAAAAGATCCTGAGATTATTGCTAATCTTTTTTGAAAAGTGTTTCTTTTTATTTTGGAACTGATTCGAACTTTCTTCAGGAGTTTTTCAAATTTTATTTCATCGACTTTCAGGCCTCATTTTTTTCAAGCTTCATTTTATTTGCTTTAATTTTTTGAATAAAGTAATATAACATATAAACCAACCAGTTTAATGAGTCTCGTGGCATTAGTTTGGGGCGCCACCTGACAGTGTCTCGAGGTTGTGCTCCTTTTGTCTCAGCACAACTTGTGAGCTGCATCCTGAGCCATTTTGAGCTCAAACTCCTTCAACTTGATTGTCAGTTCCATTGAAATGAACGTGCAGGGCCTGTGTACCGTTGGAAAAGTGCTCTTGATATCTAGAAGTTTATCTGCAAAGCTTCTTCAATTTAAATTTTAGAGTAGATTTTTTATTTCGAATTATATTCCAATTCAACACAGTCATTAGGAATGATAAAGTAGAAAAGAAAGAAAAGCTGCTTTTTCAATTCAAAAAAAATTTAGTCGTTTTTTGCTGACTGCTTTACGAATTCTCAAAGTTTTCCAGTTCTAGTTTTCAAAGTTGAGGTATTGACTGTGTTAAATTGGAAAAGTCAAGAAAAGCTGAAAGTTTTTGAAAAAGTCTGAACACTTCTAAGCTTTTGAAGAGTCATTCAATAATCATTTACTTATCAAAAAAACTTACGGTATTTTTTTAGTCGAAAAAGCTGTTATTAAAAAAACTTACAATTTTTTTCGGTCAATTTGATTCGGAGGTTTTCATTTTTTTTTTTCTCGGAAGAAATCTGATTTATGGAATTGACTGACTTTGCTGAAAGATACTCTCTAGGAGCCTTGCAGATTAACAGCGAAACTTTTCGAATAACTCATCAAGTTCTTTGAACTTCGAGCTTCTCTGAAACACTTGTAACTATTCAACACCCTCCTTGGTTCACTAGAGTCAAATTATTTGTGAAAAAAAACGTAGACATCAAAAACTTGTCTTTTTAAAGATTTTTCAAAAGTTTAAAACACTTCTCCCACTCCTTTTGAAACTTTAACTCTTGAAGTGATTGACCTTAGAGGGCTGTAGAATATGTTGAAGAACAGCAGGAGTTGAGAGAAAAACTTGAAGCTTTGAAGACTTGGAAATCCACTCAGAAAAAAAAAATTCGAGCACCTTTCCAAAATAGCACAAGCCCGGAATGTCTTTTCAAAGGTCAGGCCTTCAAGTGGAAGGAACTTGAGATAAAACACAGAAGTTGTGATGAAACAAAAGGAGCATGACCTCATAAGACACTGTCAAATGACGAGCTTGGAGAGGAGAAGAAAGCCTTGCTCAGCAGTACCCTCACCAGGCCTGGAGCCACCTACCAAAGACTTGGTCTCGGGCTCCATCGCCCTCTGGAGCCCAAGATCAAGGCTTCCGGCTCGGGCTCCACAGCCAGCCTGTGGGGTCTGAGGCTGAGGTCTCCGGCTTGGGCCCTTAAGGCCTGAGCTGGAGACTCAGGCTCAGACTCCAGAGGGGGTGGCTGTGGAGTGCGAGAGCGGAACGCCAGGCCGGCAACTGAAACCCCAAGTCCAGCAGCGGCTCTGACCCTGTCGGAAAAAACCAGGTACAAAAGGGAAAGGAGAATACTTTATTCAAAATCATGATTCAGAGTGTCCGGTTCGATGCCGCCCTCGGAGTACGACGTCGTCCGGCATCCATCCCGTCACATCACTCGACCTGAAACCCTCCCCATTAGCCCCCTCGATTCCTCTTCCCCTTTTTCTCGGAACCCTCCAATCCTGTTGCGACCTGAGCGTTTTCTTCAAATGGTCCAAGGGCCGAATCTTTTTTCTTGCCCAAGGCCCAAGTGAATGACTTTTTTTGACTGGAAACCTTCGAATAAAGAGTAAATTTTCAACATAGTCTCACAAGGAAAGCCTAGAGAAGAAGCTCCTCGAACAAATTACAAGTCCATCAAGAGCCGCTCAAAGTGCTGATCCTGTCAAGTGATCCAATGACAAAGTGATTGGCTAAGATGCCTTTGGAGATGTCATGACAAAATTACAAGTCCTTCTGAAGTCAACTCAATGTCTTGAGTTGCAAGCGTCTGATGAATGAAATTTTTACAATTCTTTTTCGAAGTAGTCTGAGAGTGATGTTTTTTTGAATTCACTGGAAGGATTGATTACATGTATTTTTTTGGATAAAAATTTTTGAAAAAGCCTGAAGTTTGTAAAGATTTAATAATTTTGAAACTTCAAGAAGTTCAAAAAGGTTGAGCCTGGGCGTAAGTTGGACCTTTCCATCAAGTTCAAAGCCGAAAACCTAGAAGTTTCAAATGTATCTTCGCAACCTAACAACTTTACTAACAGTCTTGAAAAATAAAGTTCCCGAATATTCAAATCAAAAAAATTGTTCAATTTCCACTTTCGTTTGAATGTTTTTTTCAAAAATTTTTTTAAATTGAATTTAAAAAAATACTGAAGTCCGAAAAACGTAGCTTTGATCTAAGGTCTGATGTTTTATAATAAGAAAAAAACTTGTAAGGTTGCGAATCTGCTCTCAATACGGTTCAGAAAAAATTCAATACGAGAAAAAATTAAAAGACATAACTATTCGAGCAAAAATAATCATCTTTTTGGTCTAATTCTACCGGTTACATCATAATCTTGCAATTCAAATCATAACAAAACTTCAAAGACGCTTGAGCTTTTGTCACGAAATTCTCAAAGTCCCTCCGCAAATCACAAAGTCAACGAATCAATTGACAAGCTCAACACTCTTCGAGCGGCTCTTGATGAACTTTTCATCTTTTGAGAGCTTCTTCTCTTGGCTTTCCCAGTGAAACTTTGCAAAAACCGACCCTTATTGGAAGGTTTCCAGTCAACTAACGGAAGCAAGTGTTTCACCAAATAAATTTTTTCCTAAATCAGTGACATTTGTGTTGCAGACCCGAAAAGTTGAACTGAATCGTCGAATGACATTCATAGAATAAAGTGGAAACTAGTTCTCCACGCTCTAAACATTGACTTTTTGATTCATATCTAACGCGTAAAAGTTCATCTTCTAAACATTCAAAAATTCAATTTGAATTTTTTTAAAGCTATTTTATTATGAAGCAAAATGACTAACCTTTTGAAGAAAAAATACTCAAAAAAATACGTTTTTTTAAAAATTTTAAAAAAATATCACATGATGAACTTTCACCCGCTAACGTCGTTTATTAAACTGATAAAGTTCTGAAACTAAATTAATCATATTTCAAAAAAATATTTTAGAACAGCTTGTGAAACAGTTTTTGTTTTTCAATTTTTTTTTTATAAAATTGGTCTGTTGCGATTAAACTTTCGAAAAAGTCTAACATCGAAAAAAAAACGGGTCTGCCACACAAAGATATAACTAAGAAGTTATTATTCAATCAATAAAAGGAAAAATAGTTTTTATTGGCAAAAAAATGCAAATAATCGATCGGTGAAACATTTGCATCCGTCAGTCGACCATCCACCCGCGCCCGGGCAAGAAAAAAGACCGACCCTGGACCATTTTCTCAGGAAAATCCTCGAAATCAAACAATTTATTTATTAAATTTTGAAGTTTTTTTCTTTGAATTTTTAGACAAAATAAAGTCTGAAAAACAACGTTCAAGTTCCTCTGAATTAAAAATCCTGTGTGAAAAAGGCTTGAAAGATAGTGCTATTATTGAAAAACCACCAAAATTGAAGCTCTAAAAAATTAATTGAGAAAAAAACTAAAAAAAGAATATTGAAATTACACTTAATCAACTACATTAAGACTTAGGCGAAAATGTGTTGTAAAAAAATTGCAGCGATTTTTTTGAGAAGTCAAGAGAGTATTGATCGAAAAAAATAGTTCATTTCTTTTTCCCGCGGAAAAATTTAGAAAAATTTTTTTGAATTTTTTTGCTACACGCACTAAAAAAAGCTCGAAATTTTTTTGAGAAGATGGAAAAATCTGAATAAAAAAAGTCAATTTAAAAAAACTTTTCTCGCGAAATTTGTTTTATTTGGATTTGTTGAAAGTTAAAAATTACCAAATTTTCGTGAATCAACGAAAAAAATTCAATTAAAAAAATCTGGAAATATTGATCTGAAAAAAATAATAAATTAATGTTTTTCGCGAGAAACATTTATGAGTAAAATTTTTCTATCCTATTGCTAAACTAGATACTATCAATCCTGGAGACTTAATTTTATTGAAATACAATTAAACTTTGTTTTCATATTCATTTCGCATGGTGATTTAAAAAAGTGAAAATTTCTGAAGAAAGAGGAAGTGGATTATTTTTATTTGAAAATTGTTCGATTTCGCGAATTTTCCCGAGAAGAAAACGCTCAGCCGCCCCAGTTTTGGACGATTCCAGTCCCAAAAAGGAAGGGAATCGAACAAAAATTCAAACGAACCTAAACTTACTCGCGTTCCAAAGTCCTGAGGATAGAATTTTGTTGTTGTACTTGTCGATTGGGCCAGTTTTTGCGACTTCCAATAAAAATTTCCTGGAACTTTACAAATAAGCAACAAGAAACAAAAATCATAACTTATATTTTAATATCCCAAGGTTTTCAGTTCAAACTGCAGCCGCCCAGTCCATTTGGAGCCGATTTTCTGGAAAAATTGATTTCAATATAACACGGATTTATGAAAAAAACGTATCTTTAAAACTTTCATCCGTTGGGCCCGGAGCATACGGAGATCGGCTTTTTTCGAGAACTAACCTGAAAAAAAAAAATAATTTAAAACAATAAGCAGAAGCGGAACGAAGTTCATCGAAAAAAGTTTGAAAAAATTATAAAATAGAAGCAGTAATCTCATATTTCATACTACTGATTAGCCCCTACAAGTTTCTAAAAAATAAGCTTTTTAGAAATTCTTGGTCTCTGCATTTTCAAACGCAGCATCTTTTAAAAAAAAGTCTCAAAGTAAACCATTCATATTGTTGTGCTAATTCTCCGCCTTCAAGCTGCAAAAGGATTTCATCTTAACTATTTAAAAAAATTTAAACTTTTTTTCGAAGTCAAGAACAAAATTATAGTTTAAAAAAAGCTTCAAAAATACCTGAATGATTGAAAAATAATAGCTGCAGTTATTATAATTCGAGTTGAACTATTCAAAAAACCGATTACAATAATAAAAAAACGGAATTTAACACGAGCAACAGCAACCCAGCACAAATGAAAAAATGTGGAATGACGTGGATTTTAGGACGCCGAGTCTTTCGCGCCATTCTGGAGATTCTTCTCGAGACTTTGCCACGTTGACCTCCCGACGTCAGGTCAAAACTTTTGACCGTATCAGACTCGCCTTTCAATGATTTTTTTGTCGCAATCTTGTTATATGACATTTGCTCCGCTTTTTCAATGAAAAACTATAGAAACGAAAAACATTGAAAAAATTATTTTTGGTCTTTCAGGCATAATTGGTCAGATCAAAAGTTTACCGTATCGGACCCATTTTTTGTCAATTTTCGTTTTCATTCAATTTAAACTTCGCTCACTTTGATAAAATTCGATAAAAAACTGGAAAAAAATCACCGGAAAAAATGGAGTGTTGAAATGAAAAACTAAGCTGTTGAAAAACGCAAAAAAGTGCTCTGAATTGATGAAAAAATTTTCTTTAATCCATTTCTGGAAGCAAGTTTCTTTTTTCTCGATGAACTCATCAAAAAATACGTCATTTGAATTCACGAATTCAGCAAAAATATAGGCAAAAACTTCGTCGAATAAAAATGTTTGCGGTGTAAATATCCGAGACGCAAAATGACATACTCTCGAATTTTTTTCAATTTTCTTTTTAATAAGTATAGTTATTGCAGGATTTCTCCCCTTATTTCTTTCCAAAATAAGCTTGAGAGAAAAAAGAAAAAATTCAATTCAATAAAAAATTTTGAAAAAGAGGAATGAAAAAACATTATGGGAAAGCGCCGTTAAGTACTTTTTACAATAATTTGCACACATTTTCTACAAGAAGGGGATTATATGAACTTCAAAACAACTGATTTGATTACGTGTTTAGTGACTCGCGTCGCGATTTTGTGAGGATGAAAACCCTGTGAGGTTCAATATTAGGATTAAAAATGAGATAAAAGAGAGCACTACAGAGGCCTCACTGAAAAAGAGAGGAGAAAGAGCTTCAAGACGAAAACAATTACAGTAAGAAACGAAGAGAAAATAAAAAGATCTACAATGGGGGAAATTCAGAAGGCAAATAGAATCTTAAAACAAAAAAAAACTACAGTAAGAAAAGATCAAGATAAAAAAATACTACAGTAATACAATAGAATTTTAACACGAATAGTGCTGTCCACGGACAACGTTGGCCGCCCGGATTTCGTCCCAAAATTCGGCCCTTCTGGCCTGATAATCGTCGACCATCTCAGCGGTCGGCAGTTTGATGCGCAGGTGTCGGAATGGGTTTTCCGGCGAGTGCTTCTCCCAGACTTTCAGATCGTCGGATCGAGAGTTCGGCGTACTGTAATCGTATCGTTTGGTTCATTTTAAACGAAAAACACACAGAAAATTCATTGTACAGCCCCATATTTTGTCTTTGTTTCGAAACTAACCCATATTTAGCGAAATTCGTGAAGTAGTTAGTCATGATGTGGATCATTTTGAGGTCGTCCTCATCGGGTTTGAATTTCGAAATGACACCTTTGCCGAGAACGTAGCGAATTTCCATGCAATGTGTCGCGGCTGAAAAATTACCTTTTTTTCAAACATAATTTTTAAAAAAAGGGTAATTTTTCATTTCAAAAATATTTGTTTTAAAAAAATAAAGCTGCGACCAACGTAAACCAGTTGAATAAAAATATTCTCTGACTCTCCAAAATTTCCATAATCTTTCCCACTTTCTGACAGTCATTTTTGTGCCGCCGGAAGCGTCTTTAATGCGGGAGAAAAAATTCAAATTGCTAAAAAAAATTGAACGGAATGAGCTCAATTTTCCAAATGAGCTATTAGAAAACTCTAAAAAAATTGTAAAAAATTAATACATTTTATCCTTTTCAAATTTCAAAATTATCTTAAAAATCAAGCTCATAACTTCTTTTTTTAGAGGTACCTGAAATCCCGAACCAAAAACTCACCGACAAAAGGCATGATCCACTTGAAAATGCCGAAACCGTTGGGGTTAAAGTGTTCGAAGGAGTAAAAATACACGTCATGGCCCATTTTGGCCATGGACCTCGCGTAGTTGAACACGCCGACGTTGATGAAATGATCACCAAGGAACTGGAATCACAAAAAATTGAAAATATTCGGAAGGCCACTACGAAAAAAGGCCCACTGCGTCGCGGTTGCGCAGCGTATCTATTTTTGGCTTGAAAAAAGCAAATATCAACACAGGCTAAGTCCAAACGACCTCAAAAAGGCCTTGAAAAAGAGCCTAAAGCTCTTTTTCAAGTTCCTTAAAAAAATGGTAGGACGAAATTTTGGGTCCGCGAATATTCGTGAGCGTGAATTGTGCGTACACCAATCTTGGGGATCCGAAACGCAAGAGAAAATAGAACATAAAACTGAAAAAACACTTCTCTTTAAGTAAAACCAAGCATCTGCCTGATTTTTCATCGTCTTCTTCAAAAAAGATTCTTCCTGGAAATTTTTCTAGTCCAAAGATTCCTTCGTTTATTCTAAAACCGCCACGCAACCGCGACGCATTCCGGGCCAGTTTTTGTGATATCTTCTCGATTCCTCACATGAATCATCTGCTCCAAGCATTTGGTCTTATCATTAACATCAATATCCTTCATGTAGAAATTGAAGACTTTTTCCTGAACTGCTTCGGCTTGATCCCCGTAGTCGCACTTCTGAAAATTACTTTCATTTTCATTGTTTAGATTCTTTTCAAAGTTACTTTGTACAAATCCTTGATGAGCTTCTTCAAATTGTCACGGATAAAGGCCAGGGAGAGCAAACCGGCTGAAAAAAAATTTAGTGAATAAGAAAACGAGGTTTTCTATGGTAAAATCAGCTCTTTGACCATGAAGAATTCTTTCAAAGACTCAAAAAAATCACCAAAGAAAAGGCCTTCAAATTCGGTGGTCCCAACAAGGATGCTTCTTTTCGGGGACTCTTTCCGAAGTTCGGGGATGGATTTCGGGAAGAAATCGCCGTCGATGTGCGGCACAAAGCAGAGAGAACCCGTCTGAGAGCTCTCGAAGCCCTGGAACATGAAGTTATATGACTATTTTTTTTTTTTTTTAAATAGAGTATTATTTTTTTATTTGCGTCAAAAAGCATTAGTGTGAGCTTTGAAAAAAACGCTAAAATCTTTTGGGTTTTTATGTCCCTCAACTTAGAAGCTCAGGGTCGCATTTGGAATGGCTATCCCCGGCTAAATTATCTGATTATGATCGCTTCTGATTAATTGCATGAATTTAAGCTGCAAAAAAATCAAATAAAAAAAGAAAAAAATACTTTTTAAAGAACTGAATAGCATAAGGGACCTTGTTCCTCAAGCCTAACCAGTTGAAAGAGAAAAATTTAAAAATCATAGAAAAGGATATTTGAAAGGAAAAGCTGGGAAGCTGAAAAGGCCCAAAAAAAAACCAGGAGAATAAAAGTCGGTTCTCGTACTTTTCATCCCTATTTTCCTGCTTTCAGATTGATTTTTGAAAAAACAGAAGGATATTTTCTGTATTTTTTCGTTTGAAATTTCTCACCCGGACAGGCCTCAAGCTCAGCTCAAGCTTGTGCAATGGCTGCTCATTTATCCATCGCATCAGGCCTTCTGAGTCATCGTCTAAATTATGAAAATTATGAAGAAAAAAAGACTTCTCAGTTTTCTCGAAAAATCCCTAAATTTTTGAAACGGACACGTAAATATGATTTCGAAAAACCATTTTAATTTCAAAAGATAATCATGTAAACCGGGTCATAAAGAAATAAATAAAGTTCAAATTGATCGTACAATTTTGGAAACGTATCACAGAAAAGCCCACAAAAGTCAAATCCGAATTTCTGAGAGGTTCAAGAACTTTCTAACACAGTAAAGAGAACAGAAACCCAACTTCTTGAGAATATTCAGCGCTTTTTGAAGAACTTCCAATCGCTTTTTTGTTTGAATCATTTGAAATTCAAGACAACCATGAAAATCACAAAAAAGCTCTCATTTTCAACAGCTGATCATGAAATCCGATACAACAGGAGAAAAATAAAATCCGTATAGACCGTATCATTATGCAAACTTATCACAGAAAAGCCTCCAAAAATCAAATCCGAATTTTTAGGGTCTCTTTTTTTGAGACCTTTCTAATTCTATGACAACATCCAAAATGTAAAGAAAGAAAACCGACATCTTAATGATATTCGAAGATTTATAAATCGCTTTTTCTGCCCTATTTAAAATCCGTAATCTTATTATTTTTTTTTCTCAACTTCCACACCTTTTCCAGTCCATCCAATGAATCTAGAATACTCTCTGGAGATCGTAGCTTGCTGTTCACTGGTTCTCAAAGCAAAATCGCATTCAGCGCAGCCGGCCATCGGGATCACCCTTTGGAACAGGTCTAAAAATTTCATAAATATGAATGATTTCAGATTTTCTCTGAACCTCTCGAGTGAGGGCTCAAACTGAGCAGATCTACAGAAGCTCCGCCGGCGCTTTGCCCAAAAATAGTCACATTTTTCGGATCTCCGCCGAAGGAGGCAATGTGTTCCTGGACCCATTTCAGAGCCAGCGTCTGGTCCCAAAGACCAAAGTTCCCTTGAAATAATTTTTTTTTCTCAATTTTTAGATTTTTCTTACCTCTACAAACATCATCTCCAGTCGTGAAGAACCCAAAAATGCCTAATCGGTAGTTGATCGACACCACGACAATGTCCTTGACGCAAAGATTTCTGGAAGATTGTAATGAGTGAGAATTAATTCAGATTGATTGAAAAATTGGGGAGATTCATATTAAGTTAAATTTTTTTTGAAACAAGATAAAAAAATTCCTACAAAAAGAAGTGGAAAGAAAAAGAAATTATTTTTTTGATTTTTCTTTATCATACTATTCCTATAAAAAAAGCTCACTAAGAGCCAGTAGGAAGCAAAAAAATGAAATCAATATATATATATATATATATATATATATATATATATATATATATATATATATATATATATATATAAATTATAGTCACACGGCTCACACATACGAGCTTAAAAAAATGTTTGAAATTTAAAAATCACAAACCCTTGTCATGGTTCACAGGCATAATCTATTCAAAATACTAACAAAATTTTCTTTTTTTTACAAATCAACTGATTCACAATAAGTATTTTCCTTCTCATCCTTAATCACCTAGCGATCGAACTATCGCCATAATTACTGCTAGAATGAACCACAAAACCGCCGCCGTGAATGTAGACCATTACAGGAAGACCGTTTGGCTAAAAGTTCATAATTCATTTCAAAGTACATCAATTTGAAAGAAACCCATTCGTCGCTTTTCCAGAGGGGCGCAAAAACATTGAGCGTCAGGCAATTGGCCTCGTCTTTGCCGACGGCGTTTAGAAGCTGAAAGTTCATTAATTTCGAGAGTTTGAACAGTTTTCGAGTCTAAAAACTCACCGAAAAAACGACTTCATCGTTTTGGGGACACCTAGGGCCGAATTGATAGCAATCTCGTGGGGTTTCCCATCTCTCGTGAGCTTCGGGCTTCTAAATAAAAAAAGTTCGGTTCAAAATTAGGAATTTTCATAGAAAATAAAGCGCAACGTTAGTTTTACGTTAACTCAAAACTTGTGAAAATTGATGGTTTCTGAATTAATTTTTTTCGAAAAAGTGAGAAAAAAAAAAAAAAAAGGGAGTTTTTCTAAAAAAATGAGAAAGGAATTTTTTTGAAGAGGTAAAACACAAAAAAATTTCCAGACCTTTATTTTATTTTTTTACTTTTTTTATTAACGTTTTGGGATCAAGCAACATTTAAAAACGAATCTTTTATCGAAACGGGTTCATTCTACAAGCGCGTCTGCGTTTCCTCAAACTTTTCCGGTTTATCAATTAAAGAGATAAAGAAATAAAGAAAAAAAGAAAAAAATAAAGAAATCGGAAAAAAATTGATCGAATCAAAAGTTGCGCCATGAATAACACACAGAATGCGCCACTGCACAACCTATGACGCATACTGAGTTGAATTTCAAAATATTTTCAATCTTTTTAAAAATGAAACCTTGAACCGTCTCTCGCCAACCGGTGGTTTCGCATATGGAATACCCAGGTAACCGCCCACACTTCGACCATCGGGCTGGAAGAAAAATTGTTATTTTCATCAAAATGAGTTTTATTTTGTTCAATTTCATCGGCTTACTATTTTTTCGGAAAGAAAACCTGTTGATAATTGAGTCCACGGACGGGACCACAAGTAGCGTTCAGTACATCCGTCGCAGGCGTTGAATAATACGAATAATAGGAAGAAAAATGGACTCCCATTCTTTTTTTTTACTTGATTGTGGTGGAAGCCGTGTTAGTAGGTGTGGGCGATTACTTTCGCCTGAAATTGAAATGAATTTGAAATCTATTTGGAGAATGAGGCGTCATGAACTGTTCAAGGGGTGTAAAAATAAATTCAATCAGAAAAAAAAGACAAAAAAAGAGAACTAAAAAAGTCGAGCATGCTTTTCCTTATTTGAGATCCCTTTTAAGACCGGAAAATGTTTGAAAAAAAAATCGACGAAAACAGTAGTTATGAAAAATAACAACAAAAACGAAAGGTGGTCATCTATGAATAAACTATAACGAATGTGCTCAAAATTTAAAAAAATTATCAAAAAAATTCCTGATAAAGGGAATGAAACTTGATTTTCGACTGGTCATTCTGGATTTGACTTAATTAAGCATGGTAAAAAAATTATTATGAATAATATAATCCAAACATTGAGGATATAGGTAAAACGGAAAAGTTCCTTTAAGGATCTTCAGAATGAGCTAAAAAGGTGCCGCTGAAAATTCCTAAAATAATGAAAAATCTGTTGAGCTTCTTTTTTATAGACTTAAAGAACCCTTTTTGAATACCCTGGAATCTTTTTTAGTTGCTTTCGGGTATCTTTTTATTGAAGGAAGTGGGAAAAAGGTCTTTTTTTTAAAAGCGTTTGAGGAGCTTTCTTTCTGGAAAATATGAAAAATTCTAACGAAACAACAGAAATATAATGAAAACGGGGTACAAAATGTGAAGCGGTGGCCGAAAGGAACGTTGCGATAAGAAGCGACTTGCCCAAGAATAATAAGACTTATTATCGGGTCCCCGACGCCGGAGGCCCAACACAACATGTACTTTGATCGGCGCAAAGTGTGAAGTTCATTGTTTCGAAACGACAGTTTTGAACAAGTTCCGGTGACTTTTAGGGCCAAAAAAAATCAGATAAAAACTACAAAGGAGAGAGGTTTTCTGTTGCTTCCAAGTGAATGTTTTCGAAAAAAAATTTTTTCACAATCTAACTTCTCCGGTAAGAGAAAAGAGATCACAGACAGGTCAGACAGTTTTTAAAATGTTTTATTTTGAGAAATTCCTCCACTCTTACAGTGAAACATGCCAATAAATGATAAAATAATGAAAATTTCAATTTTTTGAACTCTTTTAAAACATATTTTTAATCAATGGAAAATGTGAAAATTTCTCTGAAACTATCCTGATTTCGCACACTATCTAATCAACCGTTCCGGGACCCTTTTCTTCAAAATTCAACGATCATTTGAATCTTACGACAAATTGATAAAAAACAACATTTTCTGTTATCATGCAAGAAAAAAACACGCGAAAGGCTGAAAAAGGCAAAATAAAAGAACGGCTGAACATTTTTTGATGTTTCAAAAACCAAAAAAAGTCGATTTTTTGAGAATTTCGAGAAAATTCAAGTCGAAAGATGCTTTTCAACTTCTGAATTTCGTTCAAGTTCTTCAAAATTAATTTTGTAGAGCTCAAAACTCAATGTTTTTCTGTCTTTAGTGTCAATAATCGTGCATTTACAATAAACTTTACATGCGAAAAAATAAACATTAAAAAAAACCGGAAAAAAAAGATTTCTGTAGTAAATATATCAAAGATTGAATACTTCTTTCACAAAAATCCAAAAAATAAAATCGAAAAAGTTCATTTCAAGTGAGAAAAAAGCAAAGGCACAGAAAAAATGAAGTGAAATCTTTGAGACAGGAAAAAGTACAGTTCGAAAACATCAACACATTTGATTGATAAGACGGTCAACTGATTAAGAGTTCACAATTTCAAAATATACACCTTTGGGTAGAAAATAGCGATAAAACTCGTAAGTGATGGGGAAACCGGAGATTAGAAAAAGGCACGAATAACATTTGAAAAAAACAATCTTTTTATCTATCATTGAAAAATAACTGAAAGATTTATCTATCATTGAAAAATAACTGAAAGATTTATCTATCATTGAAAAATAACTGAAAGAAGCGGGATCGAGAGAAAGTGAAGACATGAAGAGACGGCAGAGAAACAGAGTTATCCTTGCCTCTCTGGCATCTCTTCATGCCCGTAGATCTCTCGATATAAATGAAGTGATCACTTAAGTAGCTTTTTTCAAATTAAAGATTAACTCTCTGAAGGTGAAGGTAGACAATTTGACTGCTTAAGAGACCACTCTAAAATTGAAATGCTAGAATTACTCTAGGGACTTCTTGGAGGTGCAAAATTTCCCTAAAACCGAAATTCGGTCTCTTAAGGCATAACCAAAAATCCCTTCAGTGATCACTTGAGTCCAATCAAAAACGCTCTAAAATCAAATAAACACTTTGAACTCACTCAAGAGAAATCCCTTTAGAAGGCACTTAGAGGCTAACTGAGCGCTTTAATATTCAATACCAAGCCTCTTAAGTCACCACTTCGATTTACAAGCTACTCCTCGTGATATTCTTGGCGCGGATGGCGTCCCAGAACTCGGCTCTTCGGGCCTGATAATCTTCGACCATTTTCGGGGCCGGAAGCTTGATTTGGAGGTGTCGATATGGATTTTCTATGTTCTGCTTTTCCCAGACCGTCTGGCCGTCCAATGGATTCGGATCACTGAAAAAAAATGTGTTTTTTTTAATTGAAGCATTTTCCAGCAAAGTGCTCATTTTTTCATTGCTGATGAAAGTTCAAAAAAAAAAAAACAAAATGAGAAAAAGAAAAATAGCCACCAACGCCTCAAGCAAATGTGCTCCAAGGAGAAACTTCTTCTTGACCCCATTTTTTTTTTCAAAACTCACCCGTATTTGGCGAAATTGGTGAAGAGGGTAGTCATGATGTGGATGACTTTCCGGTCATCATCGTCTGGGCTAAACTTCGAAATGAGTCCTTTGCCCAAGATGTAGCGGATTTCGATGCAGTGAGTGGCTCCTGAAAAAAAAAATGAAAGATTTCTGAAAAATGGATCTTAACAGTGGGGAAAGCTAGCTGTAAACTGAAAGCATTAAAGTTGAAATATTTGTATATTCATTTCACTCTGCTACATAGAAGAAAAATTTCCTGTTGCTTGATAAATTCAAGGAGAAGCTTAAAGAAAGTCTTGACAAAATAATTACACCTAAACGCTCGAAATTCAGAATTTTCCATAGATTATTGAGCTACACGGCTTTCTGATAGAGTCAATATTTCCTGACTTGGAAGCAGAGTTGATCAGGCTGTGCGTTTCTGAGCACGAGAAATTTACTAGAAATTTTCGAGATGAGTCGAGAAACTTTTGAAAGCCTACGTCAAAAATAAAGACGAGTTCGGAAAGTTTATTAGAAAAATTAGAGACGATATCATTTCTTGTCTCTAGTTTTTCGAGATCGAGAAGAACAAAATTAGTGTCTCAATTTTTCGAGACGAGAAACTTTCGAAGTACCATCTCAGAAAATCGAGACGAGATCGACAAGATGAATTTTGTCTCGATTTTTTGTGGCGAAACATTTTTTGAGACCCTTCTCGGGAAGCTGGGACGACACAAGAACTTCAAAAGATCTCTTGTCGAAAAGTTTGAGACAATATCGAGATTTTTAGTAAACCTGTTTGGAAGACAGTAAAAGCTGAAGTTAGTAACGACGCGACGCAGTTTCTGGCGGGAGAAGAAAAAGAAATTCACGCGGAAAGATGATGTTTTAATGTTCTTCACTGAAATCACGGTACCAAAAAAAGAGGAAATGTTCGGAAAATTCCCCGACATTTATAATCCTCCCCTATCCGGAAAAAAAACCATTCAACTAACCCAAAAACGGCAAGAACCACTTGAAGATGCCGAAGCCATTGGGATTGAAATGGTCGAATGAGTAGAAATAGACGTCGTGACCGAGTTCGGTCATGATCTTGGCGTAGTTGTACATGCCGACGTTGATGGCGCAGTCGCCGACGAACTGAAAAATTTGATCATCTACTGCTCCAGAGAGGAAAACGGACGTGGACCAGCTGCTGGATGACTTTCTCCTTGTCTTTCGGGTCGAGATCTTTCGTGTAGTACTCGTAGATCTCGTTCTGGATGTTTCCGGCCTCGACTCCGTAGTCGCACTCCTTGTAGATCGTTTTTGCGAACTTTCTGATCGTCTCCACGTTTTTGCCCATTCCGCCAAGGCCGACTGGAAAGATCAAGCTTACTTGGATTCAATAGTCCATTCATAACAACTTCAATGAGTCTAACCTGTCTGCGCTCTCGTCTCTCTCACCGGCAAGGTAATGGAAATGAAAAATATACGAAATCGTCGGCGAAGAAGAGGAGAACACCGAGAAATGAGATTTTTTCAAGCTCAACCGAAAAAGGTACCCAAAAGTCAGAAAATCGTGTTTTTGATATTTTTGAAATTCTGGTCATTTCCTAATTCATTGAGGACCAAGAAACCGAGCTCATCTTATAGAACAATATGATGACAAAAATTTTTCCATTATTTTTTTTTCTTTAAAATTGTCCATGGAGCGCAAATGTCCACATTGTGAAGGCTATTATTGTCAATTTTCTTCCCACGAACTCACCGAAAAACAGTCCTTCAAATTCGGTCGTTCCAGCCATTATCTGCTTTTTCGGGGCCTCTTTTCGAAGTTGCGAAATGGGTTTCGGGAAGAAATCGCCGTCGTAATTGGGCACGAAATAGAGGTTTCCAGATTGTGAATGGCGGAAGTCCTTGAGAATAATTAAATTATTTTTCAGAGATACTGAGAATTTCAGGAGGGGTCCCTATAGGGGTTTTATTGCTTTGAGGATCCCTATAGGGCCAAAATTGTATTGCTATAGTGATTTTTGAGGGGTCCACTAAAGCCTTGAAGCTTCAGTGCTCCCTATAGGGACTACTGCGCCGTCCCTAAGTAAAATATACCTTTTTGGGCGTGATTCCAACTTCCAATTTGGTCGTCGATTGATTTTTGAGCCATTCCAACAAACCTTTCGTGTCTTTGTCTAAAATTAAGAAAAAAAAATTAGATCGAGAAAAAAAATTTACAGTTTATTTGACAGTTTAGTGTTGAAAAACTTTAAAAAAAACTCAATTTGAAATTAAAAAACCAAGATTGAGAGATCAAGGGCAAATTGAAGAGAGGCCAGAGAAGTTAGAAGTCTCTCTCTTTCTCTGGCGTCTCTTCAGTCCACCGCTGTCTCAAGTGTCTGCTCAGAAGACAAAATTCTACTTGAAACAATAGAAAAGATGTTAGGATATGCGAGAACATCCGGAAGCTGAAGAGACATCAGAGAAGCAAGATTTCTTTCTTTCTCTACCGTCTCTTCAGCCAACCAATGTCTCTCGCTTTTGCTCACTCTTCATGTGATCATTTCAGTGATAATTTGAATAGTTACTGATTCAAGTTATACTGACTGTCTATTTTAGCATAATTTTAAAACGAAAATGTTCTATATTTCCTCAAGAATCGATTATAGACTTTTTTCTCTTGAGTGATCACTTCAAAAGCTTCAAATTAAAAGCGCATAGATCGCTTATCTAGCATACTTTTGACCTGAATTTCAATTTTTAAACATTTTCAATTTTCATCTTTCTCAATCCTCACCCTCGCCATCCCAACCGATGAACTTGAGATATTCTCTACACAACGTCGCTTGCTGTTCATTGGACCGATAAGCAAAATCGCATTCTCCGCATCCGGCCATCGGGATCACCCTTTGGAAAAGATCTAAAACCATTCTTCTTCCTCTTCATTTTTTCATTTTTTCTGGACCTCTCGAGTGAGGGCTCAAACTGAGCAGATCTACAGAAGCTCCGCCGGCACTTTGCCCAAAAATAGTCACATTTTTCGGGTCTCCGCCGAAGGAGGCAATGTGTTCCTGGACCCATTTCAGGGCCAGCGTCTGGTCCCAGAGGCCAAAGTTTCCTGAAATTTCCGGACTTGCAACTGATTTTTACGAAGTTATAAATTTATAGTCCATTCGTAAAAACTTCAAACAGTATAATCTGTCTGCGCTCTCTTCTCTCTCGTCGGCAAGGTCAGAGAAACATGAAAATAGCACGTAAATAAAAGAGAATCGCCGAGAAACGAGGAGGGCGCAGAAAAGCCGCAAAAAACAGAGTATAACTGAGCAAATTTTCTTGAAATGAAGGAAATATTCCTCTCCAAAAGCCTGATTTTTGAATTACTTTTCTCATGTGCCCATTTTTGGAGGTCACTTTTATGATTGCCTATCGAAAATTTTGCAAAAATATTGAAAAAAAGGTATAGTTGATTCATGGTCAGCTTTGGGCGCTAAGGGGGCGTGGCCTGTCTGCGCTCTCTACTTAGCAAGCACTGTCTCCGTTCTCATCGTGTCGGAACCCTCTTTCGGCTGGCTAGCCGTGAGTCAACTACAAGTAAGCCATTTTTGAATTATTTCTCTACCTGTTTTCATTGAAAATCTCATTATCATAGCTAAATCAGACTCAAACTGATGAAAATCGAAAAGTTCCAAGAGAAAAAATCCAAATTAAAGGGAAAAGAACCATTTTTTTTTACATTAAAATCGAAAAAGACTTTTCTCAGTTTTTACCTTTACAAACATCATCTCCAGTGGTGAAGAATCCCAAAATGCCGAGCCGATAATTGATCGACACCACGACGACATCTTTCACACAGAGGTTTCTGTAAAAACCATCTTTTAAAACCTTATGAGTACTATTTTTTGTTACCTGGCGATAGTTCTATCGCCATAGTTACTGCTAGAATGGACGGAAAAGCCGCCGCCGTGAATAAATACCATAACTGGAAATCCGGATTTCTGGAAAATCCAAAAATAGTTGTAAATTCAAAAATCCCTCCTGAATTTTTTTTAAAGTCAAAGCCCTCAAGGCCTCTTTGAGTGGAAATTTCAAGCTTGAAAAAAATTTAAAAAAATTTTTTTTTTCAATTTTACAGACTACAGTAAGTTCCGTATTGATTTTCCTGCAAATCCACGGTTGCGAATTCAAACCTTTGGAGGGAAATTCAAAATTTCTGAATTTTTCACAAGCTTTCTACCTTTTCCTACTGACTCGATGATCATAATCATCCTTTTATTAATTTTGCAATGAATAAAAATCTTTTTTTCTAAAGACGCTAAGACCTCTTATAGGAAGATACTAAGATAATATTTCATCAGGAAAGTTCTCAAAAATATAACAATTTTTCGGCTACAAGTTCAAGGTCGAAAAAAATTGTTTTTTTGATTTTTGAAACTTTGAACCTTAAATCTTAAATTTCTCTATTAAATTTCGGACCTTCATCCTATAATTTCTATATGAAATACTGAACCTTTCTTTCGTTAATGACTAGTATTGTGAAGGAAATAAACATTATGATAATCAAAAAATCTAAAATTTCTTTATCAAATCCTTACCCATTCCTCGCTTTGCCACCGTGGGGCAAAGACATTGAGCGTCAAACAATGAGCCTCATTTTTGCCGACAATATTGACAAACTGCAAAAATTCCTTGTTTCTTTCCAATATTTTCACAACTAACAGCTCCGAAGAAATCGTCGTTTTGTGGACACCTCGGTCCGAATTTCTGGCATTCCCGTGGCTCCGACCAAATTTCGTGCGGTTCTGGTTTCTGAAACCTTTTCAATTTGAGAAAAAAAAAGCTAAAGCGAAAAAATTCCCATGCCTTCGGGAAACACATACGACTGCCAAAGCTTGCAAACGACTTGTAACTGCTTGCGCACAGAGGCATTAAAAAGCTTGAACGAAAGTTTATGATTTTTATCCGCAACGCTTCAGACCATTTGAAGCTGGTCTTTTTTGAAGCTCAATTTTCCGATTAAGTCAAATTTTTTCTTAGGTCAAAGCCCAGAGGGATTTTCCGATAGGAAAAATCATAGAAAATAGGAAAATGATTTTAAAAAAACTTCATACTTCAAGGGAAAAAAAAAACATCGAAATCAATTTTTTCAATAGAAAAAGGTCAATTTTCACCTTAAATCGGAGCTCTCCAACTGGCGGCTTCGCGTAGGGAATACCTAGGTAGCCATCGACAAACCGGCCGTCTTCCTAAAAAAAATAACTAAAAATTTTTGCGCCGATTTTTCTAATGAAACTTGGGCTGAAGGAATTGAGGATCCAAGACTCCAAAAAATTGAAAAATTCCGGACTTTTTGGCTTTTTAGTCTATTTGCGACCCCCCAAAAATTCAAAAAATTCATAAATTGGAATAATTTGCCTAGAACCAGAAGATTCAGCCCGTTTTTATCAATAATTTGATAAAAAAAAAATACTTCCCTGGTAAGAAATAAAGATCTGACAAAGGGCAAAAGTGGTTCACAAAAAATAGCCGCGGAGTTTTTTTCATACATGGGAGAAGCGCATTTTTCATGTAACTCATGAAAAAATAACTAGCCATGGACAGAAAAAAACGCCGAGAAAAAGCCTCAAAAACGAGCCGCTGAAAATCGCTGATTTCCATGATAAGACGAAAAAAAGGAATTTAAATTTTGAATAATTCATTTAAAAATCCAGCTGAGAACTCAGTTCCCAATTCCCTTTGCGGAACTTTTTAAAATTTTGGCTCTCATTCTGAAAGAAAAAAACAAAAACTGTGGAAATCTGCAGTTCTCAACCAGGTATTCCACGAATTCTTTTCTTTTTGCTCCATTTTTTTTTTCATTTTCTAGACCAAAAATGACATTACATCATTTAAAACCAACCTGCTGATAAGCATTTCCACGGACCGGCCCACAGGTGGCGTTGAGGATTTCAGTGGAAGAAGGTCGGGAAGAAGAAAGATAGTTTCCCATCAACTGAAAAAGTGTCTCTAACAAAAGTTGCGGTGCACCCCGCGTCGAACTGTTTGGTTCACCCCGCAGTGTAACCAGGGGTTCACCGAAAAGTTCAACGCGGGGTGCACCCAATCGCGCTGAGTTCAACGAGGGGTGCACCCCGATGGCCGGTTCGACGCGGGGTGCACCGCAACTTTTTTTAGAGGTCGAATATTCACTTTTTGCGAGGATAATTGTCCGAAATCCGGTTGGAGAATCGATGAATCGATTACGAGGGAGGTCATTTTCTTGGAATTTTTCGAATTTTTCGAAAATGGGCCAGAATGCTTTTCGATGTTTTAGAAGACGTTTTTGAAAATTTCGACCTGCACAACTTCCTATGAGAGCACCTTGAAATCCAAAAAAATCCTAAAAATCCTAAAAATCCGTCAAGAAGGCCATTTCGAGGAGTCCTTATTTCTCGAAAAATAGGAAGTTGTGCTGGTTGAGACTTTCTGGACCTCAATTTGGGGCTTCAAGTGATACTCTGACAAATTTTCAAGAAATTCGTACCTTCCTTGGGAAAAAAGAAAAAATTCAAGTTTCAGATGGTTCTATAGTTCAATCTACTGCAAAAATCTTAACTCGAATTAACAATTTCGAAAAAATAGAGATGTAATCTCTAGCGGAAAATACAATTCAAAAGTTTCAGTTCAAAAAAGGTTTCTTTATGATTGAAATTCCTGTTTCAAGGACTTTCAAGCTATCTTCAATAAAATAAAGAAGATAAACTACAGTACAAAACAACGACATCCGGTTCAAAAAGCGTTTGAAAACAGCGGCGGAAAAACTTTGCAAGAAAATGTGAATGATAGCAAGGAAAATGAATGATAACGAGGGGCGATTCTATCACTCCAAACACCAATCGCCGTAGGCTATAATACGACGGAGGATCGGAAATGAGAAAAAGGAGAAAATTGAGGGTTCAGGTATATTCTGACTGAAAAAAGTCTAAAAAAGTGTTTTACTTGAAATTTTAAGATTAATTTTGGAAATAAAGGTAGTGAAGACCTTCTCCAAGTTGGTGATTTTCATCATTTTGAACTTTTTCCGGTTATTGAAAGCAAAAATCCATTCCAATCGTTTCTCTTTGATGAAGTTTTCAAAATGATTCCGCGAAGTTTTAAAAAACCTTCAGATAATGGAAAAGACAACTGGAATTGGGAAAGTCAGAGATAATTTTGAACTTCTCGGAAATTACTTTGAGCACTGCATGAGAGTCTACGCCTTTTGCAAGAATTTTGAATTAAAGATTCAAAAATTCGGAGCTCATGCTCGCACTTGGAATGGCTCGACGCGTAGCGGTTTCTTTCAAGCACTCCCGACTTGAAACGACTTCCGCGACTTTGTGACTTTGAATACTCCAGAGAAAGCCCTAGATCAATTCCACGGCAAAACTTCGAGCACTTCTACGTTCAAATTATCTTTCCATCGTATACAGCCCAAGGCTCAAAAAAGGAGAGCTACGTTTTGAGCCATGCCAAACGCGACCAGAGCGTTTTCTGCCTCGCTGGATAGATTTTACAGTTTTTTTTTGAACCAATCAAAGAGAAAAAGAAAAACGAGAAACCCCGTGTCCTAAGCCATTCTAAACGCTATCCCGGCGTTCCAAGTCATGCTGGATAGGTTTCAGCCAACTTAGGGGACAAAGTAACGAAAAAACCCGTGCCTCAAGCCATTCTACGTGCGACCCCGATGTTCCAAGCCTCGCTGGATAAACTTTACCATTTTTCGAGTCAACACGAGGGGCAAAGAAACAAGAAGAAGAGCAAACTACCAAGAAACAAACAAGAAGTATTGCGCAATCGGAACAAAAATAAAAATAGTCCAAGAGAAAACTGTTGTTTGGGCAGTTCGAGAGAACAACTGTCCCCGGGAAAAGAATGACGCGGGCGAACCGGTTGAAACGAATCGGGTTTTGGACGTCGGTTCGCCGTTTCACGGGGAATCGCCGCGTTTTGGCACGCTTGACTAAAGCTTCAAGGTCTCGTTCTTCAAGAATTCGTTTCTTTTTGAGAAAATAACAAAAAGGGGCTTATTTTATACGTTTTGAACTTATTGGTGATCATTAAAAGGGAAAAAACCTATTTCATCAAAGGTTCAAGTTAAGAAAGTGAAGCCTTAAGCAATTACTTCAATAATTAGTCTGAAGACGTTGAGCAGGAAATTTCATTTCTCTACAAATCGACAGAAAAATTTTTTAGACTTGCTTTTTATTAGAGATATTCAAAAAAATCGAGACAACTAATGTATTCCATTTCAAGTGGTCACTTAAGAGTCATTTTTTTCTAGGTTTTTTTAAATTTAAAAAAATCGAGTTTTCCTCATTGAAGTGGTTTTTTTCATAGACACACTCAAAAAGGTCTTTTTCAAATTTTGAGAAAAAAATCCAAAAACAATTTCTCATCGAAAAGGCTAATGGAAACGGTAGCGTTATAAACAAATAGCAAAACTCCTCAAGTGACCACTTGAAACGCCAAAATTGCTTTAACCCTCAAATGACCGTCTCAAAACTTTTCAAAATTCCACGAAGTTTCCGGAATATGTTAAATTGAAAAATAAAAATATATCATCGATCAACAGGAATTAATTTTTTTCCCAAAAATAATCCAAAAATTGGGAGGTTTCAAAAAAATCTGATCACTTCCTAAATAAAAAAATACATGAAAAACCTAACATCTTTTTATAAAAATTCTCGAATGGTAAAATAAACAAATAGAAAAAATCCAGACATAAACTTCCTTGTAAACTGAAAATACGCGTATTTTCATCTGAGAATACGCGATTCTCGAAACTTTCTTTGAAAATATGGCGTCAGTTATGTACTTTTTTATAAACAACCCAAAAACTAGTCCTGTTTTTTTCCCTTGAAAATTATAAACAAAAAGCCAAAAAAAGAATGAAGAATAGAAAAAAATCTGAACATTTCAGGCTTAAAAACTATTTTTTTAAAAAAATAACTTCACGTGCCCATTGAAGCTAAACATCCTTCAAAAAAATTTCTCCATTCCAAAAAAATCAATTTTTTTATCTATAGGCCTTCGAGTCATTAACACAATAGAAAAAAACAGAAAAAAATTGGGTTTAGTTAAAAAAATCACATCTAAAAAAATATGGCAAAAACTTTTTATAGTTTGAAAATTTTTCTTCATTTTCATTCTAACTTTACAAAAAAATTTTTTATAATGAACAGAGCTGATACAAAAATATTTTTGAAAAGAGCTTGAAAACTTTAAAAAGAAAAACTATCAAAATTTGTTGAAAAAAATTATTACACTCTGCAAACCTCTGTTCGTTACAAAAAAACAGCTGCGAATGACAAAATTGGTCTATTTTAAAGCCTTCAACAAGGACTTTCAAAAATAGAAGAAATGACTAATAAAAATAACTGAAAAAAATACTTCAGAAAAATCCAGAAATCGGCAAATTTCAAATTATGTAATTTTCAAAGCTAGAAGCATACTATAAATGAATGAAAGTCCACAAATCATCACAGAAACAAAAAAAAAACGGAATTCCAAAAAATTTTATCTTATTCTCATCAGCCTTTAACTGAAATCTTTCTATATCCTGAAAAGTTCAACATACTGAGCTATATTCCCATCGTGAATCAAAAAAAAATCAAGGAAAAAAGGCAAAAAATTACCAATCGCTCCCTTAAAGATCTGCCGGCTCGGACCATAGCCGCTTGGTAGTTGCCAGAGGCCAAAACTGATGTAAAATCTTGGAAACGTTGCGCCACTTTCATTCTATAAACATTTTAAAATAAATCGACCGTTTATTTGACAAAAAAAAGAGAAAAAAAGAAAACAGCAAAAAAAATTAATGAAGACGTCGATTAAAATGTATCTGGTGCATAACCCACTACGCGAAATTGCATACCGAAACATTTTTCAGAGGGAAATGGAATTTTTGCAATTAGTAAAAAAAATATAGGATTTTTCTTCCAAATTTTGAGGTTTTTGATTGAGTAATTGCACATTATCAAAAAAAACCATGTATGAGGGGAATTCTCATCAGAAAGCTCTCCTCAGAAGGGGGAAAACTGAAAAAAAGTAGCGTTTTTCTGGAATTCCTTTCATTCTAAGACGAAAACAATGAGGCCAAATCCCACGGCGTTTCGCCAACCGAGAGCTCTAAAAAATAATAAGAGTCAAAAAACAAAGAAGAGAAGGTTTTCAAGTTTGAAAATGGATCAGAAGGTTTTTAATCTTGAATTATTATTTGAAAAAGGCCTTTTTTGTCTTTTTTCATTTGAAATTTGACGTTTTTCAAGTTGTATCATTCAACTGAACAAAAATTAGAAGCTTCAAATGATATCAAAAAATTCAGAGAGTTTATTAAAACTGTCATATTTTCAAGATGTTGAATTTTTCCCAAGTTAATTGATTATTTTATAAATAAAGCAGAGAAAATATTGATCCTTATGAAAAAACGGAGGTAAAAGAATATCCAGTGGGAAAATAAGCAGCAGAGTTGCCACCCTGGAGATGATGCCAACCGAGAGGAACGCCTCCGTCTCTTCGTCTCGCACTCTCCACCCTTCGCCACACTCTCTAACAACATTCTCAAGCTGTTCCTGTTGCTCTCTTTACTCTCTCATCGGAGGGGTCGAACCTCAAGTCCGAGAGTGACGAGAGCAGCTGGCAGAAGGTAAACAAGAGTCATAATATTGATAAAATCAGGTCTTGGAGGGGAATATTTTTTGGCTCCTCCCTGCGCCTTTAAATTTATCGTATTTTTTGCACTCGGGCAAAGTCGGAATGATGGATAATGGCCGCTAAAATGGAGAGGCTCAAAATAGGCCGCACAAAGGGTGCAATGAGGCTAAAAAATGGAGAAAAAGGAAGAGGCAGCAAAAATGGTGCATAAGAGCCGATAAAATGGCGCAAAAAGTGATTATTTTAGTGAGTGACTTTTTTGAAGCCTAGGCTCCGCCCTGCGCCTTTAAATGGCTCTAAACGTTTTTTTTTCAAAAATTCTAAGCTGTTTTTCAAAGCTTATTCATGAAAATCTAGAGGTATGAAACGAGAAAGGCGGCTTTTCTCCTCCCTGCGCCTTTAATAAGTAAATGAAAACCGAAGATTCAGAAAAAATGCAAAAATCCAGAAAAATGATTCAAAAGCTTTCAAATAGCTCTGTTGGATTTTCTAGGGGATAGCCTTCAGAAAAAAATATTTTATCAAAAAGCGAACGAAATGAAAGTTTAATATCCTCCAAACAAAACTTGCCCGATTAAAGGTCAAGCCAAAAAATTGAAGCCCTCAAAAAAAAAAAGAGTGAATGGAGCGTAATGAAGCGATGTCCTATTGTCCTTGCCCAATTCGTTTTTTCGACGTTCCAGACAAACTTTAGTACACTTTGCTCCTAATTTCCTACATAACAATACAAGACAATCAACCTAAAAAGATTGGAACAAAATGAAAAAGGCTAAAAAGTTCATTTTCTTCACAAAGATGCGAACTTTGAGGTGTTCAATAAAGAAAAAAACTCAGTAATTTCTTTTGGGTTGAAAAAAAGTCTCATCGAATATTCAGAAAACATCCAAAGCTTATATATATTTTGCCTTCTCGTAGAAAAGAGAATTTAAAAAGGCACTTTCAAAAGTTGAAACGAAACAAACGAGATAAGGAAAGGTAAACAAATCAATCAGGTACTTTTCGTATTTCATCAATAAAGTCAAAAACAAAAGAAGTTGGATTGAAATTTTGAATAGTTTATTTTCTAGCCATATTTCCTGGTGATTTTGGGCCCCATTTAAACAGTTCATTTTTAAAAAAAAATCAAAGAAAAAAAAATGAATATACTTTCATGAAACTTTCTACGGTGACTTTCCTTCTGGCACAGGGAGCCTAGTCTTCTAGAATTTAGGGCTCACAGTTCGAAATTAGGCTTTTTAACGGATTTTCAGGGATTTCTTTGACTTCAAGACGTCCTCATTCAGAAACGAGGGAGATGTGCTGGTTGAAACTTTCAGAATCTTCATCGGGGACGTCAGGGAGTAAATTTTTTAAGAGTGCTTCATAGGGAAGTGAAACGACCTTCCTTGTGAATTATATTGAGATAGAGTGTAACGTACTTCAAACTGGTTTTCATAATCATTTCTAACATTTTTCCTAGAACTAATTTTTTTATTTGGATTTTGCCAGAGCACTCCTTGATAAATCAGATGAAGATTCTGGAAGGCTCAATCTGCACAACTTTGTAATTTCCGAGAAACAAGGGCTCAAAGATCGAAAGCAACTTTTCGGAAGTTTCATTGATTTCAAGAATGTTTTTTCAGAGAAGAAGCCCTTAATTGTAAGCATAAATACGGTTATTTCTCACAAAATGCGAGTCTAATGAGACGTCCGCAAAATTGCGCGCACGGCTACTGTAAACAGTTGTCCGTACACCGATCCAAGGCATTTTTTTAAAAATAAAGGCGGGTAATAAAAATCGCGTTTTTTTTTTAAAGTAGTCACATCTGTATATTTTTGAGTACATCGTTCGATTCGCAAAGAAAAACTATATAAGATACTGCTTTCACCTGAAACACCGTTTTTACTGTCCCTATGCCTTCAAGGTGTCCTTTCTCGAAAGCTAGAAAGATTTTCAGGTTGAGAGTTCCCTTGTGAGATTGTTCGAACAAGAAGGCAAAGGGAAATCGAAAAAAGACAAGATTGAGACAGTCTTTTATTGTGCTGATTGAACACTAGAGTAGTCATAAATGGCGGGTTTTGCTGGGCGGTCGGGAGCTTTTTCGCTTGCCTTCCGCCGAGTTGAAGGCTCGCACGACTTCGAGTATCGACTGTAAATTCAATCAACTGTTTGGGTGTTTTTTGGACTTTCAGAAACATCCAAACATGAGATCAAATGAACCATAAACTTCACGGATAAATCGCTAAAACTTTGAAAATTTGAGACTCTTTTGACAAAACTGTCCAGTTTTCATAGATAAAAATGCATTCTAAAAATTGAAAAATGAGAACTATTAAAACTCTCTGAAAGCCTATGGAACCCCCTACAACTCGAGTTGTTGCTGAACATCAAGACCGACCAGTTCGTTGTTGAGCGAGCTGAGCGAGTACTCCGAGGGACAGGAATGAGGGGTGACTGGCTCAGAGGAGAGGTCGCCTTCCTCCTCTCCTTCCACCTGCTTCACCAGCTCCAATTTTGTTTTCTTAACGTTTCTCAGTTGTTAATTATTTATGAATTGATCGAACCTTTTCGATTTGAATCTTCTCACGAGATTTATCCAGCGGCGGCTTTGTGATCACCTGGAGAACAGTTATGGTTTTTAATAGGCAGAGAAACTTATCGTCTTCAAAAAAAAAATACGGTCCTTTGAAAAATGAATCAAGCTGTTTTTGATTTGATTAAGGTTGAACCGAGTTTTCAGCGATATCGTCGATGTACAGCGATATCGCTGAAAACTCGGTTCAAAATCCATGTTTTAGAACCTCCGGATAACCAATTTCCTTTGGATGGGCCTCGGCAGAGCTAGAAGCTTGTTAAGGTCCGAAATCAGTACTTTGACGATATCGCAAACATGTCGCACTGATCTCGGCGCGACCTTGTATTACTCTTAGCTTCAAAAAAAAAAACTGTAAATTTCCAAAACGCGAGACTCGCGCGATACTTTTGCGATGTCGTCGATGTACCGCCAGCGATATCGCTATAAACTCGGTTAAAATCAAATCCATATTTTTTTAAATGCAAATTATTATTCAAATCATGAAATACTTCTCTAAAGATAACTCCTAGTCAGGCGCGATAGAAAAAGCGAGATCGCTGGACACTCGTATTTTTTTCACACTCAAAAAAAAAACTGAAAATTTCCGAAACGCTTGTCCACGCCGAGAAAATGCGAGACCGGCGCGATATTTTTGCAATATCGTCGATGTACCGCCAGCGATATCGCCTTCATATTGGCGATATCGCCTTTATATCGGCAGTTATTCTTAGCAACGCTGCTGGTGGGACCGGGAAAAGGCCACATCGTCAATGGAGCCGTTTTTTTTTCAATTTCTTCACCAGCTTGGTTTTCACTCATTTTCAAGTTTGGAAGGCCCGGGGCGTCCTGGGGGAATGCAGTGTTATTTTGGAAAGACGTACCGGCGCGGTAGCCTTGGCTGTAGCTTCATGGGCGAAGGTGGCGACGGAAGAGCCGTGCTGGTGCTGACATCGGCACAGGCCGGGGCTCTTGCTCGCGCCGCAATCCTTCGACTCGCACGGCTTTGCTGACATCTATATCCCGACTATTCGGCTTGACGAGAACACGAAGAAATGTCGAAGACGTCACGTCCAAGCATTATCTGAATGAAAACCTTCAGAAGAGTTTATAATTGGAAGCTTACACGGGAAGACCTATTTAAAAGGCTCCGATTATCTTCTTCTCAGTCTTTCCGAATTGATGACAGTACTCCTAGCCTGATATTAAGATTGTAACACATTTTCTTCCGCATAACATTGTAATGAAAGTCAAATCTCTTGTTGGAAGAACGATTTTTCCTCTAAAGGAAACCTCTCTAGGGACCCCTCTGGCGTTCCTAAGACTGTAAACCCCTCAATTCAGTGCAGTTTATTTTTAGGTGTGTGTTCTAATGTGTACTTTCAGAGTGCACACAAGTTTATTTGAGCGAAAAAAAGTGACACTAAAGTCCGAAAAGCGTCTTTTTGTTTACTTCGCCATGATGGCTTCTATTGGATCGTAAAAATGTAAACATTAGAAAAACAAAGTGTAAAAATAGTTTTAGTGAAAATCCTCCGTTTACAGTATCTGTCGGGAATCTTTAGACTTTTTTCAAGTTTTGACGAAGGTCAGGCTCTCTGTTCATCTTAAACTTGCCCGAACTCCAGAGTGTTCCCTATAGGGGCAACCTTACGGGTCATTGGAGGGCTCCCTCTAGGGATCACTTTACCAACCTCTGCACTAAAGCTTGCAAAAGTGGTTCCTATAGGGGACATGCAAGCCGATAATTGTTATGAACTCTAAGCGAAGGAGTCCTTCCATGGGAAAAACTGAATAAATAAGCTATTTTGAATGAAATTGTGAGACCCCTGTTGTTTTCCCGTAATCCGTATAGAATCCCTAAGTTAGTTTTCATTTGATAACTTTTATTCGAAAAACGCTAGTTTGTTAAATTTCTCGCATGGAAATGCTTCTTCGTCTAGAGTTCATGACAACAAACGACTAGTCGGACTAGAATGCCCTTGTAGGGGCCACTTTTGAAAGCTCTAGTGGATCTCATAGGGGCAGGTTCCTAGAGGAAAACGTTCAAGGGCCCTAAGGTTGCTCTTCTGGAATTCATGAGAACCGTGAACTAGGATGACGACCTCTGTTAGACACCTTTTTTTCTTCAAATTTTCATATTGATTTTCCCGTTTTTTTGAGGAGCTGGTTGTAAATTGAATAACGATAAACTTTTAATTTTTTTGAAAAAAAGGTTTTTTTATTGCAAAGAAATGATTCACTGTATAGAAAAAAATGAACTTTTGATTTTTTTTAAAAAGGTTTTTTTGGCACCCCCTTTCCTCATTTTTTTGTCAAGTCCCCTCACTTTTTTTTCTAGGTCCCACCAAGACTATCCCATGTATGCCGGTGTTCTTCCAAAAAAAAAGGTTGAAATTATCCAACTGACCGCACTGGACTATCACAAATCACATTTTTCGTGAAACGACCTCGAAAAAAAACGGGAAAAAAACGGTAGTCTCGCTCCATTGAACGGGCAGACGGGTGAATCAGAGACCGAGAGAGACCAAAATTGCATCAAAGACTGGGAAAATAGAGAACTACAGAAAATAATCCGCGAGCCAAGTGACGTTGCTCTTATCGGGGACAAACGAACGGGAAAGTACTGTGGTGGTCGAGATCTTTGGTTTCGGGGAAAGCGATTGCGAAACTTCGGCTGTATAAAAGAAGGTGAAGGTCTGCAGAATTCACCGACATCAAACTAGAACTAATCTATTTATTTATTGTTGCCTATTTATTTTTTTCTATATCATCATTTTTGGAAGGGATATTTAGCGCATGAGTCACTCGGATCAACTCGATTCGGACATTTAAAAGGACTTGTCATCATTCCGTTTTTCTGTGGTCTCTTTTTTCAATTGTGAGTTTTTTGCCGCTTTTTTTAAAATCTTTTTTTGGACATTGCATCATTCCTGAGCGCCCTTGTATGGATTTAAAATCAGAAAACTATTTTTTTTTTCTCTTCAAAAATCTATTTGCATCATTTTTCCTCACGCTATTTGCGTTTGGCATCAAGAAAAATACTGGGAAAACTTTTTAGTGGCCACTTTAGAGGTTTGACCTTTTAGTGGCCACTTAAGTGGTTATAATGATTTGACCTTCTTAGAAGTCTAATTGTACTACTAGACCACTAAAAACTACTACAGCGACCGACGCAAAATAGTAGCTCCTACAAAGGTGGATTTAGTGGCCACTTTAGTTTCCTCTCCAAGTACTTCTTGAGGGACCTCTTAAGTGCCCACAAGAGTTTTTTTCATATCATGGTTTTCTTCTTAAAAATTGATAGTTCGTTGAAAAAAATTATTTTTTTGCCAATTTCTCAAAGTCCGCAATTTTAAAAACTTTTAAAAAGTTTTTTTTTGAATCACTTTGATTTTTTATTATCATCATACAGTTTTACCACGCTAGATGATTCAATTTTCGTTTTTGAGCTTAAACTTTTCTGAAACCTTTTTTGCAGTCAAATAAAAAAAGCATATAAAAACCCAGATCATTTTCAATTAATAAAATGTTCAGAAAAACACTCAACCTGAGAATGTCGTCTTGCGGATGGCCAGTGATCCCAACAACCAGCACGGCCTCGACGTCTTCTGGCCCCAGTTCAACGACAAACTCGACGTCAAGCAGTACATCTTCAGGCGGCTCTCAGATGACGTCATCTTCGACGTCTTCCACTCAAACGATTGACGTCCTCGACTTCGTTCTACAACCTTTTTGACGCTGTCACTTTTAATTTATTCAATTTCCAAAGATCCTGCCTTGAATCGTACAACTTTCATTGAAATTAATGATAAAGAACATTTAAGAAAATGAATTTATATACAAAAAAAACCCATTTTTTGACGAGAACCCGAGAAAGTCAGACTTGAGATGTGACGGAGATTTCACCGGGATTAGTACATAGCAAATAGAGATCTAATGGCCGCATTTGGAATGGCTCGACGCAGTTGCAGCAAGACGATTTTTGCGTGAGAGTTTTCAGATACATGGGAAAAAGTAGGTGAAAGCCAATTTGCTTGAAAAACCGCGTTACCTTGAGCCATTCCAAGTGCGTCCGCGACAATAATAAACTGAAAAATTCAAATGTTCAAAATACTTAAGAAAAACCCCCTATGCTCCTTTAAAGGTTGAAAAACGTAATTTTTTGCAAAAACGTCTGTTTACTCTGCTCCTTATTTTTTCTCGACGACGCTCTCTTGTTACCTGCTCTTTTCATAAGTGGTCCCTATAGGGGTCGTTCAATTTCGTTTTTTTTAGTTTTTCGCATAGGAATGCTTCTTCGCAAAGGGCTCTTTAAAATTATCGACTAGCATGTCCCTTATAGGGGCCACTTTTGCAAGTTTGAGTGGCCCCTATATAGCTTGGTATAGTGGTCCCTAGAGGGGATAATTCAAATACACCTGAGGTTGCCCCTTTAGGGACCACTCTGCAGTTCCTAAGTTCATCTGGCCCCACCGGCGAGGGAAAAGAGAGTGCAGGCGAGTCAGACAGTTTGATTGCTGGCAAATGGACTGAGTGGCCGGAATGGGAATGGCTCAACACGCACCCGACCCGAAATGACTTGGTAAAATCAAGTTTTGCGATTAGAAAAATCTTCAAATCGAGAAATTTTCGGGAAGCGGCGGTACAGCCACGAAAGCATATCGAAGGAACAACAAAAGGACAAGCAAATTGAACATTTCGAAAAGGAACAAGAAGAAGAAGTCGACCCGGGCGAAGATTTTGTTCCATTCGACTTCGACCTGAAGATTCGAGAATCGTTTTTGATGATTTGCTGAAAATCACCTTTCTCTGCCATTTCTGCTTCTCGATCCGTTCTCTGTAGGCTTTTTGGGCCCTGGCAACCTCGATAAGCTGGTTGTAGATGGCTATCAGGTCAGGGAATCGGGGCCTAAAAATTTGAAAACGTTTTCGGAAGATTCAATATCTAACTAGGAACTGATTGACACCTCATCTGTTTATAAAGCTTTAAGCATTAAAGTTTGTAAGGTAAATATATATATTAAGGAAAAATTTGGAGAATATATTGAGCTTTACAGCTTTAAAAAGTTTCATAAAAATAGGTTAACAAAACTGCTATATTGTTAGAATAGTCGCGAATAAAAAAATTCCTGAATTCCTCATTTTTTTCTGTCTAAAAAAATGGAATCGAAACTGGAAAAATAAATAAATAAAACTTTTTTTATATTTCTCAAGCTCCTTACTGTTGCTTCGAAACACTAGAAAATCGATAGAGAAGGATTTTTCGAATGAAACATTTTTATTTGGCTTGAAGCGTCGCAATGCGTTTCTTGGCACCGATTCAAAATATCTTGCTTATCTAATAAAATGACTTATACTGCCTAGATTGAATAATGATTGTCTCAAGTTTTTTGATTTTTAAATCAGGAAACTTGAGCCCAACACGGCATTTCTAATGAAAAAAATTAAGTGCGCGCTCCGGATAAAATGACGTCATTCTACGTCAAAAATTACACGGAGTATTCAAAGTTAATACCAATTTGCGCCAAGAACACACACCGCAGAAAATATTCTTTCCTGTTCCAGAAAATGTATTTGTAACAGACCTTTTATCATGATTTTTTGTTTCTTCCATCTTCTGATCCTTTCAGTACCCCCTTCAAACTCACGTGACAGTGGTGGGCTTCTCGTTGACGTGCTGATTGTTGAGGCCGTTGGCCTTGGCGACTTTGGCGACCCTCAGGAAAAGGAGGCGGTAATAGGGCGGCGGAGGCATTCGGGACGTCTGGATACAGCTACGGCTCATGCTCAGCATCGCCATCGAGACGGCCACGCCGATAGCGCAGAGTAAGATCACCATCATGATGTAGTAGCCTAGAAAGGGTTCATAAATTGTGAATTTTATTGAATCAAAGCACTGTAAACTTTTTTTGTGTCGTACTTAGGAATGCGAAAGTGGTCCCTAGAGGGGCGCTTGAAGATTCCTCTCTAGGACCTTACCTCTTCTATAGGGGCACTTGTTGAGGCCCCTATAGAAGAGCTAAGGCCCTAGAGAGAAGCTTGCTAAAGTGGCCACTCTAGGGGAGCATGCTAGTTGTTTATTGTTATGAACTACAGGAGAAGAAGCATGAGACATTTTTAACGCTAATTGGACGTTTTTAGTGAACACTTTAGTAGCGTCAGAACTCTTAAGTGACCCCTAGAAGTGCTCAAAAACGTCCAAAGGATGTCCGGTTTTTGTTACCGAGCTCCAAGACTATGCGGAAACTAAATTGAAAGACCGTTATAGCTGATTCACGGCCAGCTTAGGACGCTAAGGGGGCGTGTCCTGTCTGCGCTCTCCACGAGCCAGGCGCTATCTCGTTCAATATCGTGTCAGGACCATTTTTTTCAATGGCTCAAGCCCGCCGTGAATCAGATATAAAGTGACCACTTAAGCTTAAGGGCCTTAGGAGTCGGGCAAAAAACCCCTGTAGGGTCCACCTACATTTTAGCCCTCGAGGGAGCATTATTTTGTCTCCTATAGGGTCTGATTTTTACGTAACGCCTCTATGGAGCCCTCCGGTGTTCCTAAATTTGTCTCTCTGATAAATTACGTACCTTTGGCCGAATCTAAGTTTTCCAAAAAGTTTCGAATTATGGATTTCAGACTGATTTTTGTGTCAAGTTTAAGGCGCATGGCTTTGAAGTTTCATCACAGAAAATTTATTTTTTACTCTGATTTCTGGAAAAACCAACCAAGCAACGGGATGGCGTCGCTTTTTGGCATCGCGCCAGCCACGATATCCAGCAGGACTGTCATGGCCAACAGGGATCCAAGGCCTAGGGAGACCTGGAAAAAACCATTTTTTTTAGGTTCCTAGAAAAGATAACCTTCTCGTTCCTCGGACCATCATTGGAGCCCGGTGAGAATATGCCCAAAATAGAGAGGGCCGAGATTAAGAAAGTCGGGACAACGATAACAGTTATATAATAGGTAGGGCGTCGGTTCAAATGAAGGATATAATGGACCTGAAAAATCGGTTTTTTTTTATCCCTAATTGTCCAATCTTGTCCCGGAGCTATTCTCGAAAAAACTTGGAGGTATTTTTTCAAAGTTCTTTCACAATCTCATAGAAAAGAATAAAAAAAGACCTCGGCTCGAAATTCTCCGTCTTCCATGAACTTCATTTGCCGGACAGTTACGTTCATCACCTGCCATTCGGCGTTTCCCTAGAGTAATTTCTTCAAAAACAAAGTCAGAGCAAAAATAAAAAAATTACGTCTTTTACAAAATAAGGTCAATTAAGGCTTGAAAAGTGGTCCCTATAGGAATTTCAGTTAGTGGCCCCTATAGGGGCATGCTAGTAGAAAACTTTTATGAATTGTATGCGAAAAACTAAAAAAAAATAACCTCTTTGAAAAGAATTGAGTGACCCTATAGGGACCACTTAGCTTCAGGGACTAAGGGATCAAACCTTCAATCCCTATAGGAACCACTCAAAGGTCCCTAAGACAAGACGCAAAAAACTCTCTTGATCAAAGATTCCTCAACTTTACGACCAGGGCTACTTGCTTGTTTTTGTAGCTGATTAATTGATAAATGCGACCTTTATTTTGAAAAGTTTTTAGGGATACATATGCATACTAAACCTTCCTTTTTGAATTTCCTATGGAACTGACCGAAAAATAAGAATCTTTTGGCGGTTGTGTGGCATTGACGTCCATTTCCTCAACGGATAGAAGAGGTGAGGCCAGAGCGACGGCACAAAACTGAATATATTTGATGAAAGTTTACAAGGTAAGTCTTCTGACTTCGAGGTTGAGAATTCTCTGAGAATTAGGCAAAAGACTTCTTGATGAGTCAGAAAAATATTATTCGAAACCTGCACAATTTTCTAGATTTCGAAAATTGGGGGCTGAAAAGTCCAGAACTATCACTATAGTGCCTGTCAGTAACAGTTATTGTCATAAGTAGGAGTACTTTTTTACTGTAACTTATTACAGTAAGTAAAAGTACTGTGAGTAGGACAACTGTATTACTGTAACCTAGTAAAGTCATTAGGAGTACTGTAAGTAGGATTGTTGGAGAATTGTAGGTAGAATTACTGTAGTACTGTAACTTATCAAAGTGAGTAAAAAAACTGTAAGTAGAAAAAAACTGTATTACTGTAACCTAGTAAAGTACTTAGGAGTACTCTAAGTAGGAGTGTTGGAGAACTGTAAGTAGGAGTACTGTATTATTGTAACCTATTAAAGTAATTAGGAGTGCTGTAGGTTTGGTGTACCAGCGGGGGGGGTTTCTATAATTTCGAGGTGTCCTTTTTTTCAAAAAAACCAGAAAGTTATACAGACTGAACTTTTCAGGATCTACTTCTGATACATCAAAGCGAATTTTGCCCAATTTTCTTAACCATAAAATTTTTCCTTGTTGGTAGAACACATGTTTCAGCACATGTTTTCAAACTATCTTCATAATTCCTTCTAGAAAAAGAGAAACCTGTGTGTCAAACGGGAAGAGGTCGATGTTGATGCGACAGAGGGCGGTCACGAACTGCGGACTGTTGATTTTGACGTGTCCCGTGTGCTGAACACGGACGTCGTACCGGTCTTCCGTCAGCATGTCCTTCGTGTCCATACTTAATTTTTCCAAGGTGTCCAATCAATCAAACCATCATTTCTTTTTTTTTATTCATATAGCCGGCTTTAGCTTGGGACGCGGCTTATCTGCGCTATCCCTTTTTTTTTTACCGTGTCAGGACCCATTTTTTTGCGGGCTCAAGCCAGCTGTGAACCAGCCTCCTTTGTAAAAAACTAGATTCACGAATAAAATCTTGAAACATACTGGAAAAACTTCAGAGGCTTCTCAAGGGGTTCCTCAAGGGAAAACTATGGAGAACATTGGCCACAAATTCGACTTCTATAGTGGCCACTTGGACGTCTAAAGTGGCCCCTAACCGTTCTAGAAAAAAAATCATCGAAAATCAATCATACGGCTTAGGAGTCTTAGAGTGGTCCTTTTAGGAGTTAGGCGAAAAAACAGCCCCTATAGAAACCGAAGAAGTGGTCCCTATAGGGACACACCACACAATTTTGTACATTATTACCTGTTGTAAATGAAGAGTTTGGGAACCCAGACCAAGTTTTGCGGCATGACGACCTGTCGGATTCCGCCGTGGTCGGCCGGGTCCCATGCCAGCTGAGGATCTTTCCAGCGCTAAAAGTCCATTTCTTAACTAACTTTTTTCAAATGTCTCTGCTCGTTGACTCTAAGAAGTCATAAAACATTATTTTTTGGAAAATTCCGTCTCAATTATTTTTGAAAGCTTCAAATGCAATAAAAGTCGAGTAAGAGGAAATTTTGAAAACATCGTTTCATTTTTCGAGGTCTCTAAACTTTGAAAAGACAGAGTGGTCCCTGAAGGGGTTAGGGAAAACATCCCCGATATGGGACAAAAAAGTGCTCCCTAGAGGGACTTATTTCTAGGTTGCTAAGAATTAAGTAGCCCCAATAGTGGTCTTTTAATTGTTTTCGAAAGAGGAAAATTTTTAGCCACTAGTGACTCCCTAAGGACTACTTGGAGAGGACACTAAAGTGGCCACTCAAACCACTTCTGTAGAGACTACTATTTTGTTTATCAGTGGCAGCTGTAGTAGATCTAGTCATCTAGCAGTACCAGTTAAACTACTATAGTGGCCACTTAAACGGAAAAAAAACCCTAAGGAGTCCACAAAAAAATTTTCAGTAGTTTTCTGTTGATTTTTTTCATCCAAATAACCTACGAGAAACCCTAAGATTGCCCCTCTTGGTACCACTCTGTAAACATTTCTCATTTTTTGTACCCCCGAAATAGTTCCCTAATACTCACCTGCACATGTGAGATGACAAACGAGGCGACCTGCTGATTTTCCCTCTGAAAAATCTTCTTTTCCTTCGCAAAACTTTTCCAGATTTTCCTCTAAGAACACTTGGAAGGAGCAAATTAGTTTACTCTTCCGAAAGCGCTAGAAGAATAGCCGTCTGACGAACAATGTCTAATCTGATTTCTGAATTTTCCAAGCAAAAACTTCTTGATTCGTAACAAAAAAGTTAAAAATGATATCATTTTCTTTGATGAAAAGGGAGAAAAAGGCAAAAATGGCGATTCTTTAAGAAAATCCTGAAGACATCCATGCACGATGATATCATTTTTTTTTCAACAGGTTTTGTGCCTGTGTACGGTCCACAGGGTCACAAGTTCGATCCCCGACCCAACCAAGGGGTTTGAGAAATGTTGGTAGTGGGAAACCACGGCTTCATAATCCCCAGCCGTCACACACAAGGACGGATATGTCACTGGAGCCAGTCCACTGATTATCACTGATATCAGGATAGGACCTCGGCTAATCGACTTGGGGCGCCGACGCCGCTCAAGCGATACAAAAGCGTAGGAAGAAGAAGAACGCTAAGGCTTGATTGCAGAGAACCTTATGGCGACCTTTTTGCAACAAAATCGACTTCGCGACTTTTCGAAGGAAGCTGAAACGGACCACTTCAGTGAGGATGCCGAGAACGATCGTCATGTGGACTATGACCGGATGGAGGGTGTCGGCGTAGGGTCGAACCCTCTTGTCGTATCTCATCATTATCGTGTTGATCAGCTTCGAAGGCTCAGCTGAAACATTTCCAATGGTGGAAGCGAATTTCGGGGAGGTGTTGGGAAGGTAACCATCGGGAGGTTGGAAGGTGAAAATTTAAAATGCCTGCAAGAAGCCTTCCAGCAGGCTACTGGAAGGTGACTAGAGTTGTCAGGAAGGTATGTGGAAGGCATATGAGCATTTACTGGAAAGCTTCCAAACGCCTTCCGAGGAACCGAAAGCAGAAGCTTCTCAACTTTCACGTGAGTAGAAGTAAATTTTGAGTTTTTTTTTCCGTATTTTCAAGCATCCTCAAATCTCAATTCCGAGAAAAACCCACAGTTCATTCCATGGGAATGGTCCTGTAGTAATCGGCCATTTCTGGCATGCGTCATCTTCAAAGCAACCAAAACAGACACAAACTGCACGAATTGGAACATCTGCAACGTGAAAATTAACGATAAATGCATCAATATTATCCCGAAAAAGACTGAACCAAAAGAAATTGAAATCCGTTTTAAAACCCGTATTTTTTTTTCATAAAAGGATCTGTTCTTTCAATCATTTGTCGGAGGGGGAGCCGAGAAAAATAAATAAAAATCGAAACAAGCTTTTTCAATGTGGTAAGCTTGCAATTATCAAAAAAGCATAAACTCGAGAATGATTTAGATGTTTGAACGAAAAATCAGGACACTTTCAAAAACGAACTCTAAAGGCAATCTGGAGAGCTTTTGAAAAGGACGTTAAAAAAAGTAACGACCCGTCATTTTTCACCTCAAAAGTACTTAGAAAGTTCGATGGCTCGAATGGAAAAACGAAAAAAAGAGAATAAAATTTAATGGCCAATTTTTTCGTTTCAAAATAAAATTACTAGTTTACTAAGTGTAAAAACCTTCACTCTCACAAAGTAAAATATGAAAAAAAGCCTCAAAATCGTAGAAATGGGAAGAAAAAAACGAGAAAAAAAGACAGCTTAATGACACTTTTTTTAGTTGTTTATTTGTAAAGAAATCAGAAAAAAATAAAAAAATACTTCAAAAATGACTCAAAAACAAAAAAATTAAAACTCCAAAAACTCAGAAGAAAAAAACAGAGAAAGTATCAAATTATCTTTTTGCACCTTCGAAAAAAACAAGGAAAAATTGAATTTATTCGAGGGCTTGATATTGAAAATTGAAAGTCGAGGCCGAAAATCGAGATAATATAATTTGCGAAGTAATTTCAAAGGAAGTGGAAAACATTGAAAGCTGTAGTGTATAAAAATAGAGAAATTATGAAAATCGTGAAAATTCTGCGATCCTCATCAACAAAATGTTAAATTTTGTGAATGGGACAGTTTTTTTGCCCAAATTTAACTTTTGTATTTTTTTTGCTATTTTTACCTCGTGTTCAAAGTGATCAGAGAAAGACAAAGATAACTGAATTTCGGAGATTTAGAGATAATTTTGCCTTTTTGCGGAAATTACTTTGAACATGGCATAATATTTTTCTTTCAATTAAAATGTGTGTTCAAGAAAATTTGAAATTCGAACTTGAGAAATTTGAAAAAATTTAACTTCATGAAACAGAGAAAATGGGCGGATTTCAGAATCTTCGACCATTTTTCAAAAAAGACACATTTTCGAAAATTCAAAACATATCTTTCGTTGAAAAATGAGCATTAAAAAAAGCCAAAAATGTGCAGAAAAATGAATTCGAGCAAAGCTTTTAACAACATTTTGCATATAATTCTCATCCACTCATTTTTTAATAAAATACCAAGTCAAAAGATTCAGAACGGCATTTAAAAACCGACACAAACAAAAAATTAAAAACGAAAGGGAACGACACAACGAAAAAGACTATCAAGTTTCCGGCCAATCTTTTCTCCAAAGTCTCTCTTTTTTTTCGCATTTTGACAGACTCTCGGTTCAAAAAACACTGAAATCCGATAGGCCATTTTGCTTCATCGTTAAAAAAATTTTAAAAAAATATCGGAATTCAAAAAAAGATAGATTTTCTTTGATTTGTGAGAAGATCATAAAACTATAAAATTCGTTTTCAAGTCGAAAAAATCAAAAATAAATCATAAATTTTTTTTTCTCGTCTTTCCGCTACTGATAAGTTTCTAGGGAACCACCGAAATTCTTGTTTTTTATCACAGAAAATTAACTTCCGGCTAATTAATTTCACTTCCTAAGAGTCTGAAACCGAGGAAAAACTTTGCCTAAGGCTAAGCTCAAAACCTCCCACTCAGACAGATTTTTTGCCTCGTCCACTTGAGAAAAAAGGAAGAATTCACTAAGTCGCCTACGCCCGTCCCAACACAAAAAGGACGATTTCTCTTCTGAACTTCAAATTTGTTTATAATTCAGAAAAATGGCCTCGAAATTAAGCCTCGGAAGTTGGAATTGAGATAAGCTATGAAACAATTAATCTTCTGTTGAGTTCAAAATAAATTCATTTTCTCTTTGAAATTTTGAAAGGGTGGGACTTCTCTGCGCCCTCCTTATCTCTCGACGTCTCTCTCATTTTTACGCACTATTTCTAAATTTCTCTGACCTTGCCGATGAAGGAATAAAGAAACGCAGACACGCGAAAAACGTCAAATCGCGGCGGACGGACTATATTTTATTTTATTTTCATTGAAAGGGCCTAAAATAAGCTTTTGAACTCAGGATGAACTATAAATTTGATGAAAAAATTGTAAGAAATTTTTAAAGTAGCTTCAAATTCAGCTTTGAGAATGGAGGAGAAAGGCGTAAAAAATTTTTCATGTTCTAAATTGACTTTTTTTTTTTCCAAAATTCGCTTCGAGACCTGTTTCATTCTTCAGGTTTTGCCCTAAAATAACTATCTTACCGTAATTTTTTTTCTTCGTCAAAAAAGAAATCTGACCGTCTCGCGCCAGATTATGAAAAGCCTGACGATTGAAGTGTATAATTTCATTTTTTTATTTCAAAAAGCTACTAGTTGTTAGTTCCAGTTGATCTGAAAGCCTTTTCCATTGAAAAAATTGCTTTAGCAAAGAAAATCGAGTGGACATAACAGAGAAAAAAAAAACTTTTCTGCAAAGGCCATCGGAATTCAACAGAGCGGGAAAATATATCTACATTTTTGCTTATTTTTCTCAAACTTGAATGAATTGAGGGCTGACTTATATACAGGGTGACAAGTAATTATTGAAACGCGTTTGAAACGTTATAACTTTCTCAAAAGTCAACCAAACACCACCAAACTTGATACAAATTTTATTCATACAATATAGAAACAAAATTCAAGAATAGTTTTCAAAACGTCCTCCTTTAGCTTTGATAACGGCCTTCAGTCTCTTCGGATACGCATCGATCACGGCACGAAGGTAGTCGTCGTCGATTTCGTCCCATTTCTTGATGAGCGCGGTCTTCAGAGCTTTGATACTTGGGTAGTTCTTAGAAGAGACCTTCTCGGTCAGATATATCCACACGGCATAGTCCATCGGGTTGAGGTCGGGCGAGGAAGCAGGCCAATCAGCAGCCGAGATGAACTCGGAAAATTGGCGCGACACCACTCTTGAGTCCCTTTGGCACGATGAGCGGGGGCGCCGTCTTGCTGGAAGGTCCATGGTCGGTTTCCGTAGTGAGAATTGGCTCAGGGCAACACCCTCAACTTCAAAATCTACTCCCTGTAGTATACTTGGTTCACTTTGACTCCAGAATCCACAAAAATCAGCGGAGTTTTGTCGTCAGCGGTAATTCCGGAAAAAACCATCACGGAAGCCGGATGCGAAGTTTTATTCAGAATTTTTTCTTTTTCACAGGCACTCTGATAGTCAGTAGCGATGATCGGATGGTTTTGGCCGTTCTTGTTCGGCTCCACAGTGAAGATTTTCTCGTCGGTAAATAGCGTCGTCAGATGCGAGCCATCTTGCGTGCCAGCGAGCAGCTTTCGAGCCTTTTTCATCCGGAATGTCTTGTTTTTTTGATTGAGGAAGGCTCCTTTCTGCATACGGTAGGGAATCATCTTCAGCTTGTCCTTGACAATAGTTCTCATCGATTCTCGACTCATTTTGTATTCTTTTGCCATCTTTCTCACGCTTCTTCCGGAGTGCGTCTGATTTTCTCTCGAACGGCTTTGACTGCTTCTGGAGTCGTGACGGTGACTGGACGTCCACTTCTTTGCATGTCATCTGAAGTACCGAGACGCCGATAACGTTGTGCAGTTCGAAAAACGAGAACACGAGACACTTTCAGCTTTTTAACGATCTCTGAATTCGTCATTCCGCTTTTGACACAATCAATGATTGCGGTAGGGTACATAGATGGGGCCACCATTACCTGAAAACTGAAAAGTATGAGCTGTAACTTCAAACACATGATAAGTGAGCATGAAAGAACGATATAAACAAAAAAATTCAAAGGCCAGTCCTTTGTGCAAAAAGCAGCGATCAAACAAAAAACGGTTTCAATATTTACTTGTCACCCTGTATATATTTTATTACAGGCAGCACAAAAAAAATGTACAGGCTTCTTGAAACTACATAAAATGGACATTTCAAGTCATTTCTAGAGTAGAAATGAGCTCCAGGCTTACTTTAACATTTTAAAAAGGTCCTGGCACGAATTACAAAAACAGTCGAACGATAATGAGCTGAAAAAAAAAACACAAAAACTCGAAACCTGAAAAGTTTAAAACTCCAGCGTATTTTCAAGGGGTCTCCACAAAAGCCACCAAATCCCGCCCTTGAAAAAGAAAAAAACTTGAGTTTTTCAAGAAAGTTTATCTACCAAGGCCGAAAATCATTCTAGTCGATTTTATTAAAGCAAAAAATGGAGATTATTGAAGGCAAAAAAGCAAGTGTGATATTTTTTCCATGTGAATAAGTTTCTGGGCTATATTTTTTTAAAAAAATTTTTCTACCCAAAAATTTTTTTCTAGTTTTTCCATTTACCTTTTTTTGAAAAGGACCAGTGAACTTTCACGAATGGTTTGAAAAATTCACACAACCCTTCATTCATCGAAATTCTGCGTTTTTTTATTTTTTTTGCCGTGTCAAAGTTCCTTTAGAACAGTCTCCAAGAGCTTTTATAAATTTTATCACCAGATGTCGTTTTAAAGCTCCTTCCTTCCTAAAAAGTTAAGGTTCAAAAAGTTTTTTACGATTGAAGTTTATTCAAATCTGTTTTTCAAACTTAAAAAAAACCAAATATTTATGGTAATCATGAAGTTGAAACTCTGCAAGCTTTCAGGCCCCTCCCTTTTCGAAAAAAAAAACCAAAGCTTTCATGAATGGACTATAATTTACACATCACTCTGAGCTTTTAAAAACTTCATGGAGCTATCGTGAACGGACTAAAAGTTAAAAATTACGTAAAAATGTCGACTTTGAACTGATAGAACTTTAGAACAAGAAAAGTACCAAAAACAAGAATCAATGATTTTAAAATGACATTTTGGTTAGATACAAAGGCCCAGTTGGGGA